GGCTTTGAGCTTTATATTGTGCAAAGAAGACCCTCTAAACTTGTACAAAATTGAATCTGCATTGTTATCAGATCAACGTTGTTGGAATGAATGGCGTATTTTTCTAAAAATTTATCAAATTTATATACACAAAGACCACATCGCCAGTTCAATTGAAAGTTTTAATGGGTCCTCTTGCTATTACATTTCTTATTGTAAAGCTATGAGAAAGATCATCTAATCTGATAGAAACAAGTTGGCAATTACATTTTTCTTAAGTATGTAGCGTCATTTTACAATAATTAATTGCGCATGACCTCAATTCATATAAGAACCTTTTCTATAGTGCGTTAACTTCTCACACTAATTGCGATCGTACTTTTAATTATATACAGTATCACAATGATGTATATCTGAAGTTTAGAAGGATGTTGTCTTTTTCTGTCATTTTACTGTTAATAGGAGAAAATAAGCAAATCGAATGTCCAAAAACGACCATCCAACGCGGAAATCTCTAGGACATATTTCTTGAGTCAGGGCCTTAGGCGTTACATTGTGCACAGAAGACCCTCCAAATCTGTTCAAAATCGAATCTGCATTGGAATTAAACAAATAGTGTTTAAACGGTTGACTTATTTTTATACAATATATATAGAGAAAGAACAAATAGCTGAAACAAAAACGACCATGCCATGCGGAAATCTCTAGGACATATTTCATTTGTAAGGGCTATGGGCTTTTTATTAGCTCACCTGAGCATGCTCAGGGTGAGCTTTTAGGATCGATGATTGTCCGTCGTCCGTTCACATTTAGTTGTTAACACTCTAGCGGTCGCATTTTTGCCTCAATCATCATCAAACTTGGTCAGAATGCTTATCTAGTCGATAGCTCGGGGGTCATCTCGGATGAGAAACTAGGTCACAAGAGCTAAAAATAGAAAAACCTTGTTAACACTCTAGAGGTCTCATTTTTGTCTCAATCATCTTCAAACTTGGTCAGGATGTTTGTCTAGGTGAAAGCTCGGATGAGTTGGAACATTGGTCATCTCGGATGAAAAAGTAGGTCGCCGGAGCTAAAAATAGAAAAACCTTGTTAACACTCTAATGGTCACGTGTTTGCATCAAACATCATCAAACTTGGTCAGGATGCTTATCTAGTTGAAAGCTTGGATGAGTTCGAACATGGGTCATCTCGGATGAAAAAATAAGTCACCGGAGCTCAAAATAGAAAAACCTTGTTAACACTCTAGCGGTCACATTTTTGCATCAATCATCATCAAACTTTGTCAAGATGCTTATCTAGGTAATAGCTCGGATGAGTTCGAACATGGGTCATCTCGGATGAAAAACTAGGTCACCGAAGCTAAAAATAGAAAAACCTTGTTAACACTCTAGCAGTCATATTTTTTTCCTGAATCATCATCAAACTTGGTCAGGATGTTTGTCTAGGTGATAGCTCAAATGAGATTGATCATGGGTCATCTCGGATAAAAAAGTAAGTCACCGGAGCTCAAAATAGAAAAACCTTGTTAACTCTCTAGCGGTCACATTTTTGCATCAATATCATCATCAAACTTTATCAAGATGCTTGTCTAGGTGATAGCACGGATGAGTTCGAACATGGGTCATCTCGGATGAAAAAGTAGGTCGCCGGAGCTAAAAATAGAAAAACCTTGTTACCACTCTAGCGGTAACATTTTTGCATCAGTCATCGTCAAACTTGGCCAGGATGTTTGTCTTGGTGATAGCTCGGATGAGTTTGAACATTGGTCATCTGGGATGAAAAAGTAAGTCACCGGAGCTAAAAATAGAAAAACCTTGTTAAAACTCTAGCGGTCACATTTTTGCATCAATCATCATCAAACTTGATCAAGATGCTTGTCTAAGTGATAGATCGGATGAGTTTGAACATGGGTCATCTCGGATGAAAAACTAGGTCACAGGAGCTAGAAATAGAAAAACCTTGTTAACACTCTAGTGGTCACAGTTTTGACTCAATTGTCATCAAACTTGGTCAGGAAACTTGTCTAGGTCATTGCTGGGAATAAATAGAACATGGGTCATCTCGAATGAAAAAAACTAGGTCACCGGAGCTAAAAATAGAAAAATCTTGTTAACACTCTAGTTGCTACTGTTTTCATCCAAGTATCCTGGAAATTGGTCTGCAAGTTTGTTTTGATGATTTCTAGGTCAAGTTTGAATATGTGTCACCTGGGTAAAAAACTAGGTCACACTGCTCAAATATGGATAATCCTTGTTAACACTGTAGTGGTCACATTTTTGACTCACCTGTCATGAGACTTGGTCAGAATGCTTGTCTAAGTAATTGTTTGGATGAGTTTGATAAGTCAGGTTAGCGATCTAGGGCCAGCATGGCCCTCTTGTTGTACATAGAATACCCTCCAAACTTGAACAAAATCGAATCCGCATTGAAACCAGACAAATGATGTTTAAACGGTTGGCTCTAGAATATGGTGTATATTTTAAAATCTTTACTAATAATAAACAGGAAGAAAAGATTCGCGTTCCAAAAATCGACCATATCATGCGGAAATCTTCTAGACATATTTCTTAGATAAGGGCTTTAGGCTTTATATCATGCAAAGAAGACCCTCCAAACTTATACAAAATCGAATCCGCATTGGAATCAAACAAATGGTGTTTAAACGGTTGGCTCTGGAAAATGGTGAATTTTCCGAAAATGTATACAATTTATATACAGAAAGAACAAATCGTCGGTTAATAAACGACCATGCCATGCGGAAAATATCCTGGGCATATTCATTGGGTATAACAGCTTTCATCTTTATATTGTGCAAAGAAAACCCTCTAAGCTTGTACAAAATCGAATATCCATTGTTATCAGATCAATTGTGTTTGAATTGTTGGCTTAGGAAAATGGTGTATTTTTCTGAAAATTTGTAAAATTTATATACACAAAGACCACATCGCCCGTCCAATAGAGATATTTTAATGGGACCTCTCGCTATTACATTTCTTATTGTAAAGCTATGAGAAAGATCATCTAGTCTGATAAAAGTTGATAATTACATTTAAAGTATGTATCGTTCATTTTAAATAACTAATTGTACATGACGTCAATTCATATAAGAAATTTTTCTATAGTGCGTTAATTTCTCACACTTATCGTACTTTTATTTATATACAGTATCACAATGATGTAAATCTGAGGTTTTGAAGGATGTTGTCTCTTAGATGTTGCTTTTTTCTGACAAATGATGTTTAAACGGTTGGCTTAGGAAAATGGTGTTTTTTATACAATTTATATAGAGAAAAAAACAAATCGCTGAAACAAAAAAACGGCCATGCCACGCGGAAATCTCTAGGACATATTTTTAGGGTAAGGTCTTTGGGCTTTTTATTGTACATAGAATACCCTCTGAACTTGTACAAAATCGAATCTGCATTGGAATCCGACAAATGGCGTTTAAACGGTTGGCTTAGGAAAATGCTGTTTTTTATACAATTTGTATAGAGAAAAAAATAAATCGCTGAAACAAAAAAAAACGACCATGCCACGCGGAAATCTCTAGGACATATTTCTTGAGTAAGGGCTTTGGGCTTTTCATTGTACATAGAATACCCTCCATACTTGTACAAACCCGAATCCGCATTGTTATCAGACAAATGGTGTTTACACTGTTAACTTAGGAAAATGGTGTTTTTTATACAATATTGAGAAGAACAAATCGCTGAAACAAAAAAAAAACGACCATGCCACGCGGAAATCTCTAGGACATATTTCTTCGGTAAGGGTTTTGGGCTTTTTATTGTACAAAAAGAACTAATCGATGAAACAAAAAAAAAACGACCATGCCACGCGGAAATCTCTAGGACATATTTCTTGGGTAAGGGCTTTTGGCTTTTTATTGTGCATAGAATACCCTTTATCCTTGTCGAAACGAATCCGCATTGGCATCAGACAAATGGTGTTTAAACGGTTGGCTTAGGAAAATGCTGTTTTAATACAATTTATATAGAGAAAGAACAAATCGCTGAAAGAAAAAACGACCATGCCACGCAGAATCTCTTGGACATCTTTCTTAGGTAAGGGCTTTGGGCTTTTTATTGTACATAGAATACCCTCCAAACTTGTACAAAATCGAATCTGCATTGTAATCAGACATATGGTTTTTAAACAGTTGGCTCTAGAATATAGTATATACATTCTAACATTTTTACTATTAATAAACAGAAAGAAAAGATTTGCGTTCCAAAAATCGAACATACCATGCGGAATGTCCTGGACATATTTCTTAGGTTACGGCTTTTGGCTTCATATCATGCAAAGAAGACCCTCCTAACTTGTACAAAATCGAATCTGCATTGGAATCAAACAAAGGATATTTTAACGGTTGGCTCTGGAAAATGGTGGATTTTCCGAAAATGTATACAATTTATTTACAGAAGGAACAAATCGACGGTCCAAAAAACGACCATGTTATGTGGAAATCTCCTGGGCATATTCCTTAGGTTACGGCTTTGGGCTTTATATTGGGCAAAAAAGACCCTCTAAACTGTACAAAATCGAATCTGCATTCTAATCAGATCAATGGTGTTTAAATGGTTGGCTTAGGAAAATGGTGTATTTTTCTCACAATTTATCAAATATATAATTCAAACACCATTGATCTGATAACAATGGATTTTCGATTTTGTACAAGTTTAGAAGGTTTTCTTTGCACAATATAAAGCTGAAAGCCGTTACCCAAGGAATATGCCCAGGACAATCCAGCCAGGCTCTATACTGTTAGTAGCCCTATTTTTGTATATTGATATTGAAATCCCTTAGGCTTTCAATTGACAAAGCTGGACTATCTCATTGCCTAAGGATTAATCTGTTGAATATTTGTAATGGAGATATCAATATAAGTCTGCCAACACGATATCTAGCCTAGTTGACAGCATAATTACAGGCTTGCCTGGCTCTATACTGGCGGCAAATAACAATCATTTTCAGTTTCAGCAGGATAAAAGTTAAAATCATCTATTCATGAATCATATAAACGAAAACTCTGATCTTTTAATCATTTCATATGTTTAATTTCTTTAATTATCAAAATACAAAATCCGGCTTTGAAATCGGTGGCAGTTTTCTCGTGTTTCTTGCATTAACTCTCTGTGTGTTTGGTTTTGTAATGGGAGGTAACTGCGCCCTTGTGTTTGGCTTCGGAATGTGAGGTAACTGTGCCCTTGTGTTTGGCTTCGGAATGGGAGCTAACTGCGCCCTTGTGTTATGCTTCGGAATGGGAGGTAAGTGTGCCCTTGTGTTTGGCTTTCGCAATGGAGCTAACTGCGCCCTTGTACTTGGCTTTGGAATTGGAGCTAACTGCGCCCTATAAAATAAACAATGCTTATCATTGATGCAGAATACAAATATTTAAAATAGAAATTAATAAAAAGGGCAAAATAGTAGTTTATTTATTGCATATGAAAACATGATTTGTAACCGACCTAATAACAATGCTATACAAACAAGTTTATTTGGCATCAGCTCCTTGAACTTCATTATGAACTAGAATATGTTAGCTATGCTAAGGACGAAGATTCTATTCAGGTGCCCACTTATGCCTGAAACAATTTCCGAAATGGCACGTGGGGTCTTCCTGTACCAGTTAAGCCAGAAAAATGCCATATATAAGTAACGGTGTGACTGAACCCCCCTCCCCCCCACACACACAATTTTAGAATATGTCATTATGTATAGACACTTGCAACTTTAATATTTCTGACATTTACGGTAGTTCAATGGGTTTAAGTCGTGTACATTTCTGCTGCGTTTTTTAAGCTATGCAAGAAGATGATACTGGAATAAATACGTAAGTGTCAAAAAGCAAGTACAAATTTTGCTGCACTAACCTTTGTTTTGCATTTAAAGATCTGGCAAGTTTTGGTACTTGATCTTGCGCTGGTTTTCTCTGTGGCGGCTCTAAAGGTGGCAACTTGGACTTCATGTACCTATCACCATCATGCTTCGGTTGTGCAGCATGCTGTTTAATCTTGTTTGATTCCAATTGATGTCGCAGACTATTTCTGTTTTGAGTTTTCATTGTGTCTTCCGACTTAGTTTTAAGTCCAACCATTGTTTTATTTGTACTGGTAGTAGCAGTGTTTGAAGACTTAGAGTAATTTGGCTTACGGGTGGGAAGTTTGGGGTTCTCAGCTTTAGTGATATCATTTGTGTTCTTTTGAGTTGCACGATTGTTCTCTTCTTTAAAAGTTTTCAGCGTTCCTGCAACATGCTGTGCTTTTAATCGATTCACATTTGAAACATTCTTGTTTCCCACAGGAGTTTGGCTTCCACCATGTGTATCAATATGTTTCTTTGTTTCAGCCACGTTTTGAGTGGTATTTTGTGAATTTTTATGTCCAGATTTTAATCCTTTATTCCTTTTTATTAGGGGTTTTCTTTCTATCTGTGACATTTTGCTTGCCGACTTTACATTGCTGCTGGTCATTGTTGAAGATTTGTTTGCAGAGTTTTGCCTGGTGATTTAATCATAATACATGAACACTATTTATTTTATATGATTGCCCTTTTCTTATTCTTTAGACTTTCCTCAGTAAACCAAAGTATTCAAATCAATTAATTATTTCATTTTAAGTATCAAAAGAAATGCAAAAACAAAATCAATTTTGTTTTGCGATATATATTTTCTTCTGTCAAATCGTTCTCACTAATTTTATAGTTAATTCATTAACTTGATAGTCAGAAAAGTCAAGGTTTTCAAATTACAATTTTTCTTGTAGCTGTACAAATATAAACTATGATATTGAGATGCACTGATATAAGTTTGAATATTAAATTCATGTACCTAGAAACGCTCTGGTCACTCTCTGTAAGCACTCCCTGTGTTTCTGGCATTTTAGGAGGTATCTTTGGCCTGTAATAAAAACAATAAAGTGAGGACATATAAATAAATATACATGTATAATGTTACAGCCTTTGCAAATGTAAGCTCAATGTAACTGGGATAGTACACAATTATAATTTTTATTATCTATTCGGATTTTTAAATGTAATAAGTACTGTAATATTTTGCTAAAGATTTGCAAGAAAGAGTTAAGATAAATGTGTGAAGACATTACGCTAAGTTCGTCCAGCGATTCTAATTCTGTCTGGGATTTTAAATTATTTATGTTTTAAGAAATCCCTTAAGCTTTCTGAACGTCAGTTATTCTGGCTCATGACTGGTGAAAGGTGTAAAATTGATATCATGAAACAAGAAAGGCACAGGGATGTTCCTCAGATTTAAAACAATAGAGGAAAAGTACATGATTGTGTACTTCCGGTAAATTCAAACAAGGTTTACGTCAAAGCAGTTGGAGCACAATTAATGCAATTAGTGACACAGATGTGTTTCCCATAAGGCATAATGCAAAATGAATTGAGGAGCTTAAGTGATTTTCTTCAACAAAATATGGAGAAAAAACATATGACCGTGGCAGTTTTGATGCGACTTAAAAACTGGACAAAATCATTTTACAGTTCAATAACATTTTGAAGGAATAAGAAAACCCTGTTACATTTCTAAATCAGACATATGCATGCGTGAGAAAAGAGATAATTGTTGTATTAATTTTTACTAGTATAAGATATACAATAATTACATATAATTGTTGTCCATAGGATCTTTGAAAAATTTCCCTTTTCTCTCTTTGTCTTTCTTATGCCGTCCTCCTTTCTTATATTCTTCTTCAATTTTTTGTATCTTTTCTTGTCTTACTTTATTTCCTACAAAAAGGAGAAAATATCACAATTGAATGAAAGACACGAGAGACTGCCGTGGTTGTGCCAACGAAATGCACTACACGATGATCAATCAGTCCACTATATACTGTTAAGTTTTGACATTTTGTAAACAAGAAATAGGTAGAAAACAACAAGAGCATTTCATTGATTCTAAAATGACGAAGCTACTTTTTAAATTAGATAAACTAACAACAATTCAATCGTGAAATAAAAGATGTTCTCAGTTTTAAACGGAATTTAAAACATCATTGTCATCAGCTAGATTGACATATTTTGTCTCAGAACTTTACATTTATACATGTATTTAAATAATAAATTGAACGAACATATGCATAAAAACATGAAACAAATAATTGTTTTGTTTTATTGTTAACCGTTTCAATGTCCATCTCAATCTCAACTGTAGATCCTTTTAATTTCGTTATCAAAAAAAAAAATTACCAAAAATAATTGTACCATCTTTTTTGTACCATTTGTGAAAAGTGCACAGCATTTTCTATATACCAACGGTATGTGTATTTGGAAGAATATGTCCTTACACAACTCGAAAGTTAAATGCGTTTGAAAAACAACAACAACAACGAACGAACGTTAACTATGAAACTTAAATTTAACTTGTAATAGTTCTTTAAAAAGTTACTTCCGGCCTGCATGTATAAGGTCTATTTACTTCAAAGCATCGTCAAAGAATCTGATGAATAATTCACAGAACATTATACCATATGTAGAATTCAACAATGTTTATATTTTCACAGCAAGTATGAAAACTAATGTTTTTGGGGTTTTTTTTTAATAAAAATAAAATATGGCATCCAAGATTCGAAAGTTCATTACCTTTTTAAAATAACATATATGAATGCCTATTTCAGTTTAGATGAATTGTAATGATCCAAAGGTATTGTCTTTTTTATCAACAATGAAAACATACTATAGTTAGAAAACGTTTTTACTCTTAATTATTGTTACATAGAAAAATTCTGGAATTTTGAAATGCATTTTAATATTTGATTGACATAACAGTTTAATTACGCATTTATTAACCTTTATCCTTTTGAAGACGCAATGCGTTTTTTGTCATTCTTGGCTTTATTTTCGGCTCTTTTGCCTTTTTAATAGGCTTCAGGTTCTTCTGCCCAACTGTCGTCTGCAACTGGTGTTCCAGGTAAGCTATACTGCACTCTTCAAAATTTCTTTTCTCGTGATAGGTCTTCGCTAATTTTTCGGCAAGTAAATATTCTTCAATGACTCCAAATTCAGTTTCAGGATTAGGTTCTTTTTTGTAGATCTTTAAAAGCTGCATAAGTGAGAATGAAAAAAAATTTTTTAAATGCAGTTTTACTGACGGTGAACTAGATTAGATAGGTAACTTCTTTCGTTAAACAGAAGAAAAGAACTTCATAGCATATAACGATTTTTTGTAGATATGTTTTTTTATTTATTTATTAAACTATTTTGAGCGGGTGGGCGGGGTGGCGGCTGGGGTGAATTCATGGAATGAAAACAAGGTTACAAGATGTACATAGTTATATGTGCCATACCTTTTCATCAACTTTGTTCTTTTTCTCTATAGTGTCAGCAAGTTTAGTTTTAAATTTATCCAACTCTGCTTTCAGTTGTTCTTCCTCATCCTTGCTTTGAATCATTTTGTTTTCCTGCTCTTTTTCTAGCTTAGTTAAAAGCTTTAATTCTTCAAGCATCTTGCCGGCCGCTTTATCTTCTTCATAAATGACACTCATCATCTCGAAAGCGTCACTGTTACTATATTTAGTAATAAATGAAAATAAATATATTAAAAGCCCAACCAAGAACGATAATTAAGTTAAAATGATCAACGTGTGAACGTTTTGGCATTACGACCTCAATAGTACATGCCAATGATATCATACATGTAATTGACAGGAAATAACATTATAACACTTAAAATTTGTTGATTTATCGTGTGATTACTACAATTAGTTCACTCTTCGTTGATAAAAGCAGGTTAATTATATCTAGTTTTAACATTTCATATGGGGCGTCCGTGGCCGAGTGGTTAAGGTCGTTGACTTCAAAACCACTTGCCCCTCACTTTGCTGTGGGTTCGAAGGGATTTTGGATTCTTTCATGTGAGGAAGCTATCCATAATAATGCACGGAAGGGCACCTGAGGTCTTGCTGCACCAGTGAAGCAGGAACGTTGCCAATTGACCTATACTGTCTCGGTGTGACGTAAAACACAAAGAAACAAACATTTCATATTATGATAATTGATAACCCAACGATGTCAACAAAGTTTTTGAACTACATTACCTGACACCATTCGAGTTTTCTGCGAGGCGATCCAACGTCTGTCTTTCAAATGCAGCATCCACCCTGAAATCGAATTATACCTGATGTAGAAAAGCCAGGATGAAATAACATAATTATACATAGACAAACGAACAACTTTACTCGGGAAGATATTCTATATGTTTATCAGTTTACATTCCTTTCTAAATTTTTTGCATATTTGAATCCGTACAAGATATATCCAAGAATTGTACTACAACAAATTTGCAATATACTGAAATCGACAATGTAAAACGGGTGTGAAGAAGGAACTTTCTGGGTTTCGAGCTCACTAGCTAGTTCAGATCCGTTATAATTACGCTCTATAGCTTAATGGCTGGACATTATATACCATAGAACGATAGTAATTGATATATATCATTCAGGCATTCAAGATAACTGTTACAAATGAAAACAAATGAACACATTAAAACCAATTCAAACCTTGTTGTTGGCTTTTTATGCTTTATTTTTTTCTTTCGCTCATTCTTACAAGGTACTGTGGTTATCCGGCTGTTAGCAGTCTTTGTGCCCTTAGTTTTCTCAGCATCTATTGTGCCATCAGAGTTGGAAAGTTGATGTTCGTACTCAGTGCTTTCTGCTACATCTGCTGCGACGGGCGAACTATGAAAAGAGAGGGGAATCCATAAAAAATATAAACAGCAATACATCGGAACTAAGTTTTTAGCTTTGGAAAATTATTTACATTGGGTTTTACAGGTATTTGGCTAATGCTAGTTTCAAACTGTAATCATTGTAAAGTTCTAGAATTATATTTGATTTATTTATTTATTGTATGCAGCAGCTAGGCTGCAGTTAAATCGATAGTTCGAAAATAGTGCGGAAACAAACAAGTATTTGTTGTCGAATGGTCATTTTCATTTTGCTTACGCGCATCATTTAATTTTTGTATCACGTGATCAGGAAATTAATGCTTCCTGTCCTACGGTATTTTGTTGTGTGCATTAATCAACTCCCTTGTAAATCTAAGCTACCATTTAAAGCTGACATATATTAATATTTGGAAAAAAAAGATTCTAATCATTATGGTCTTGTTCCGGCGCAATATGACCTTAATTGTGTTGGTGCGCCATAAAACCAAGCAGAAAAAAATTCTTGTCATACGAAAGTTGATTCCATTTTCTAAATTAAAATAAAAATCATAAACACATCAGAATTAACGAATTATTTGCTCATTTAAATTAACGTAACTGGTATATACAAAGGTAAAAAACGTTGAAAATATAATTAACAGATTATTATTTAATGTCCCATAGTCTAAATACTGACTGGGGTCGGTACCTAAGCGTTCTGCCAAAGATACCACATTTTGTACTTCTTTAACTTGTACACCACGTGTTAGTATTGAAGGCTTGTATTTAGTGATTATATAATTCTTTACATAACCTATAGTGAGGATATTGCTCTCACAATGTTAATAGATCAGCAGCTTGCAATATTAATTACCTCTGCATTTTGATACTACATGTAGTAGCTGTTCAAACAAAGGCAAGAATAACAAAACAAACAAAAAACATAATTACCGTGCATCGATAGACTTGGAGTCTAGCCCAGAGGTAGCCACGCCTCCAGACTGTACCTCATTGCTGTGGTCAGCCTCTTGAGTTTCCATTTGTGTTTCGCTCTGGTCAGCCTCGGAACTGCCAATTTCTGTTTCGCTCTGGTTACCTTCAGGAGTTATAATTTCTGTTTTTGATGCAACAACGTCGGCAACGTGCTCTTTCTGACTAGTGACAATGACATCAGCTACATCTGCTGTTGCTGCTCTCAAGGTGGAAAAATAGTTCCAGCCGCTGCAATGTATAATAATACATGAATTGATAACACATTAAGTCATGTTATATACAATATATTTGAATTGTTTAAAACTGTCCGTTCGAATCTGATCATTAAATGATAAAACTTTGTTATAATATTATTTACACTGATATAGCTTTTTATATCACAATATTTATAATATCATGTATTGGAATATACATCGGGATGTCATTTAAATTACATGTACTGAATACTTATATGCAGTAGAATCTAACCTTTGATGATTGTTTGAATCTTCTGAAGATATTGTTGTCTCCACATTTCTCTTAACGTGTCTGTCATCTTGCACATTAATTTTCGCAAGGAGAGGAATCGGATCTTCTTTTTGAACAAGCACCTCGGAACCAAGCAACATGATATTCTGATCGGCAACCTTTTCGTCCTGAATGAACTGGCTTGTAACTTCTGTAGTAACTGGAGCCCTGGAAAATTGCTTACTGTTATCGTCACCGTGAGAGCAACTTTCGTTGATAGTACGACTTATTGCCTCAGTAGCTTCTTGTTCTTTGATGCACATCTTTAGACTAAACTCCAATGCAACTGTTGCTGCCAGAAAAGATAACTTGCTAACATTTCTTACAACTGGAATCTCGATCAGATCAACAACATCTACGTCTTTGGGTATAAGGCAAACAACTGGACTCTCAGCCACATCAGCAGCATCTATGTCGTCGGGTATTGGATAAACATCTGGAATCTCAGCCATATCAGCAACATATTTGTCTCCGGGTATAGGGCAAACAACTGGAATTTCAGCAATATCAGCAACATCTACGTCGTCGAGTATTGGATAAACATCTGGAATCTCAGCCATATCTGCAGCATCTACATCTCTGGGTACTGGACAAGCAACTGAAATCTTATTTGCATCAGCAACATCTACGTCGTTGGATATTGGATAAACATCTGGAATCTCAGTCAATTCCGCAGCATCTACGTTTCCGGGTACTGGACAAGCAACTGAAATCTTATTTGCATCAGCAACATCTACGTCGTCGGGTATTGGATAAACATCTGGAATCTCAGCCATATCAGCAGCATCTACATCTCCGGGTACTGGACACGCAACTGAAATCTTATTTGCATCAGCAACATCTACGTCGTCGGGTATTGGATAAACATATGGAATCTCAGCCATATCAGCAACATCTACGTTTCTGGGTACTGGACAAGCAACTGAAATCTTCTTTGTATCAACAATATCGACGTCGTCGGGTATTGGATAAACATCTGGAATCTCAGCCATATCAGCAGCATCTACATCTCCGGGTACTGGACAAGCTACTGAAATCTTCTTTGCATCAACAATATCGACGTCGTCGGGTATTGGATAAACATCTGGAATCTCAGCCATATCAGCATCATCTACGTTTCCGGGTACTGGACAAGCAACTGAAATCTTCTTTGTATCAACAATATCGACGTCGTCCGGTATTGGATAAACATCTGGAATCTCAGCCATATCAGCAGCATCTACATCTCCGGGTACTGGACAAGCTACTGAAATCTCCTTTGCATCAACAATATCGACGTCGTCGGGTATTGGATAAACATCTGGAATCTCAGCCATATCAGCAGCATCTACGTTACCGGGTACTGGACAAGCAACTGAAATCTTCTTTGTATCAACAATATCGACGTCGTCGGGTATTGGATAAACATCTGGAATCTCAGCCATATCAGCAGCATCTACGTTTCCGGGTACTGGACAAGCTACTGAAATCTTCTTTGCATCAACAATATCGACGTCGTCGGGTATTGGATAAACATCTGGAATCTCAGCCATATCAGCAGCATCTACGTTTACAGGTACTGGACAAGCAACTGAAATCTTCTTTGTATCAACTATATCGACGTCGTCGGGTATTGGATAAACATCTGGAATCTCAGCCATATCAGCAACATCTACGCTTCCGGGTACTGGACAAGCTACTGAAATCTTCTTTGCATCAACAATATCGACGTCGTCGGGTGTTGGATAAACATCTTGAATCTCAGCCATATCAGCAACATCTACGTTACCGGGTACTGGACAAGCAACTGAAATCTTCTTTGTATCAACAATATCGACGTCGTTGGGTATTGGATAAACATCTGGAATATCAGCCATATAAGCAACATCTACGTTTCCGGGTACTGGACAAGCAACTGAAATCTTCTTTGTATCAACAATATCGACGTCGTCGGGTATTGGATAAACATCTGGAATCTCAGCCATATCAGCAACATCTACGTTTCCGGGTACTGGACAAGCTACTGAAATCTTCTTTGCATCAACAATATCGACGTCGTCGGGTATTGGATAAACATCTGGAATCTCAGCCATATCAGCAGCATCTACGTTTAAGGATACTGCACAAGCAACTGAAATCTTCTTTGTATCAACAATATCGACGTCGTCGGGTATTGGATAAACATCTGGAATCTCAGCCATATCAGCAACATCTACGTTTCCGGGTACTGGACAAGCAACTGAAATCTTCTTTGTATCAACAGTATCGACGTCGTCGGGTATTGGATAAACATCTGGAATCTCAGCCATATCAGCAGCATCTACGTTTCCGGGTACTGGACAAGCAACTGAAATCTTCTTTGTATCAACAATATCGACGTCTCCGGGTATAGGGCAAACACTTTTGTCAGCTGAAACATTATCATCTGTTTGGTTCTCATCTTTTCTTAGTGGACTTTGTTGGCTGGTGCTTCGCATACAATTCTCTGTGCTGCTTAAACCGTTGACGCCGGACATTAATGTCAGAAGTGTGAGAGAGCGTGCCGTGAGAGGGTTATTCTGTACTTTCCTATAATGTTTATATCAAATAAACCAATTAGAAAGATATCACAGTTATAAAAATTAATTGATATTACAACGGAAATGAATTAATGCATACGTTTCAGACAAATTTTTATTTATAGTAGATGATTCTCTGGTGAGATATATAGGAATTACGTGACTGTATTTCTTTTGTACAATGTAGCAATAAAGTTGAATATAATATTTTATCATATACTTATAAATGAAATAAATGTATTGGGAAATATTGATATTTTCAAAGTAAAAATTTATTTTTCACTGCAGTGAAACACATTTTCCGTATTTTCACTTGTGTCTTGCCGGACTATTTCCTTCTAAAATCAGCGTATACATGAAATTTAAGGGAAAGTATTTCAAATTGTAATGTCTAAAACGAGAACACTTTCTATGAAGGGAAAATAAACAAAAGAAATAAGTTTTTTTCTATAAAAACAGGATTTATTTTAATCTTGTGGCATGAAAATTATCATATTTTATTCATGGCTACCGCCACTAATAAAATTTCTATTTTCATACAACTCGGTGAAAAAAGCCTGTATTTAAAAAAAAATAAAATAAAAACTTTAATATCCCATATTTACCTTTTTCTTTAAAAAGTAATCTTATGTCGTTATAAAGGAATCAAAAACTAACGTAATAAGAAAAGGCAAAGAAACATGGTGGACGAAAATGTCGACTGAATGTCGTTTATTGGAAAAACTTTTACAAATTTGAGCCGCGTCAAGACAAAACCAACATAGTGCGTTTGCGACCAGCGTGGATCCAGACCAGCCTGCACATCCGCGCAGTTTGATCAGGATCCATACTGTTCGCTATCAGTGTATTTATACTTGTAAAAGGGTTGGTAAGCGAACAGCATGTATCCTGATCAGACTGCGCAGGCTGGTCTGGATCCATGCTGGCCGCAAACCCATTATGTTGGTTTTGTCGTGACGCGGCTCTTTTGTTTTGTATACAGATTCATAAAAACATGCTTACGTATTCTGTGTATTCTGCACTGACAATTCAGGTGATATGTGCAATTGGAATCCCCGTTCCAGATCAAGCCGCGCAAATGGTATTGGGTATATATATTGAGTTAGTATTTGATCTTCCAATTTGGCTGTAACATCAAAACCAAAAGACAGTAGATTGAAAGTTTCCAATTTATAAAAATGTATTTTCTTGGAATATTATTCTAATCACTAATAGCTTCTAAAGATGTCAAATACTAGCGTTGAAAATGAACTCTATTTTGTATCCTAGGGTACTGAATGTTTACTATTGCCATATTACATTGAATTTACAGATATATATGTACAATATAGGCAAAAAAACATAACAAACCAATGAAACAAAATGGGTAAAGAAATAACAATTTCGAATATCTACAGCTTGGAAAACTCTAAAGTTAACCTGGTTGATATCACATTTCACTGTTTATTCCGTGGCCAAATGTGTAAACTATTGGCGTATGAATCCCGCAAGCTAAGGACATAGGGTATATTTCATGTAAGAAAGTTTTCCATATAGCCTATGGCAGGTCGGTGGTTCTTCTTAGGTGCCAGCTTACTGTCTAAAATACTGTTATCTAATGAAAGGGCACCAAGTGTCTTAGAGTAAAAGTCACCGAATGATCTTAATACATGTAGTGTTAGTGTTGGTGCAACTTTATACCCAACTAAATTCCTTCATTTGAAAAGAGTGAACAACATGTATAATGTAAGAGTTTTTCATGAATTATCAATGGCAGAAATGCCAGATTCTTAAAACTGAAGAAAAATTACCTATCCAAGAACTTTGCAAGCTTTGGATTTGGTAGATGTGTTCCAGACTGCATCTGTTTAGGTGATACACTGCCTGGCCTCCAAGGTATTGTGTGGGCGGTCATGGAGAGCCTCGGTGTATGGGTATTTGATGAACCCAGGTTCGGAACACTGGCAGATCTGTCAGGTTCCGTAAGAAGGGTTGGTATTTTGCTAGGCATTAGTGGTTCACTATTTGGTCTGCCAATAGATTTCCATCTACTTCTGGAAAGAGATAGTTAGTTTTTCAATTTTACATTGTTCTTCAAAATAATTCTTTTTATGTAGCGGTTATTTTATGTAGCGCTTGAGTAAATACCATTAATTGCAATGGCTACAGATTTTGCAAAATTTTAACTTCAAAGTGGTTATAATCAAAACTAAATACGTAAACAAAACGGAGCATGCTTTGATTTTGTAATGGCTTTGCAACTGTTTAAGGATGAGGGAATATATTCATACAGGCTTTCATTATTTGAGTATTCTTTTAAGCAAAATAGCATCAGAAGGAATAAATAACTTTTGAAAAGTCTGGAAAAAGAGTCTGTATACATGAATAAAAGAAAAATTGATTAATTTTTACTCACTTTGTTGGCATCGCGAGTTTATCCACGCTTTAACAGCTAGGATGCGTCGTCGATCTGAAAATACATTACTTAAACTAAAATATTGAGCACATAATTTTGTAGCAAAACTACGAAAGACTGGTGGGGACATTTCATTTTCATGAATTTTCCGATTTCATCTCGTGAATTCACAATTTTATCTTCCTGAATTCACGTTTTCAACATAAGAAATTCACGATTTCAACTTCATGAATTAACTATTTCAACTTAATGAATTCAAGATTTCAACTTCTTAATTCACGATTTTAATTTAACGAATTCACGATTTCTCGAATTTAAATCGTGAATTCATGAAGTTGAAATCTTGATTTCGTGCAGTTGATTTTTTTGACGGGTGTCAAAGGGTAACCTTTTTGTAAAAACACTTATTTTACGAGTTAGGCCTTTACCTCAGCAAGACCACTTTTAAAAACAGTATGAAATATCAAGTGACAAATATGCAAACAAGTTACTCTTATTGAATAATTCATTGGTCTTTTAAAATGGCAAGTTTTAAAAGGGACTGCTACAGGCGAGGATTACTGTTTGAAACGTTTAAAAACATATGGTTATCTGGGAATTTAAATAATGCCAAGGGTAACTAAAAACCAATTCGGAAGCCGGAACTTCAAGCAAATCATCGAATCAGTCAAGTGGTCTTAAAAACAGGCTTTTCTAGCAATTTTGTTTGAAATTGTAAAAATTTGGAAGTTGCACCCGAGAATTCAAGAAGTTGAAATATCCCCACTGGTCTTTCGTAGAAAACACGTTCATTTATTGAAAACGAGATCAACCCTCACCAAAGTTCAGCAAGCACGGTGCACGTTTTAATATCAATTATGGCAAATCATCAATGTGACAAGATATCAATTATGGCAAGTTATCTATATGGCAAGTATTTAAATATGTCAAGCTGTTATCAATATGGCAAGTTGTCAATATGGCAATTTATCAAGAAGGTAAGTTATTATAATTATGAAACGTTAAGAACATATGGCAACAGTTATCAATAAGGCAATTTATCAATATTGCAATTTAACAAAAAATGGGAAATTATCAAATGGCAAGTCATCATTTTGGTAAGTGATCATTATGCAAGTCATCAGTAATCAAGGTATCAATGTGGCAATTTATAAAAAGGACAGGTTATCAATATGACAAGTTATTAATATGTAATTGACAGATTGTAATTATTCAATGTTTAAATATGGCCAGTTATCAATATGGCAAAATTTTCAAGGTATCAATATGGCAAGTTATCAAGATCATAAGTTATCAAGATTTTTAGTTATTTATTGGGCCAGTTATCAATATAGTAAGTTACCAAAATGATAAGTTATCACAATTCATGGTTTTAATATGGCAAGGAATCAATATGGCAAGTTATCACTATTCAGGGTATCAATATGGTAAGGTATAAATATGGCAAGTTATCACTATGTCAAGTTATCACTATGTCAAGTTATCACTATCTCAAGTTATCACTATTCAAGGTTTCAATATGGCAGGTTATCAATATGGCAAGTTATCACTATGGCAAGTTATCACTATGCAAGTTATCACTATGTCAAGTTATCACTATTCAAGGTTTCAATATGGAAAGTTATCACTATGGCAAGTAATCACTATTCAAGATATCAATTTTGAAATTTATCAATATGGCATGTTTATTTTTATCATATATCAAGTATAATATGGCAATGACAATATGGCAAAGTTATCACTAGTCAATCTCTCACCATTCAGGACAATTGGCAAGGTTTCAATACACAATATAATAATAGTCATTTATCACATTCAGAGACAAATTTTGAATTTATCAATTAGCAAGTTAATGATATGAAATTAGCACTATTTAAAGTTTATCAATATTGGCAAATTTAATTATTCAAAGTTAAAATAGGGCAAGTCGATGTGTCCGGAATTATGTCATAACAAAACACATGTAAGAAAAATAATCAGTTTTAAATAAGAGCAGCAGACACTTATTAATTTCACACAAGCATAAAAATGAATAATACACAAAACGATTATCCTAAATAATTCATACTATATAGTTACGACAATTCTATTATAACAGACAGTCACATGATAAATCAAATTACTTCATCGAATGATGTAACAGTGATCATTAACAGCTAAATAACTAATATGAAATACTACAAATCCGCCAACTCCCGGCCAAAAAAAAAGCAGCAAAAATTAAAAAAAAAAAATAAAGTAACAAAAACGAAAGCAAATGAAAATTTTACTTTACATTGATATATACAAACTTTAAAGCGGCACACCTTTATACATACGGAATGCTATGACAAAATGTATTTGGAAACAACAAACCAATCCGTTACCGAAGATAAATTTCAAAACATAGCATCAATTAAAGGCATGCAGCTTTAAACAAACAAATTACAAACAATAAACAAACATGCTAATAGCAATTACAAAAATCAAATTGAACAAAATGAAACATTGTGATATTAATCTTAAAATACAAACAAGAACAAAGATAACGTAGAGATACCATTATCATGTGTTCTATAACCATAAAAGAAGTACAATACCTTCTTTAAAAGTTATCAAGTTTCAAGTTTCAAATTTATTAGCATCATCAGCAAATCAATTGCCTTTGGTCATTTACAAAGAAAACACATGAAGTATGGCAAAGACATACAATACAGAATAGTATAATAACAATACAAATTCATACAAACAAAAACTTTCATGAAACAGTTAAAGTTTCAAGGGTATTTTTACGCAATTCAAAAGCCTCTTTAATAAATTTCGATAATAAAATCAGTTTCTTTTTGCTGTTACAAGACATAATACTATTAAATTTATTCAAGGAAGGCCATGATATGTTACCAAGGTATTTCTGTCGAATTTGAGAGTATTTTGTACAACATAGGAGAAAATGATATTCGGTTTCTGTTACATTTTGATTACACATTTTACATAGACGATTTTCTCTATCTAATCTACTATATCTGCCTAGTTCTACCTCTAAATTGTGTGAACAAAGTCTTAAACATGTAAATTGTTTTCTATGCATATCATTGGTAATCTTATCTAAATAAGTTTCATAGATAAATGTTGTTTTAAATTGTCTGTAAAAATCTAATTTAGATATATTATTTAACGATGTATTCCATTCTTGTATAAACTGATCACGTAATGTTCTTTTTAACAGAGGAAAATAATTCATACTTGTATCGAAGTTAAGTCTTATATGCGAATATCCAAGGTGATCTAAAATGGAATGAATGCGACTTGCCCAACAAGAAATATTTACATTGTTGCATTGGTCAATATAAGCATTAAAAATAGGCATGTTTATAGAATTTTTAATTTTCAACCAGTATTTGAGTGCTCTCTCTTTTGCAACAATAGACAATGGAAATATCCCTAATTCCCCATAAATTGCCATATTTGGTGTCTGTTTACGTACTCCTAACAAATATTTTAAAAATCTTATATGTAGTTTATCTACTTCTTTGAAATTGTAAACACCCCAAGTTTCCGATCCATAAAGCAAAATAGGTACAACCATAGAATTAAAAAGTTGTAATTTGGTTTTGATATCTAATTTAACTCTATCAAAAATAAACATCAGATTATGGTATGCCTTAAGGGCCTGGTCTGACAACGATTTAACTGCATTTAGAAGATTTCCAGTGTATGAGAATTTAACACCTAGATATGTGAAATTATCAACAATTTCAATATTTTCATTATTTATAAAAAAGACGTTATTATGATCAGTTCTTCTCTTTTCAAAAACACACACTTTTGTCTTATTTACATTGACTTTCAAACCCCACTTTAACGAGTAATCATATATTGTGTCTAACTGTGCCTGTAAACTATTAGGATCAGTTGTGAACAGTTCAATGTCATCTGCAAAAAGTATCATATACATAGATAATAGCTCTAGATCTTTATTAGTCATTGCATTTATATCAATATTTGCAGAAATATCATTTATGAAAAGTATGAATAGCAAAGGAGACAATGGTTCTCCCTGTTTCAAACCCAACGTTACATAGAAAAAATCTGACATAGACATACTAGAAGATATTTTCACACAACATTTTACATTACTATATATATTTCTAATCATGTTAATCATTTTACAGCTAACGCCAGATTGAAGTAGTTTTATCCATAACTCATCTCTCACAACAGTGTCAAATGCCCTTTGGTAGACGATAAAAGCGCACCAAAGTTTTTCCTTTTTCGATAAAACTTTTTGAATAATAGTATGTAGCAAAAAAATGGCGTCAGCTGTAGAACGATTATCACGAAAGCCAAATTGTTCATCACAGAAAATATTTTCTTCTTCACACCATTTATTTATTCTGTTCCTAAGCGTTAAAGAGAAAATTTTGGCTATAACATTCACTAAGGTAATCCCTCTATAGTTAGAAGGGTCATGAACATCGCCTTTCTTATAAATAGGTACATTTATACCTTTACACCAGGCCTCAGGGTAAATTCCTGATTCGAATATTTTATTAAATATTATACAAAGATATGGTGATATAAAATCTTTCGCGTCAATAAAAAAGTCAGCTACATTGTTTTCGTAATCACAACTTTTATGGCGGTTTAATGTAGAAATAGTTTTTATAATTTCATTAACAGTCAAAGGTGAATCTAAAACATCAATTATAACGGTTTCATCACGTGAGAATCTCTCAGAATCAGAATTCAGTTGTATATTTGGTGAATTAGAAAAAGTTGAAAAATAATTTTTAAAGTCGCTCAAACTAACATTGTTATGAGTTTTATCACGTTTTTTAAAAAAATTTTATGTACTTCCAGAATTTGCGCGGGGACTTCTTACTAACATCTGCTAATTTAGTTTTTTCCTGATTATAAAAATTATTCTTTGCATGACGTTCGCTTTTGCGAATTCATTTCTAAATTTTTAAAAATGATAATTTGTTCTCTTCTGAGTTATGGTTCTTGAATACACGTTTAGCACGGAAAAATAAGGCTTTTGCATCTCGACATTTTTCATTGAACCATGGAGATTTTTTCTCTTTAGTGATAGGGACAGACGAAAATGTTTTACCACAACTTTGAAATGATAAATCATGCACAAGTTTAGAAAAAGCATCAACACCCTGGTTCACATCAATATCACTAGACTCAAGTTTTCTTATAATGTCGTCAAATCAGTTTTACTTAAAAGTAAATTAAAAATAGTTATCAATATTGCAAGATAACAAAGTATGGCAAGTTAACAATATATGGCAATTCAAAATATTAAAGTGAATTGGTCTACAATGGCACATATTTCATAATTATTTCAAATACAAACAAATGTATTGATAAAAACAACAGATCTGTATCACTTGTATATTTTTTTATAAAATACTACTTGATTAAAAAAATGATACAGTTTAAAGTGATTTAGTATTTAGATTAATATGGTGAAACATAATATTTTGTTCTAGATCATTTTGTCGTCTGCTATATAAATATATGTAATATCGGATCATGTGTCTCACACTTGCAAACAAAACATATATGAGCCGTGTCACGACAAAACCAACATAGTGGGTTTGCGACAAGCATGGATCCAGACCAGTGCAGTCTAATCAGGATCCATGCTGTTCGCTTACCAACTCTATTATAAGAAGAGAAACTGATAACGAACAGCATGGATCCTGATCAGACTGCGCGGATGCGCAGGCTGGTCTGGATCCATGCTGGTCGCAAACGCACTATGTTGGTTTTTGTCATGACGCGGCTCATATTATATCTTATTCTTCCGTGATTTGCTGTTATGTCTTATACTTAGTATATTTTCAATGTAATTATTTATTGTATTATATACTGGCCATTATGTAGACTAATTCACTTTAACAAAATATGGAAAATAAGCAAAATATGGAAAGTTATCAAATTAAAATATGGCACAATCCCGTATTGCTTTGCAGTCAAAAATAAATCTTTCCCTTAAATTCAGTTTTTAAATATTTAAGGATGCATAAAATCTATATCTTCAAATCAAATAAGGATTGTGGGATCCACGTGGTTATAAAACTTTTTAGTCTCAAAGCTCATGATTTCATGAGAAGAATCCCTTGATATAATTCGGATAACACTTGCACTAATAATCTTCCTTTCGATTCTCAGGGGAAAAAAACATTCCCTTTTTTCAGAATAGTTCATGATAATACGTTTAAAGCTGTAAAAGACCTCTTTTAATGTTTTACACATGCAGAAATAACAGCAGATATCATTTACAATTTTTTTTAGATACGTTTGTTTAAGGTCGCCGCCGGAAAGCCCATATGGGCGACCGTACACTCAAGTCGGGCCATCCCAGGAAGACCCCAGGTGCCCGGCCGGGCATTATTTCAGGCACGAGCGGGCACCTGGGTAGAACCACCGACCTTCCGTAAGCCAGCTGGATGGCTAGCTGGATGGCTCACTTACATGAAAGATTTCGACCCGAGTGAGGATCGAACCTACAGCGGTGAGGGACCTGTGCTCTCAAGTCAGCGACTTTAAATCATTTACAAAGGTTCTCGATAGTGTTTATATGGGTGGTTATGGAACGCCGTGTCTGTCTTATGTAATCGATGTTTTTGTTATTTTGTGAAACGATGATATTATTTTGTCGTTTGAGCATGTTAACATGTGAAATTTACATCATGTCTTGTCAAAGGAACATGCTGACTTGTACAAACAGCATGTTAACTTGTCAAATTATTATGATGACATGTGCAGACAACATACTAACTTGTCAAAGTATCATGATGACTTGTGCAAACGACATGTTAACTTGTCCAAATATCATGATGACTTGTGCAAACGACATGTTAACTTGTCCAAATATCATGATGACTTGTGCAAACGACATGTTAACTTGTCAAAAATTCATGATTACATGTGTCCGGTAATGAATATGTAGGACGTAAGCCTACAGTCAACCCTTTGTCTCGTTTTTCATTTAATATGAATCAGTCCGGTGTCCTAAAATATTTTACGAGGTTGTCATAAAAGTACGTCCTACTAATTCATTACTGAACAAAACATTTTGCTGCGAAAGCTGCCAAGAGCTTTTAAGGCCGCCTTATAAAATTCATAACATGACAGCAACATCTTGGACATAAATAATTGAATAAATAAATAAAAAAAAATGAATAAAAAATGTTAAAGTTAACTAAAATTATGGCAAAACTGGTTAATTAAGTATATTGATGTAGTTATATGATTTTATAGCTCTAAAAGTAAATAGAAAAGAAAAACAAGACTATCGTTCAATATCGTTAAAAAAACACATAAATTACTATCTACACTACATATATTTGTAATAATTTAGACTTCAAAAACTTACGGCGACTTATTCAGTGCCATCTTGACGCAGTAACTTACGAGCTGACGTCGTCTTGTTGACCTTTGAACTAACAATGACCAATCAGATTAAGCATATGATAATTGTGACGTCATGACATGACGCCGCGTGACGATGGTCAAGTAATATTCGTGAAAAAGTCACATAAATATGAAGGAGATCTAGGATAAATCAATATAATATTTTACTGATTTATGTAATTTCCACGTTAAGTGTTTGACAAAGAAATCCCTTGGAGCGCCGTTTCACTAAAACTTCCTTCGTTTTGCGTATTTTTACGTAAATTAGAACTTACGCAAAACGTTAAAACTTTTTTCTAGAGACTATTTCATTTTCATCTTTGAACAAACTGGTCCCATCTATATAGCTTGGAGAATCGAAAAACTTGACAATTGAGCAAAATTATCACTTAAGGTACAAAGTTTACGCCAAAATTTAAACTTAGAGCCATTCTTCGGAAATTTTGTTATGTATTACCTTGAAACTTCATCATTTGTTGAAGTAAAATTAGAAAGAGCATATTAATTTCACTTCAACAAATGATGAAGGCTATAATTCCCTATTCTCTATTGATGACTTAATTTATTCAATCAAAACTGCAAAAGATAGTGCTGCAGGCCCGGACGAAATTTACTACCAGTTTCTTAAACATTTACCACCCAATCTCTTGACTTGCTCCTTGAAATTTTTAACAAAATTTGGGTATCTGGCAAATTTCCCAACACTTGGAAAAAATGCGTTGGTTATTCCTATCCCTAAGCCTGGAAAAAATTCAACTGACCCTACAAACTATCGTCCAATTTCACTTACAAGTTGCCTCTGTGAAACATTCGAGAGAATGATAAATAATCGGTTAGTTTGGTATCTAGAAAATAATGGAATTATCATTTTAATTTTCAGTCAGGTTTTCGTAAACAGCGAAGTACAAACGATCATCTTGTACAACTTGAAACTTTTATTAGAGAAGCCTTTGTTAATAAACGACACCTGGAATTAATTTTCTTTGATCTTGAGAAGGCTTACGATACTACTTGGAAATATGGTATCCTAAAAGATCTAAAGGATGCTGGACTTAAAGGCAGACTTTCTCTTTTCATTTCTGGATTTCTAAACGATAGGCACTTTAAAGTAAGACTTGGTTCAACTTTTTCTGAGGACCACCAACAAGAACAAGGTGTTCCTCAAGGAAGCATACTATCTGTTACACTTTTTGGCCTTAAAATAAACAATATTGCTAGCGCTCTTACACCAGGCATAGATTGTTCTCTAAATGTAGACGATTTTCTTATCTGCTATCGATAGAAAAGTATGAGAACAATTGAAAGGCAACTTCAACAAAATTTAGATAAAATTCAAAAGTGGGCAATAGAAAATGGTTTTAAATTTTCAAAGTCAAAAAACTCAGTGTGTTTATTAATGTCGATTGCGGAAACACCACAATAACCCTGAACTTTACATATCTGGTTCTAAAATTCCAGTAGTTGGTGAAGCTAAGTTTTTTTAGGAATTATATTTGATAAAAAACTTTCTTTTAAACCACATATTCAACATTTGAAAACTAATTGCCTATAATGTGTCTTCAAAATCCCAAATAAAAAATGTATATTCATCATTTGAGTATTTTCCTTTGGCAAGCATGTTCTTTGCATACTCCCTTATCAAGAAGCTAACCTTTAGAATGAGGGGAAAAAACGTCGAAAGCTAAAGAAAATCGGTTGCTTTTATTTAACTGATTATTTATACTTTTAGAATTAGGAAATGGAAATATCTGTCGCTGAAAACGTGTTCATGATGCCAATCTCGGAACACAATGTATATTTAACTATATCCAGTTATGTAAACTGATCTTTGATTAGTTGATTTCATAAATTTGCGTTTTACCATTTTGCTAATTCGTATTTTACGACAATTTGTTTCGCTGGGAAGTACGAGGTGTTTGATCGCGACATAACTTTCAGGTCATTTACATTGTGAATTTGTGTCATATATGAACTACAAATGTAATATTACCATTGAAGACCTCATGACGATATTGTTAATGTAACTTAAAATTTCGTCTTTTGGATATGATCTAGGTTTCTTTGCTAACTTCTAATATAACTTAAGCTACCCTTTTTGTTAATAATAAATTGGCCGCTCCTTGTCCCCGGTTAACTGCCCCAGCCCTTTTGATGCCAATTTGGGTGCCGAATCTTTTGAACTTGTTGATTGGGGGTGTGTGGTTAACGTTGCTCTTCCTTGCTGATCTTTGTTTTCATGTTATCTTCCTCTTCCACACACAATTGCAAGGTTTCAGCTTTTCCCGCCACTCATTGTATAGGAATAATTGGCGGGGCGTTCTGAATGCTCAACTTATATATAAATATATATATGCTGTTACCGCAATGATTCCAGAAAGTGTTACTTCAAAAAAACTTTATATATGTACAATGTATGTAAATAGAAATTGGTATTACTATTTGTGAAAAAGAAGCTACAATACAATATAATTCGATGCGGTACGAACCGATGCAATACAATCCAATAGACAACAATTTCCGTATATATAAGGCCAATCAATCAAACGTATATTGTTATTCAAAATCATATTTCACAGAAATATTTCGTCGCATATTGTTTGGTTATAAAATCTATTAAATTTAAAAATGTGTAGTTTAAAATATAGGCCTTTAATTGTTACTGTTTTAAATAACCAGTATTAAAAAAACTAAAGTTGGGCCTACAACAAGTTCTTTTTTTACATTATATTTTTATTATACTTCAAGTTTCCACCGCACTTTTCGTCGGATAACTGTTTAAAACTTTATATATATGTAGTTTTATATGCACGGCTGCTGTCACTTTTCTAAGATATCTCATTTTTTTCTCTTAAAAACGTAAATTTGCTGTTTTATTATTTCGTTATAAATATTCCTGGTAGGTTATATGACCGTATTTAACGGTTGTTTGCAATATAACGGCTCGGGTTATATTTCAAAACAGCCGTTAAACAGCCGTTTATAAAGTGCCATATTACCTGTCAAAGAACTGTATAACTATTAATATATCAAACCATAAACGGTGCTGAAATCATCATACATATTAAAAAGATGCAATTTCGTGCGAAAGTGTGGAAAAAAGAGCCATAGTTCGTTCAACGCAAAAGTGATATTTTTCGCGCCAAAAAAAATGCTAGAGATATAGCCGTGGCAAAGGACATATATAGGCCTATTTTTTTTACAAATCATAACATTAAATAAATTCCATATTTTTCACAATACTATACTTAGACCTACAAAAGTTACTGGGACAGGGCGCTCCGCGTAAACGTCATTCGAACTTAACAATGTACAGCATATTCTAACTATAATATAAAAAAAATATCGTCAGAGATGTCTTTAATTAATTCTACAAAATATGATGCTTCTATTTTTAGATAAAATCAAATTTTATAGCAAAAAATGTAGAGAAATACTTACGGCGACTTATTCAGTGCCATCTTGACGCAGTAACTAAGGAATAGACGTCGCGTACTAACCTTTGAACTTTGAGCAGCCAATGAAATGAATCCAAGATATTATGACGTAATGAACTAAAGACGCGGACTAATTTAAACGGCGTTTACTGTACCACGCTGAACGTGCGTACTATATAATCTGTGCATGGAAGACCTGTTTCAATATACATTGTTTTTTTTGTGTGGTTTTTATTTCGGGACTACGGACCGGCTACAATGTAAACGCTGACAGTCTTGATTAAAATAATTACATTATCATATTAATATGTTGTAAACTAATTGTTTTTTTGTTTACATGTTATTACAAAATGTATGGTCTAAGAAATTTAAAAAATGTTCTATTCTATTATAACTACAAAGCGTTAACTTTTGAAGAAAATTGCATAAGCGTTATCTTGGTTATATTAGGGACTTATATTTCATATAACTCTGTGGTTATATATTTTCCATAGTTATATCATAATGTCATAATTGTATGACATACCATGCTGAATATGTTTCTCTGTACATGGTTCGTTGCGTTATATAGTATAGCACTATAAAGAAAATAATATATAATATATAACTAGATCTAGTGTGATTAAAAATAACGATTATGATATAATAACAAGTACAAAGTTTAATTGATGTTGTTGTTGTTGTTGTTGTCGTCGTCCATGTTGTATGTTAAATAGTGTAAAATTTGGATGATTTGTCATTAAAACTCGATTTGCAATACTCACTAATAATTATTATATAGGTTTTTTTTTGTTGTTGTTTTTGTTTTTTTTGGGGGGGGGCGGGGGTAAGGGGTAGGGGCAGGGTACTTGAAGGGATTTTGCCAGCTGATTGTTCATACGAGACAAGCTTAGTTCTTTTGGGGTTGAAATTCCATAAATAACATCCCCGTCTATTCCCGGGGATTTGGACCGTGGTACAATTGACAAGTGCATAATAAACGAAATTAAATTGAATGAAATTTGATGACATTTACCTGACAAATATCTCTTGTATGAACATCTTTTAACGTCCCGAAATGATCAAATGGGTCTTGCGTGTACATTGTATATCTCTGTCACAAAGGCTGAAAATAAACTTTAAAGAAAAAACCTATATTGTTTTTTTTTTCTCTTAAAATGAAAAAAAGGCCGAACCCGTGACAGCTGATGTTTGGTATGAAGCAACATGCACCTAGTTGTTCCATAAAAAATACAAGGTATTGAATTTCCCTCCCCAAGTCATTCGTGGCTACAGGTTTTGATATATGAGTAAAACTGATCCCATCTCGGTAATATTTGATTTCCCAAAATTTCTCAAAAGATTTTTGTCCAGAACTGATGGTTGATTTACAGTTAAAGCTCCATGCTTCCAGATTAACCATAATCTTTCAAGAAAATCAGCATTGAAAAAAAAATTGCATTAAGCTTTTAAACAAGAGGGCCATGATGGCCCTGAGGTCGCTCACCTGTATATAGGCCTCTGGAGCGGGGCCAGTTTAAACCCCAGGGCTTTTATTTGAACAAACTTGAAAGACATCCATTAGAAGATGTTTCATGATGTTAAGTTTTTACGACACGCATATAATGAAAAACAATGATCTTTCTACTGCTTCTCCCCCTCCCGGCAGGGCCAATTTTAACCCAAGGGCTTTTATTTGAACAAACTTGGTAGACACCCATAAGAAGATGTTTCATCCTAAACATCTAAGCTCTAGCTCATTGGGTTTTTTAAAAGAAGTTTTTTTAAGTTTTTACTATACACATATAGTTAAAAAAACAATGACACCCCTGGGGCGGGGCCAATTTTGACCCCAGGGCTATTATTTGAACAAACTTTGTAGACACTCACTAGAACATGTTTCATGCTTAATATCTAAACTCTAGTAAAGCCACTAAATTTTCGAAGTACACCTTACCAGTAGTGCAAGTCTTCCTCGGGGAGGTAGGGAAAGGTAAACTTTCAAAACAAAAAGAGTAAATATTGAGTTTTGACGAATTGCGGTGCCTTTTCTTCATTGTTTTTTCGCTAAATAATGTTAAATGATATATTTTATGTTTATTAACGTATTATTACCAAGGAATTTGTATATTTGTGTAAAAGCGTTTTCCACCCTATAATAGACCTTCAATGTTTTTAACCTTTGGGATTTTGACCATGTCAAAAATTATCTAAAAATCCCGTAGGTTAAAATATTTTGACTAGGTACGGGTCAACTCGGCCCATAATTATATATTACTGGTAATGAATACTTTTATTACTTTTTATATGTTTTCATCATAACTTTCATTGTTTAATATTTTCACGTTTATATATCTCTACTCAACAGTGATTTTTTTACCTCTGCATCCCGAGTCCAGGACTCATTGAATTTGCTGTGGATGCAAAGTTTCAAATAATGTGCATCTTTTGGATGCATACTTTTTCTGAGTAGGGAGTCCTGTCTGACAGGAATTTGGTAATAAATACCAAATTGTGTTCAAGTTATGTCAATCATATTCTAGGTCTGCAAATCTTCTACAGATAAGAAATAATAATGTGCTATACTATAGATAAGCATAAAAATATTAAGGAAAATGAAGTTTTGATTAATCTCAAACTAAATTAATGGAAATAAACTTATTAAATTTATTTGACAGTTTTGAATAATTTCAGTATCAGAAGCATTGTAATTAATGTAGAAATCAAATTCATTTTTTCTTCATTCCATTGTTAATATACCTTTCATATCACTAAAGCAATATTAAGCCTTGTAACTTGGATTTGTCGGCTAAATTTTGGGACTCATAGATTTATAGCCCAGCGAGTCCTAGGACCCACACTGATGAGTTTGTAAAAAAATCACTGACTCAAGGATAATCAAAAGTTTTATTGACGAAAGTACCAATTTGTATGTGATTTTGTAGAGAAAGGATAAATTTACAATTTATATGCATGTTTGTCAGATGTTTTTTGTAAAAAAAATATCGTTAAATCAGCATTGGTCGTATTAGCCTATTTAATTCGGCGTGAACGGTTTGACCCATTTTACAGATTTTTTTCCCTTACTGAAAAAGACAGCGCCCGTCCAAAATTATCTCGGTGTCTTTTTGACAAGTTTAATTAGTTGGACTATGGTCGTATTAAAGAACAAATAGTGTTAAATACAATAGCATTTAGTGTCATAAAAATTCAATCCAAAAACTTTATTTATGGATCAATATTTAACATATATTGTACTGTTTTGATATCTCTTCTTAACTAAGATAATTTCAAACAATACGTACATATGTACACTGCCAACCTTTTCAATTTCTATTTGTAATTGGTCGTACTTCTGAATACTTTTATAATAATTTACTCCTTAAATTTTTATTAACTAAACAATCTATATCCTTTTATAAGTTTTTAATAGAGGGCCGAGTTGACCCGTGCCAAGTTGGTATAGGGCCGAGTTGACCCTTTACCCATTTAACATGTTTAACCATTTTATTTCACTTAATGTCCGTGATAAAAGTAACAGATGTATTTATTTATCTATTAGATCTACTTATTGTCACACAGGTTACTCTAGTTTTCTTGAAAATCGTGACATTATAAACCTGAAAAATCCTCAGGCAGTTTCCAGGTTTTAAACCCTGGACCTCTCGTTTACAAAGTAGGCACTCAACTACAATGCAAAGGTAAACCAAACAGAAATGGCCTACAACTTTAATTACTCAGGGCTCATCCTGGGGGGGAATTTTAGGGAGAAGTGACTTCCTCGCGAAAATTAGGGAGAATGGAAACAACCCAATGTGTATGCATTAACATGCATGGCTATACATCCTTTAATTATAATATAAACACAATTAACATCACATATAATATTTCTCCAGTTTATTAATTAATAGTAGATTAATTAATAGTAGTATTAATTAATAGTAGATCTGGCAATGACATCTAAATGTTTTTGAGCTGCAAATATGAATAAAAAAAATTATTTTTGATATCTATTGATCAGCTATTTATAAGCTTTCTCTAAATATGTGTTTATATATTTTCATGTAGATTTGTTGATAATAATGTGTAAGAAAAGATATGATGATAAAATCAATTTTATATTTTTTACTTTCCTCACTTTTAATAGAAGATGAAGTCACATTGGATATTGATTAATAATATCTGTTCTATTCTGTTCTGGTAACAGAATTTTCTTTCAAATTCCAAAATGTTGTAATGTCACATTTATATGCATATAATTATGCTTATAAAACAATTTTCAAACATCAAAGAATATGTTAAATATGTACTGCAAACATTTGTGCACATTATATTTGATCACTAAAATTACATACATTCATTTCTTATTGAAAAATTTGACTGAGAAATTGTAGAAAATTAATTTCTAATTACCTCCCTTTATTTTCATGAAATGCTAAATTCGGTAATATCTTTATATTAGAATAATGCTTTTTAACATTTACAATATTGATAATCTTAATCTGAGCGTCATATTTACGACATTAAAACAAATATATATTGAAACAAAAAGAACACTTCTTTCCTGACAAATTTTGTTGTTATATATGTTACATGATATACGACCGATATTTAGCCGGGATGTCGTGCCCACGTGCGTAAACTGTGTCAAATTTGGCATTTAATGCCAAACAGCCCCACTGTCTACAACATACCAATCGCAAGTTTTTTTGCGAATTGGCTTTCTTAAATTTTCGCGTAGGTGTAACTATCAGAATCAGTAACTTTCTTAAGTTGCTCGGTTTCGGCATTTCGCCTTGTAGCCATGACATGAGCGACATAACAATTTACAGTAAAAATTGATGTTAACAGACTGAAATCATTCAAGACTATGATTAAGTTTTTAATCCGTTCGCTGATCATTAATGAAATTAATTATTTTTAATTGACTAACAGTTTTGTGATAGCCGTGAAAAATCCATTGCACATCGCCTTTAGTTACTCGGGTTAAAAACCCGCCATCGAAGTGCATCGTGTATATCAATTAGGGAAGATTGCACATGTTTAGATAATCGGGAAAAAACAATCTATAATTATCGCCAAATCCCGTATTAAACTCGCAAAACTATCACACAATTATACCGTTTCGGGCCGATGCTCTCATTATTTACTGTTCTAGAGTAGGCGGTCTATCGCTTTGCTTACAGGTAGAAGGGTAGTATAAAGCGACGCTCTGATTGGATAATGATAATTAGCGGTCGTCATATGGGCGGATACAATCTCTGCTCTTTACATCGCTAAGTAATTACTATTTGGGAATTAAGATTTTATCGGCGATGTTGACTTCTCTTTGATCAATCGGGAGAGCGAAATTGGAATATACACGGCGAAGTTTTCGCCTGAATCGCCCTTCCGGATGAGCCCTGTGAGTATTAAATACTGCACATTAAATCCTGATGCAGAAAAAAATCAATATGATTTTTTTAATTGATAAAATATTCAACAACATAATCATTAGACAAACATACTGGCCATGGACCATCAACCGGACACTTTATAATCCGAAAAAACATATTTCAGTTCCTTAATATAGCCTATATTATAGGTTTGTATAGTAAAAATTATAGTTACTGACTTGTGCCTCGTTTTCGCCCTGCGACTCCGCCAAGCAAAAAGTCAAAAATTGACAAGTAAAAATGTCAGGGTGCGGAGCGAAAACACCCTATTTTGCAGGGATGCGGGGCGAAGTTTAATAAATAAAACTTCATCCCACAGGGGTGGAGGCCGTGATTAAAGAAATAAAACGGCGAGGGTGGCGGAGCGAAAACATGCTAATTAGCACCCCTGCTAATTAGCATGTTTATGCTCCGCATCCCCACCATTTTAACTTGTTAATTATCGCTTGGCAAGTTGCAGGACGAAAACACGCTTATCAGCGAGGGCGCGCGGCGAAGTTTTATTTCATTTAACATCGCTTTGCGCCCCCGCTTGTTGTCATGTTTTTGCCCCCTATGCTATTTTATTTCTTCGGCTCCGAAGTTTTATTTATTTAACTACGTCTGCACCCACGCTAATTAGCGTGTTTTCACTCTGTGCCCCCACCATAACTTGTTAATTATCGACTTTTCGCTTGGCAGGGTTGTGGGATGAAAACAGGCTTATTAGTGGGAGCGTGGCGAATTTCGCCCCACACCTCCGCTAATTAGCATGTTTTTGTTCCGCGACCCCAATGTTTTATTTCTTAATTTTCGCTCGGCGCCCCACGGGGTGAAGTTTTATTTATTTTACTTTGTCCCGCGCCCTCGCTAATGAGCGTGTTTTCGCTCCCCGACCCCACCATTTATACTTGTTAATTTTCGACTTTTCGCTTGGCAGAGTCACGGGACTAAAACACAAATGTCACAAATCAGCCACCATAAAAATGACTTAAAAGACCTCTCATCAGAAACTACAAGGCATTGTGCTAAGGTATTTTGCATGTAGCAGGTAAAACTTAAAAAAAAAATTAGGGAAATTTTTTCAAAAATAAAGGGAAAATATATTATTATAATTTTATATAATATATGAAAAATAAAATTTATATATGTTTTAAAAAAGGGGAATGGCGCAGAATTTCAGCATTAAAATTTGTGAATTGAGAGCCCTGTTAGCATATGTGAAATACAGATGATTTATTACCTGAAAAGTTCATATTTTTTAAGGTCACACAGTTAAATTACAAAAAATAACCAGACAGCCTTCATGTTTTGTGACTTGACATTAACTTTTAACGAACAGAAAGTGATTAGACTTTGTCTCCAGTTAAGATCCTCAACAGTCTGCACATCTGTGTCTATACTGTTTAAGGCTCAATATTTTAATTATAATAATTGAAATCCCTTCAACTTTGAATGGACTGTTCTAAATTCAAAGTAGGGCAAATCCATATATATATTTATATTTGTATATATATGGATTTGCCCTACTTTGAATTTAGAACAGTCCATATATAAAAATTATATATATTCTGGGTTATCATGTATACACTAGCCATTGTTGCATCAAGTATTTATTTATATCCTATTTAAGTATTTTATTTGTATTTTCAATTTCAGGAAATGGTAACATATGTTATTACAGGCAACGCTATAAGAGGGTATCATGAAACTTATAAGCAGTGGACACCCAAAAAATATGAAGTTCTAAAGTGCATTTTTGATCAGGGGATAGTTTCTGTAATGAAAGGAAAAGTGAACTGTGGCTCTGTGCCCACAGAATTACAAGAAGTGTCAAGGAAGTTTATCATGGCCGGGGGCAATATAGAAGCTAAGGTGATAGATATTGATCCAAGATGGAGAGGTAAAGGGAAAGAAATTCCTTGTAGATATATTTGGTCTGGACTTGATAACCAAATTTTACAGGAAGCAGTGAAAGCAGCCAGGAAAGGTATTTAACAATTGATTTATTTTTGTGTAATCTTATTTCCAAGTTATGCTGAGGAATTTTGTCAGCATTTACAGCCTCAATGAGTGTTTTGATACTCTACAGTCATACACATTTTAGCTCACCTAAACACAAGTGCTCACAGTGATTTTTTTCCAATTTTCAAAACAACCTGTGGCTTTCTGAAGGGGAAAATATTGCGCGATAAATCAGAAAAGGGGAAAATCAAATTCAAACAACTGAGAATGGAATTCACCCACACATTTAATAAAATTTTTAATTTCAATTCAATTTAACATACACGGTACATAGCAGAGGCTATAGGGACAGCTTTCTGTCTTCTAGCTGATATAATAATTCAGATGCTGTTAAGTAATGGTTCTGGTGAAGAAGTGCACAGGGCATACAGGGGAAAATATACCTATTTTGAGCTAGGGGAAACAGCCTTTATTTGTCTGTAAAATACAGGGGAAAAAATCACTGGCTCAGAGGTAAGCTTTTGTCAATTGCATGATGATGTCCATTTTTGCACAGAATTACAAAATTACAAAGAAATGTAACTTTGGTTGTCTTCTGCTAAAGTAATATATATTCTTCCAGTCTGGTGCACAACTGGGTTACAGTAGCTGAAAATAAACTTTGAAAAATCCTACTGTGACCCCCCCTTCTTTTGAATAAAGGATGTTTCCTCTGGCCCAAAATAGGTATATTTCCTTTATAAATGTTATATTTTCCCCTGAAATAACCTGCTGTGCTCAGTTTTTATCAGAACCATGACTTATATATCAGCTGGCTGTGTCTCAAAGGAAAAGTCACTTAGAACTTTTCTATTTTTCTATCTAATTTTTAGGAATATGATACAGGCATCAAAAATTAATTTTAGAGTCACTCATGTTGCAGGATAAGTGAGTTTCTAAATTCTATGTGCAGGCAACATTTTTCTACACATTCTGCATCAAGTTCTCTTAAATTCTACTTGCAATTGGAATTTTCGATCTTTGGGATATTGGCCATAGTGTCGACACAGAAAGCGCTACATTACTTATATAAAATTAAAATCCATTGGCAATTGAATTATTTTGATTTTTTAGAAGTACATGATGATCAATGACAACTCTTCAACTGTTCAAATCTTGTCCAACTGTAATTAATAACTTTATTGTACATTGTATGTTTTAGCTGTGGCCAAAACAAGGAAAAAGTATAATGATGACGCAATTAAGTTCAGACTTCTACCAAAAGAAAAGGTAAAGATCATTTAATAACAGTACTCAGGTTCGACATTTATTTGTATTTCATTATTTTATATTATATAAGTGGTCTTCCTGTGTGTAAACCCTCATCTTATACAGAGCACCATCAAAATATTCCTACTCAGCAATTATTACATGCAATTCTTAACCAGTTTGTACTTGTATTAAATGATTATTAAAAAAAATTTTAAACAAGCTGGGAATGTTTAAGTAATCACCTTTGCCACCAGTATAGTAGTCTGGTCACCTGCCTACATTTACTACGGTAAGTAGTGTAAGGGGAATGCACTCCAGACTACCTTTATAACGCCAGGCCGGACTGACATGAGGAGTGCAAATTCATTACAGCCGCATATTTACTAAATAATTTATTCATCATTTTCGGCAGAATTTTTCAAATATTTTTCTAAATGAAAACTTTAAAATTCCTAAATGAAAACTGAAAAATTTGTAACACATTATACACATCCAAGGGTATACATGTATAGTAGTGAGTGAACAAGTGAAAGTCAAAAATGTTTACATATGTGTTGCAATTTTATATTTTACTTTGCATGAATGATAAATAACTTACAACTGGCCCAAGGAAATTTCTGTAAATATCTTTCAGAATTTTAATGCCCGAAATGTTTAATTTATGAAAAGAGTGGGACAGTCCTTTTATATTTAAGCCAGATTTATATTTTGTCCTAAACATTCCATTATAAACTCTTGGTCAATCACCATTGAACAGTCTTTTGAAAATATAATTTTTTATACATGTATGTTATCGATTTAGCTCAATGAAAAAATGAGCATAATGTCACTAATATATATTAAAAACTTTACAAGTTTTTGTTTCAACAGAAACTGGATAAAGTTACTTCAAACAACAGCAGGCCAGTAAACCTGGGTTAAGGAATATTTAATTTGCCCAAGTGAAGTCCTCGGTGACCACTTGCACTTTACTGCTGCGGGTACGAATCCCGCCACAGACTTGATTCCTTCATATGAGGAAATAATACAGCTTACTTACAAAAGATTGGTGGTTCTAACTTCTGTAATGTGTCTAAAGTAATGTAACTGTGGTCCTCTACCACCATGAAAACTTGAAAGTCATCATGTTCAGAGTAACAGGCTTAAAACCTAGCTAGAATAGATTAATAATAAAAAAAATACTGACCAAAAACCACAACTTTTGTAAATTTTTGCAGAATTATTATTGTTTATTTATCAGGTCATTGTAATTTCAGAAAATGAAATTTGATCACAGGAACTTAACCAATATTAACGATAATATCCAAAAATACGCCCTACACATGTGTGTTTATTTATACTATATAGGGGGTATTTTTAAATATTATTGTTAATATTGGTTAATGATATAATTTCAAGTACCTGTGATTTGATATATTATTTATTACTTAGTCTAGATATTGCTAGATTGAGAAGAATCAATTCAGATGAAATAGATAAATATTTCATCTTAAAAGAATATTGTACCCGCCCTGGCATCACCATCAGTGTCTCACTTTTGTTAAGGTTTTGCTTGCAAGTAATGGTATCTCCAAAACTTCTGAAGAGAAAAGGTTGAAACTTCACACCCACTCTTCCAGTGATTTTTTTACAAACTCGTCATTGTGGGTCCTAGGACTCGCTGGGCTATGAATCTATGAGTCCCAAAATTTAGCCGACAAAACCAAGTTACAAGCTTAATATTGCTTTAGTGATATAAAAGGTATATTAACAAATGGAATGAAGAAAAAAATGAATTTTATTTCTACATTAATTACAATGCTTCTGATACTGAAATTATTTAAAAACTGTCCAAATAAATTTTAATAAGTTTATTTCCATTTATTTTATTTTGAGATTAATCAAAACTTCATTTTCCCTAACATTTTATGCTTATCTATAGTATAGCACATTATTTAGTTTTTTATCTGTAGAAGATTTGCAGACATAACTTGAACACAATTTGGTATTTATTAACAAATTCCTGTCAGACAGGACTCCCTACTCAGAAAAAGTATGCATCCAAAAGATGCACATTATATGAAACTTTGCATCCACAGCAAATTCAATGAGTCCTGGACTCAGGATGCAGAGGTAAAAAAATCACTGCTCTTCTCTTTGATAATTATATCATGATGGTCATCGGTCACTCTTGAGTTATATTTTTTACAGAGTTATGCCCCTTATTTAACATCATGCACTAAGAATAGTCGAGGGCTGTTATTTATTCAGAATGGATTTGGTTTTGTTTCTTTTCTTCAGAAGAAAAACCTCAGAAAGCGTAGTACAAATGGACTTGGAAACAGAAAGATTGATGAAAAAATTCCAAAGAAGAAAAATGTGTCAACACATGTTAGTTTTCAATTTTAGTATTCCAAATAACTAAGTAAGCATTGAAGTGTGGGTGTTAAAAGTGTTTTTGTGGACACCAGACGGTGATTTTATTTCCGATGTCTACTATATAAATTTGATTCGATTGATCGTTACAAAAGAAAGCACTGATGTTGATGTGTTCAAAAAGTCCAGTTTAAGATCGGGAAAAAAAATCAGATATGGAATTGTACCAGTCAAATTGCTGTGATTGTTTTCTAAATAGACCACTTTTGATTTTTCAGAAACGCTATTATTGATAAGAAGTCATATAAATAGTATAATAGCAGTGACTAAGCTTATATACATCTAAAGAATTGAAAAAAGAGCCACTCACTTTTAGATCATATAAGCAAAAATGTTAAATATTTTTTTCTTACTTTCTAAATTTCAGGTGAATAGCAATGCTGGAAAAAATGGGACCTGTAAAGGTTTGTTGACGTCATTTCGGTGCTATATGTAAACATAATGTTAAAGCACACTAATGTTAACGTTACACTATAGGCGCGTCAATGAAAAATAATTAGTTTTAACAGTTTACCATTTTTATTTTATAAATGTGATAAATAGAACATTATATTAGTGTAGATTCAATACTTAATTTATTGAACTCATTGAATGAAATAATATTTTGCTCGCATAATATGATTTTATTCAATGATTTTAGTATTAAACCTACACTCATTCAATATCCTCTATTTACTGGTAACAGCTATGTATTGTGGGTAAAATATTCAAACTATGAAAACCTTCAATAATTTCAGTCGTTTCATTTTAACTTTCAAGTTTGTGACTTGGTGGGGACATTTCCTATGGCCAGTAGATGACCTTTATTGTGCCCTCTTTTGAAGAAGAGGGGGTATGTCAGTTGGTTGGTCTGTTCCTCTGTAGACCACATGGTTTTCGCTGTTTATCTTATAAAAATTTCACAAAAACTTTCACATATTGACTGGTCATATGTAGTAGATGACCCCTATTGATTATGGGGTCACTAGGTCAAGGTCACAGGGGCCTTAAATGTCAGAATGGTTTTGGCTTGTTGTCTTGAAAACTATGTACCACATAGTCTTCATATTTCACATATTGATTATTCATGATTGGGTCTCTAGTTCAAAGTACAAGGTCTTTATATTTCACATATTGAATGGTTATAGGTCATTATTTATCTTATTTCCATAATTGAACTCTTCCATGTACCCATTTATGGCAAGTTTCTATAACAAAATTACCAATAGTGTGAGTCAAGGGCTAGGGAGAGGGGACATATGTGACATTCAACATTTCTTGTTGATTTTGTGGTCAAAGATCAGAGACACAGTGACAATGTAAAACTGAGAAGCAATAAGCAATACAAAACATTTTGTAAAGGCCTACACAGTTTGAAGATTAGAAAAAATGCCAGCTTCACAACTGAAAGAAAAGATTATTTTGATTGCTGCCACAAAACAAAATTTCAACACTTCATGGCTCTTGTTTTTTATATCATTAAAATTTACCTCTTTAGTTTGTACAGAGTTTATTTGATGATGTATGGTCAGCTGATAGATAGCACTGTTTAAACCTGTTTGTGGCAGCATCTAGGTGGTTTTTTGAAAGACTATTGACATTAAGGATTGCTGGCTGTGTGGGCTCAAACCCTGTGGGGCAGTATGTTTTTTCCTTGAGCAAGAAACTTTACTGTCAATGCTTAGTAGTGGTTGTATATATGTTATATCTTTAATGAACAATAAAACTTTAAATTATTTTTTAGGTATACCTTCTGCAACAGTGACTCCAAGTACTAGTAGTCTTCATAACCAGCAAACCATTGAGGAAAAAATTCCATTGTCTTCCAAAAATTTGGCAAAACTTGCACAGTGTATAAACAAGAATTGGGTATTTCTTGGACTAGAATTGGGACTGAATAAGGCTCAGATCTGGCAAATCAAGGAAGAGCATCCAAACAGTGTTGAAATGCAGATTTATCATATGCTTGAAAAGTGGAGTCAGACAGAACATCAGGGGGCATATTTGCATACCTTTAAAAAAGCTATTGCAGAGTGCCCAAAAGTTGGTTATCAACAGCCAGAGTTAAATAATGCTATTCTGAAGATAACCGAAGATTACAAGGCTCAATTAAATGTTAAACTTTTGGAAATTTAAAGGAACTCGCCTCCAGATGAAAAAAATGGAGAGAAAAAAATTTAATATAATTTCCGGTTACTTGTTAATACTCATCAAGTTAGGTATAAATTGTAAATCTGTTATGAACTGACCCTTTAATTCAATACAAAAAGTTGACAAAATTATCAAGAAACCATGGTTCTTTTTAGCATTATCTACAGCATTGCTTTTAATGATACAGAAAACATATATTACATTGATTGGGAAAACAGTAATTTATTTTCCTTTATTTCACATCCCAATAAAGGCTGTTTCCCCTAGCCCAAAATAGAAAAATTTTCCCTTAAAATGCTGTTTTTTCACTGAAATGCCCTGTGCAGTCTTTCTAGCACCATGACTTAACAGCAGCTGACTTTCATCAGCCAGTTGATAATTTTAATTGACTGAAAGACAGAAATCTGTCCATATAGAGAGCCTTTGCTATGTACCATGCAACAGTTAAATTGAATTGTAATTGATTTTTTTTTTATAAAATGTGAGGATAAATTTCATTATCTGTTGTAGGAATTTGACTTCAGGTTTTCCCCCTTTTCTGATTTATCAAGCTGTATTCTCCCCTTTAGAGAAAATTGGAAAAAAATCACTGAAAATTTTCAAGATCATGTAAAATCATTTCAATGTTAGTAAATATGTTTTAGCTCTCATCATATTTAAGTTTGAATTGATACACTGGTCATTATATATGATATAATTGATTAATTACAACTCTTTGGTGCCATTTATTATAACAAATATCAAAACCAAAGCAGTAAATTCATTTTCCTTTGTGTTTGGTACTATTCCAGATCCTGTGCATTCCAGATAATGCACTTTTATAGTTTGCTCATGTACCATCATTGTACTACGGCCAACGACCTGACAAAACGAGTGGTACCTAGTAAGACTGGATAAAGGAATTGTTGTATAATTAAATACTAAGTAAAATACTGAAAATGTCAAAATATGGAATATATGTTTAAGAGTACATTCCATTTCAAATTTAAATGCTTTTTTAATATTTTAGTACCGAGATGGTTGATTTTTCTGTTATATCTTTCTTGAGCAGAGTGACTTAAAGGCATGGTTTAGAGCAGTCAATCTGACCTTGCTGGTTCGTATTCTACATGCCAACACTTCTCAAAGTCTAAAAGACTCTAAAAACTATTTAATAGGCTGGTTTAAAAGTTAATATTGAGTTTTATGCATCAACTGACTTTGATAAGAATCAAGCTTAGAGCTTATCCTAGTCACACAGAGCATCGGTGGGGTGTAACCACTTTATGTTCACGTTTGTTCTGTAACACCTCAAATATTTTCAAAGTCCATTGACATACGGCTTTGAAACTTTGCACACTAGTGCACTATCATAACCCCAACATGTAGACAGGAGGAGGTAACTCTATAAAGCATTTTGACAGAATTATCGAACTTTTTTTTACTTAGAATTTACCTTTTAAGTTTGCCTACCACTTCCAATATTTTATTGTTATGTTTTTTATTAGTATTATCGTTTTTTTAAAGAAAAACAATTGGCCTATCGTTCTTATGATTAATTACAGATCCCCTTACCGGTTAAACCGTAGGCGACTTTTAAGGATTTACCGGTCCGTGCTGTCTGTCAGTCCGTCCTGTCCACAAAACTGGATTCCCGACCGATCAACGCAAAAAGCTACTAAAAAAGTATTTTTATGAAACTTGGACTATTATGGATAGATGGCAGTATGGCAAGATTTCTTAGCCACTTCTTTTTTCGTTTTGTTCCTATGTTGAAACATTTTGGTTGCTCAATGGCAACAAAATAGTCTGAGAAACGATTATGGCAAATTTTAACACATAAACTGGATTCCAGTGATCTAACTCAAAAAGGTTACTGAAAATCATTATTTTTTATGAAACTTGAAATATGGGTAGATGGCAGTCTGGAGATTATGACACATCTTTTTCTTTTCTTCCTAGTGTTGAAAATTCTGGTTTTGCTATCGGCAACAAAATAGACCTGAATTTCAAGATTTCTGTATTTATTAAATTTTTCAGCTTTTTCCTACTAAAAATTTTCTTTATGCTTCTTTAAGGTGTTATACTTCAAAAACTTTATAAATATACAGTTTTCTGCGTCATCAAGGTTAACAACTCTAACACAAAAATTATCAGTATTACCTCTCCTTGAACCTATAAGAAATTTTAATGAAAAAACAAAATGTTGTCCTTTTTAGCTCATACTTCGCAAGAATATGGAGAGCCTATGTCTAGTCGCCCCGGCGTCGGTGTCCCGCAGTCGGCATGTCTCGCGTTTTGGTTAAAGTTTTTTTGTAAAGTCAAATATCTCAATTATTTGCTTTTGAGATATTCAATTTGAAAACTTACAATACTTATGCAATTGTTTCTAAATTCAAAAAGCAGGACAAGGGCGCTTAACACAATCATTCTGTACAGATTTAAGGGTTTGCTTGCCAAGTGGAAGTTACTTATCTATTAGTAACAACGGTATCCAATGCAGATTGACAAGTTGGATAACATCTGACCCTAAAATATTAGATCCGGAAATTATTGCCCTGTTTTTGACTTAAAAAATTTTTTGAGTTAAAGATTTTTTTGTAAAAGTCAAATAATCTTCAATTATTGCCTGAGATATTCAATTGAATTTTTATTAAATACGTTTTACGTTATACTAACAATGTTCATCAGTTTGCAAAATTTAGCATCACAACTTTGCCTGCTCCAACTATTAGAAATTATGTTGCCCCCTTTGGAAACTTAGAAATTATTGGTTAAAGGTTAAAGGTCTCTCAAAGATATTTTACTTATAACTATAACCACATGCACTTCAGGGTCATTAATCGGACAGGTCATAATTTTGTATTGTCACTGACCTAGTTCCATAACCAAGTTCCATAAATCTTGCATTAAGGCTGATTCATAACCTCTTTTCTACTTAGTCTCTAGGTTAATGTTTACATGCAAGTTTTACATACCTCAATAACTATTAAAGATATTTATTTAAAACTTCACATATGCATTTAGGGTCATAGTTGTAGGTCACCGACAAATATCCTTAATTCTATTTTGCATTTAGGATGATTTTTCTCCCCTTTTTCAACTTAGAAATTCATGGTAAAGTTTTGCTTGTAAGCTGTTATCTCAGTAACTACTGAAGGGTTTGTGCCTTTTTTGGGACAATTTTATGCATTCATAATAATAAAGCAGTGATTTACTTGATAAAACATCTTAATAACAAGCCTTTGTACCTTTTCTGTCAAATTTACGTATTCATAGGTAATAAGTATTATTATACTCAATAAAACACCCTTGTGACATTACCTTCTAAATAGTCAAGCCAATATTGTATAATTAGACTCTTTCTAAGGCCTATAACATGAATTTATAAAAAAAAAAATTTGCCCTTTTGTAAACTTAAAAAATTTAACATTATCAAGTCTCTTTTACTATCAAGCACTTAGAATAGTCAAGCGTGCTGTCCTACCGACAGCTCTTGTTTAAATAACTACTTTATTTCCTAATGCATCTACTTCAAACTTCATATATATATTTATTATTATCACTCAACATTTTTGAGACGGTTAAATACTCTAGCAAGACTATTTCCAGAATTATGCCCCCCTTGAACTTAGATTTTTTTCGAGAAATTGGTATTTTTTACTCCAACTTCTTCATTCCTTATAGGATTTACTTTTAAATCCCACATCGTAATAATATGACAAGGTTGTATAAACATTATTTCCTTCGTAACTAGGCAGGGAAACTTAACAGATTACTCTGATATAGACAAACTTAGAACTCAAAAGATTTAAGTTCATTCATGTCATTCATTCACTGGTAAAATTGAATGGCCCATCAGAATGTTGCTGGGGTTCTAACCGGTAGGGGACTTATGGATTGCTTGCAATACTATGATAATTGCTTGTTGTTCTTTGTCATTTCTCACATCATGCAGACAAGGTTCATAACTTAAGCATCTTTATTTCAAGAGTTATTTCCTCTTTGAAGTCATAACTTTACTTTAAAAATTTTATATACTTTTTTCTCTTATTATTTTTGTTAATGAATGATTAATTTCATTTTTTGTCTTTTCCGTGAAAGCATAGAAATGTCTGTTTAACCTTAATTTTCATGGTCACATGCATATAATGTGGTGCAGAACTTTTGAACATTTAAGTGTTGCCTTCTTGATACTGATACAGAAATGTATTTATATCATTATTGATTTTTTCCCCATAGTTTTGTCTCCCTTTACTGCGTCCAGTATTTAATAAGTCAAGCTTCACTGTCTCCTGACAGCTCTTGTTAATCTTTGCTTCAATTTTACATATTCTCTCAGCTATCTTTATTTCAAAATTTATCCCCTCTGTCTGTCCTACCTTCTGTAGTCAACGATTTCTTTAAACTGGTACCAATGCCTTGATATAAGCCAAACTTCACAGTTACTCAAATGGTACCAAGTCTAGTTGTGCTGCTTGTGCATATCATTGGCTTTTTATGGCCCAATGAATTTTGTTGGAGTTATGGCCCTTATTTTTTTTTTTTTAAAGTTTGTCTGGACTGCTCCTCTTATATCACTTTTGCAATTTCAATGAAACTTTACAGGATTGATTGGAAGGTCAAGTACTTGTGCATTTTACATGGGTTTTTCCACTAGAATGATTTTTGGCCAAGTTATGGCCCTTGAATGAAAAAGGTGTTAATAAAGTTTGTCAGGACTACTCCTCTTATACCATTAATGCAATTTCAATGAAACTTTACAGAATTGATTTGTAGGTCAATTACTTGTGCATAATACACAAAATTTTTGCTTGAATGATTTTCAGCTGAGTTATTGCCCTTGAATAAACAAAAAAAATGTTTTTCCCTGTTAATGATTTTTGGGTCTCCTTCTACACAGTAGTTGCAACATGCCATTGGCTGTCATGAGGGGACACATGTCATCACTGATGGCCTTTGTTAGTAGAAAATAGAGCCAAAAAAGGGTCTCAAAAATACAATTTTCAAAAATCTTTTTGTCTGTAATATAAGGCCCATAGTTATCACTTTAGTTATATAGGGAAAAATCTTTGCTGTTGCATAAAACAGTCATTTGCAAATTTCATTCGAAAAACAGTAGGTCTTGTTAACCTAAAAAAGAACTACATTATAGTTTACAGGTCCTTAGGTAAGCGACTTGGGACCAATGGCCCCCTACTTACCTCTCTCTCTCTCTCTCTTTCTATCTCTTTAAGTTGCCATATGGCCACTACTGAATTGGCACAATGCATACACATGTGCAATCATGTAGACTCATCTGATCTCTCATGTAATTAGTTTTAAGAAATTTAGACATTTGATACAAATAAATAATTAAAAAGCATCTTAAGAGTTTGTTATATACATTTTCTTATTCATGTCTGGTATTCATTATTATCCCCCCACCAATGGTTTCGGGAGGGGGATATTGTTTTGGCGTTGTATGTATGTCCGTTTTACGTTTCCGCGCTAGTTCCCTGCAACTACTGACTGGAATTCAAAAAAACTTGATGGGAACCTTTAATACCAAGAGGAGATGCGCATATCATCCCCTTGTTATGGTCATTTCCTTTAACTCAGAATTATGGCCCTTGATTAGTTATGCAGTATGCATATAGAGTAATAATTGTTTCCGCACTATTTCTCTGCAAATACTGGCTGGAATCCAATGAAACTTTCTGGGAGCCATCAATACCAAGAGGAGATGCATGGGCATATCATTACTTGGAGGGGGGTATAAATTCAATGAATTTGCGTTTGTTAAGTGACCATGTTTTAAATGGAAATACCTTATGGTGAGCATATACTTCATTAACATCTGAAGGCCCGGATCTTATAAGCATTTTTATCACATACCCGTGCTGCTTTTGAACTCTTTAAAAATGGTATTGCACGACTACATCTACACTAGAGGAGGGCCAATAACAAAAATGGATTATTTTCACAGTAAACAGTCCTTATGTTGGTCATTTAAAGTAGCATGCCTCCAAATTTATTGCTTGTTTTTATGAAACTTGAAAATGTACTGGTATTTAAAAATGAAATAGTGTGAAGTGAACTAAGGAGGTTAAATTTACATATACAAGGCACTTATAATCCAAGTAAATTACCAAAAAAGATTTCAAAATAGTCCTTACATTGCAAGACTCAGTAAAATACTACAAAATGAGTCATGTAACATGTAAATTATTACTTGAATCTTTTTTTTTCTAAAATCTTAGTACATTTTTGTAAAGATTTTTGTGAAATATTTTGACTTATCTTTGTGTGCAGCTTTAAATTATACCTGGGACAATAAGAGTCTTATCTGTATGTCCTAAGCTTGATATAATTTTAACCGTTCCTGATGAGGGGAAGTAATCGCTGTGGGAAGTTTTTTCTTTATTACGCGCACGATTTCCCTTGAATTTTCCCGCCCTATGTATTTGCACCGAACCATGTAGCTTATCTATTTCTAATTTAAATTCTAATGGAATATGAAATTCTTCTCACGTTTTCGCACGTTTCTACGGTATCTGATTCCGATATGCCGAATTTTCAAGAAAACGTACAAAAAAAACTGAGGGCGTCTTTGTATGATACACAGTTTTATTTGTTTCAGTAAAGGCCATGAGCGGGGAATTTACGAGAAGTGAATTGTTCGGGATTAAATAAACTAAAATCCTAATATTTTCTCAGAGGATGGGCGGCCGTAAGCATTTTCTGTTGCCCGCAACTCCAACATTTCTCTACAGATTTGTTGTTTTCGCATTTTTAGTAATATTTCATTAAAAATTGACATAAATTAGCCACCCTATATATTTGACTCTAGCTTCGATAGAATGTAAATAGGGGGTTGAAATTCAGGGCACCATTATAATATTGATTGATGAGTTGATAACAAGACATGTTTACAATAAATTTATTTAAAAAGCAACCTTGTAATCCGATAGATCTTTTTACTGTCAATAACCTATGACAGATCAGTGACCTCGATGTTCTTTGAAGGTCATTGACCTCTATCTGTCAACTTCTCCACTTATTTTGGTTGTGCACGCTTGATGCTTTTCCACTTCTCCAAATCGCTCCACAGGCTTGCACGTCACGGAGAAGACACACGGCAGGTCAAGGTCAAGTCATCTCCAGTATTAGAGATGACTGGTTAAACTGTCGTGACTAACTCAGGAGAGTGGCGCTGACAAGGGTCGTTTTTGTTAGAGATGCCGTCGGAAAGCTGATGCCTTGGTAGTATTGTCGTCTCCTTCAACCACCAACGAGCGAAGAACAGGTTCCAGGAAGATTCTGCACGAAAAGACGTCTCCGATATGACTGCAACAGTGGACCGGCAAGGACGCTATAATCCCGGACATATATGGTTATTCCGGCGCCGAGTATAAACAAATTTAAACACACACACACACACATGATTTTCCATACATAGTTCTTACTAAGTTTGATCACTTAGTCACTTCGGATCATGCACAGAGAGGCACGGTTTTGGCTGATAATACTAACAGCGGTAATAAGTAAATAAATAATAAATCGCCGTTTTCTGTAGAGTAGCTGATGGCGAGTGGCCTAACAAAGTGATGGGGGCGAAGAAGATCATCCTCGCTACCGGTTAAGCCGTTGTGCTGTGACTTACTTTCCCGCTCAAACTTTTAATTATTTCTTTGACGAATGCAGGCATCTGTGGAAATTACACAGAGGTCAATTATCACCACATTTCTTCTTACATTTTCTCAAAGTTGATTTTCAAGTTTTTGGCTCTCTGGAGGCATACAGTGCAATGACATTTTTCTCATCCAAGGGTATATCCAGTGATTGAACAGGTTAAACTCAAAACAAGCTTACATTCCTTTCAATTTTATAATTTACTTCGCATGAACGATAAATAACTCACTTGGCCAAAGGAAATTTCTGTGAATATCTTTCGGAATTAACCTGAAATGTTCAAGTTATAAAAAGAGCGGGCTGTCTTTTTATATTTTAGGCAGATTCATATTTTATCTTTAACATTATCCGTTATCAACTGTTGGGCAATCACTTTTAAAAACAGACAGTCTTTAATCACTTCAGCTAAATTTTAAAATGAAAGAAATGAGCATACTGTCACGCCTATTAGCCCTGCACGCCTATTAATATATAATTTTATATATAGAAAAAAAGCTATACATGTACTGTATATATGCCCTAAATCACGATCTAGTAGGAAGTATTTAAAATTGATAGTTGTTTACGATTACATTCATATAGAATTGGACCGCCACTAATTATTTTGTTAAAAAAACATTGTATTATGTATACGTGCCTTTTGTTCTTATTTTTTACAGTAATTATGTCGAACTAGAACTTGTTCTGCTTAATTAAAAGAATGTCTACTGTACATGAAAGACTGGTTAAATTGAAAAAGTTTGCGCTAAATTAATTCAATTTTTCCCGGTCTACTGTATAAGTTTTTTTTATGCAAATGAGATTAATAGCCTAGAAAATTGACGAATCAGCACACGAGGCTATAAATTAGTACACGCGGTGTTAGCATACAATATTCTCCACACATCAAAACATTAAGCATGGCAGTGGAAGAACGACGTGAAAGTTGGAGTAGAAGTGTGGAGTATTTACTCGCCACGGCCGGGTATGCCGTCGGTCTGGGAAATGTTTGGAGGTTTCCATACCTCTGTTACAGAAGCGGTGGCGGTGAGATATTTTATTTCTTTACGTCATGTGTATTTTATTGTGCAAATTAGCGAAATTGCGCTTGTTACGTAATTTGTTTTCTAATTATAAAACAATATGTAACAATGACCTTTAGTGCATGAAACTGAATGATTGTTGTATGAAAATTTGCCTGCATTGTCATGAATAAGTAATTTAGTAAACGTTTTGTAAATTAGATATATTTTCTTGGTATATAAATAGCGATCAATACAGTAAATATTGGATTACAGGGACCTGCCAAAACAAGTCATGTATATTTCATGTGCATGACCTTTATAATTCATGCTGACAGAGCTACATATCACCAATTTAATTGTCAACATCATCTTTGTATGAGTGATACTGTTTTTCATTAAAATCCCAGAGGTTTAAATGATTAAAATTAAAATTATTATAGCAAAGCAGAATTTAATTATTAATCCAACAAATTGCTCAAGGAGTGAGCTATTAGCTTGTTTTTGTGGAACAATTAGATCTATTATCCTAAAGAATTTTAAAATATCTTGATAGTGTCTCAGCACAATAAATTATTATAGCTGTTTAGAGAGGCAAGACCTATTAAATATTAATTTGGAATGATTAGGGATGTAAAATGATAATATCATGTACCAGGAACTATATTACTTACCTAAGTGGTTACTAAAAAAAGGTATTATTTTTGGAAGGATAGGTAGTGTGTGTGTTAAACCTCAACTTGAATATATAACCTGTTAAGACTACAAAAGCAAATAATTTTGACATAAAAGTTCTCTTGAGCATTGAAAGATGTTCTTGGCTGAATAATTGGCATGATATTATTATATGGAAAATATGATCTAAACCATTTCCTATAACTTGCCACTTAAATAAAGTGTACATGACCAAACAAGGGTTTGAATGAAAATTTTAAACCCCACTAACTCTCCCCATTAAAAAATATACATTTATGATTATTGAGGGGGGGGATTGACTTTTCTGTTATATATTGGAATTTATACTTTAGTATAATTTCTTATTTATTGAGAAAATTTCAAAGTCCCTGCTTTGAAAATTATCACTATTATTTCCTATTATAAGACACCCCTTTATAATCTGGATTAATTAAGATAGTATCTTTGTTTTTGATTATCTGGGAAATTATTGCTTATTTCATTTCTTTCCTAAATCAATATATCAATTTTAACATTAATCCGGGTAGAAGTGAAAGTGGACCTGAGGTTAGTCAAAATCATTTGAGCCGCGTCATGACAAAACCAACATAATGGCTTTGCGACCAGCATGGATCCAGACCAGCCTGCGCATCCGCACAGTCTGCAGGATCCATGCTGTTCGCTATCAGTTTTTCTACATGTAATAGAGTTGGTAAGCGAACAGCATGGATCCTGATCAGACTGTGGAATGCGCAGGCTGGTTTTAATCCATGCTGGTCGCAAACCCACCATGTTGGTTTTGTCATGACGCGACTCATTTTTACTGTTTCAGGGCCATATGACCTAAATTTTGTTGTTGCACCATAAAACCTTAGCTTTGATGGTGTCATTTTTAGCTTTGATGGTGTCATAAAGTAAATAATTTGTGAAGCACATAGTTTTTATGTGAAATGGAAACAGATATCTGGTTGAAGTGCATAATGCAAATTAGAAGATTTTATTACTTTTTTACATTAATTTATTTTTTCTTTACTGTGTAAAAATTGACAGATTTTATCAGCAAAAATACATTGTAGTTTTATTTTTTTATAAAGATATTTTATGTGAAATAGATGCTTTAATTTAATCATATCCAACCCATCTCATTGGATAAAAAAGTATGGCAACATATATAGCACTTCACATTCTCTAATTTTGACTGATAAAATAAGGTTTGACTGTGTTTCTTTTTTTTTAAGTGAACAAGTAAATATTTATATTATCTATTTTAGTAAATTCATTCATTTATTAGCTGTGTTAAATAATTCCTGTTTTATCACAAACATAAATAAAGCTAAATTAATTGTTGAATGCTCCAACACATTGTACCATGTTTAGATTTGATTGCATTTTTTACATGCTCTTATTTTGACTGACAAAATGTGTGACTGTGTTTTCTGTTTTTAAGTGAGTAAGTAAATATTTATATTGTCTATTTTAGTAAATTTGTTCATATATAAAATGTGGTAAATAATCCCAGTTTTATTACAAACATAAATAAAGGTAAATTAATTGTTGAATGCTCCCAACACATTGTACCACGTCTAGATTTGATAGCATTTTTGTGGAATATTTCAGCCATAGATACAAAGCATATAAATGTTCCGTAAAACTATATAAGGCTGGCCTTAAAAATATCTTTGTTTCCACTCTCACAACCTGTCGAGTAGGTATGATGGAAAAAAATTGTTTTATCCAAGATAATTTTTCAAAGTAGTGAATTATGCTTTATGAACAACATCTGTTCAAAGTTCAAAATTTAAGTATCCCATTCAGGCCTCGACATTAGCGGTGGTCCGTTTGTCCGAGACCACTTGATTTTGGCAAGGACCACCTAATTTTAAAACCCGCTGGTCCGTCGGGCCACTTGAATTTTCTGGTTGATGCAAGGCTCATTTGGGAGAATGGCGATTTGGTCAAAAACATATTATATAATTTTGTTTAAAATCATGTGTCCCATGTACATGTATATGGTTCATTAATCTCTGATTAGTTCTTAAGTCATCAACAATTTTCATTTGAAGTTGCTAAAATTGTGTTTATGCAAGTTAAGAGTTCAGAATTTGTGATATTAATTTAGGTACAAAATCATTTAAGTGGTGCTAGTAATTGTCACTAATTATGCATCGTCTGATACCCACGGCGAAACCATTAACATTTATGTTATGTTACAAGTTAATCAACTGTGAGTATCCGATGATGGTTTCAGATACTTGAATAACGGCAGCAAACGAAAGGAACTGGAAAAATACGTCTAGTTAATTTTTTCTATTTTATCTTTATTTTTAACTGTATATTATAACGATAAGAGATCTATTTCTTCTAGAGTTAAAATTACTCTAAAAGGTTAAAAATACTCAATGTCAAAAATGAATATCAACCAACAAGCAATAGGGAGGTAAAAATTCTGTATTATAAATCTGTGAGAAAAATAAGCTAAACTATAGTTATATAAAAACATTGTTATTATTTTAATAATTATTAAGATATTTCCTTGTTTTCAAAGACAAGAAAAAGATAATTATTAGTTTCATTAAAAATGTTAATCTATAAAAGATACTATGTTATTGTCATGATTATAAGACATACCACGTATCAGCAATGAATATTTGAATAACAGTAAAATAATAACTGACACACATGGTTTCACTATTCCCTAACTTGAGTTGAGGGAGAAATCACTTCAATATAAAAGTTAACATAAATAAGAGCTATGTTGTGTACTTTTGAATGAGATAAAAAAGAACAAACAAATAACTCTACGATAGAATACCTCCTGACTTGAAAAATATATATCTAAAAATATCCGTTTTCTTTAAAGGTTAATAATACAACTTTGTCATCAAGTTTAAACTTTTTTTCTACATTTGGATTTTGCATTAAATTGATTTGATAATGAAAACTGACCACCTGACTTCTGGAAGGACCACCTAACTTTCAAATCTAGTGGTCCGGCATACCACCTGCTAAAAAAGTTAGTGTCGATGCCTGCCATTTTGTATAATAATTAACTACTGAAAAATCTGAGATGTGATTCTTATTGACAAACATGGCTTCCATAAAAATTGTTTTTCCTCTCTTTTGGGGGTGTAGTGATTTTTGTTAATAGGTAGTGTGTCACCCAAAGGAAACAAACAATATTTCAACACATTTCAATGATTCAAGTTTCTGGACTGTATCACATTTCAGACAGGGTGACATAGAGCAATATATGCATGAACATGAAAATATCAAGTTTAATGAAAACACATTGTTTATATCAGTTAAAACAATTTGCATGTATTTAATTGAAGCAACACACTTCCAAGTGGGTAAACAAAGTCTTCAAAGCCTTGAACTTTAGAAAAATACATCAAGAGTTGAAGAAATGTAGATATAATTCACTGTCATCATAATTATGCAACATGTAGGATTATTACAGACTTTTTTTATTTCTATCACCATTGTTTAAGGTTTCAGGCCACTAAATTCCATGGGTTTTGTTCTTAAGATTGGTTTCAGGCCACTAAATTCGCTCGGTTTTGTTTTGATGCCAAATAAGCAAATTTAGATATGTCCAACTCACAGTGTGGATTCATTTGCCATCAGTCTGAATAAAGTTCAGATCTACTTAACTCTTTTGCATAGCGTTTTTAATCAGGTTGATTAAGGGTCTTATTCATGGTCCCGCAGCGCCGGGGCTCTACCAGGAATTTGAAGATAGTTGGGGAAAGGTGGTACAATTAAACTGGGTAAAATGCTATCTCAGAGAGGAAAAAACGAAAATACAACATATACTCAATATAAAATATAATACAAAAATATAGGTTAGACTAGTATTTTTCGATAGGTTGAACTAATTCTGGGTTGTAATGCCTGGACTTTTGGTTTAAACTTTACCACTTAGCAGCTATTGAAATATTTGAATTTGGGTTTTTATTGAATGTAGTTGAAAGTATGATAATATTTACATGATCATTACATTCTAGCATTTAATGTTAACCTTTTGAAAATGTAAACATTCAATATGACACTTTCGTACTGACATTTGTACTTTGAATAAGGCCAAACGAATTCTTTGTTACTACTGATGTTTTGAAATTTTAGCCAATATGCTATTTAACCATTTTGCTGGCCAAAACTAAGTAATTGTATGCTTTAATTATGGTGTACATTATGTTATGTATTTTCTTTGAATATGTCATAGGGTTAATATTAGGTTATTATTAAAATATTTTTGAGAAAGATTGTTTTGAATCAGAGAAAGTCAATTTTAGATGTAACAGCAAAAACTGTTTTCTAAGTTTTGAGGCATCTCAGAATGCATGTGAAACAGTCATTTTAGCCTCCACAGTCTATCCTTGGTTTATAAAGAATTTTTTTTAGGGGTTTTTTTGTGTAGGAAGCTTAAGCTTAAAAAAACACCTTTTTAAAAACCCCTTCCCGGAAAAACCAAAGGGGTACCCGAGCAAAGAGTGTAAAAATTTTTTTTGCTCAAGGGGAAACAATGACCCTTTGCCCCCTTTTTTAACTCATTTTTGCCCGAAATACAGTGTTAAAAAATACATTTTATTTTGAGAGGAAATACTTGGGTTGTTTCCCGAATTGGCTTTAATTTAGCAAATTTTAAAAATTTAAAGGCAAAGGGTTTTTCATTTAAACCCCAAATGATAGGGGGAATAGGTGAATTTTAATTTTCCCATCTGGGGAAAATTTTCTAAGCACATCTTTTTAAATTTTTTTTTTATTTCTTTTTTACTTAAAAGGCGCGTTTCTTTTTTCCCTTTTTTCCCCTTGGGTTGGGCCTTTGTGGAATTTCCCCCTTTCTTACATTTGGAAAAAGGCAGTGGGTTTAAAACACCAAGGGGGCCTAAAAGGGCAATACCCAAACTTTTCCCAATTTTTCCCAAAGGGAAGAAAAACCCCTTTAGGGAAACCCAATTTTTTAAAAATAACTTTCTATTTCAAAAATTTAAAAACCTCCAAAGTTTCTAAGGGGTTTAAACCCCTTTTATAAAGGAAATTAAAATATCTTAATAGTTGGAGGGTTTATAAAATTTGTTTAAAAAAGATTGTTTATAATATTTACATTGGACCATTAAAAACACAGGGCAAAAAGGAGCCCATTTGGGTGCAGCGTTTAAATTTTCCCCTTTTCAAATTTAAAAGATAGAAAAAATACAAAAACTTTTGGGGCCCATAGCCCCAAACCTTTTACTATTTTTTTAAGGTAAGACTTTTAAAAAACATACCCGGGTTGGGTTTAAAAGGGCCCGTAACCAAAATTTTTGCGTATTTTTCATTTTTATGACATATAGGGGGTTGGGGGGAAAGGGAATATATTTGGATACTTGATTTCCCAAAAAGGTTTAAAAAATTTAAAACCCGTAAAACAGAAAAAGTGGCCAGTAATGTTTTGAAAAAAGCCATGTCCGATTTTAAAAGCCATTTTACCAGCAGGGCCAAAAAGGGAAAACAAAGTAGCTTTAAAACCAAAAGGTAAAAACAGGTTATTTTGAAAACATTAAACATAAATTTTTTCAATTTTAAAAAATGCTATTAAAGTTAATGTAACAAAATTTTTAAAGAAAATTTAAAAAAACCAAAAATTACTGAAAATTACAAAAAAAATTATTTTGCTTTTTAAATTTTAAAAGTTCTGAAAAATTTTTTTCCCAAGGGTTTTTCTTTTTTTTTATCATTGATGTGTTTTCTTGCCCCCCATTCCCATACAAATTTTAAAATTGGGGCATAGCATTCCTAAGAGCAATATAATTATGATACCTTTTTTTCTTTTTTTTAAATTGAAATGAATCCAAAATGTTTTGTTTTTGTCCCGAATGTTCTGTTTTTTTTTAAACTGATCAATAGTAAATTCAGGACAATATACAGAACATGCATATTGATTCATTTCTTTTTCTGCTAAATAATATAGTGTATACATTTTAAATTCTTTCTATAAATATCATTTACATGTTCTACATGAAAAGAATGTGATTAAAATTTTATGAATGAGATTTTTGTAGTGTTAAATACTATAATCTTTTTTGATCCGTATTTGTTGCATTTATAGGAAGTGAAATAATCTACCGTAAAGAGTCATTTTAATGCACCAACCTTATGAAATAATCTACCGTATAGATTTTATTTTAAGGCATGTCAGTCTTAATAAGCACCCTGCTACAATTTTTTAATCCAGCTGATCCAAATTTTGGATTGTACTTATTCTGATTTCCTGATTTAAATGACTGTCTGAGATTTTATATTATAAGTAAAAGGGTCTAAACTTTAGTTTTCTCAGTTTATCAAATTAATCATAACATTAACAGCCTTTAAAGTCTCAAAATTTTTTATCATTTTTCTTTTTAAAGTCTTTGATTTTTGGTATCGTATTACAGTTTCTCAAAGGTACTCATTAGTGCCAGTGACATTATAAGTTATAAGCTTCTCACAGTCGTCTTCGAAAACCATATTGTTTGATCTTTAGGAAATTCTCCTGAAAGAAAAATTAATTAATTTCTGAGACATTATAATTACTCATATGTGCCTTTAAATATGGTATAGAACAGTGTTTTTTATAATGATTTGTAAAACTTTTGCTGAAGAGAATTTTAGGTTACAGCTATTTTATTTTAACAATATTAATTTGGTCAACATACCTGAAATTTCTGTTTTTCAAAAGAATAAAGCTTTCATTGCATGACTTAATAATTGAAAATCATTGTTTATTGTTATTATTATTTATTCAACATGTATGTTTGTTTATTATAATGATAAATAAAATTATGTTGGACATCATGTCAGCCATTTACTCAATAAGAAAAATTATTGGACCAACAAAAAGTTATTGGACTTACAAAAATGTATTGGACCAACAAAAAGTTATTGGATCAGTGAAGGTTTTTGGTGACATGCAAGTCTGTGTTTCCACATTCATAAAGCCTAGCTTAATTTCAACAATTTTTTTTAGGATGATTTCTAAAGATTTTGTTTTATTTACAGGAGCTGGCATCGCTACTGTGGTTATATCATTTTTATTCACGACATATTACAACGTGATCATCACATGGGCATTTTACTACCTCTTCAGCTCGTTCACGTCGAAACTTCCGTGGTCAGATTGTAGTAATGACTGGAATTCTGATGACTGTTTTGACGGGGTTAACAAAACGGTCTTTGACCCGGTGACTAATGTAACCTCAGTGATTCTCAGGACAAATGATAGCTTGTCTCCAACAGAAGATTTTTACGAGTAAGTTGATACAGTCAGTAAAATTGAATGAGCCGCGTCACGACAAAACCAACATAGTGCGTTTGCGATCCTGCTCAGACTGCGCAGATGCGCAGGCTGGTCTGGATCCATGCTGGTGGCACACCCATTATGTTGGTTTTGTCGTGACGGGGCTCAAATAAACAATCGTTCAGTAAAACTAAACAAACACTGAATAAACAATGCACTATTTACATATTTCTAAATATGTTTTTTCAGGTTATAGTTATAGCTATTAGAGCTACATGCTTCCATAGTTTCAAAGTCTTCAAAAATTTTGCTTATTAAAATGTGGATGTCTTACTTTATCACAAGTTTGAAAAATGTTTAAAAAAAAATTCAGCATCTATGCAATTTATTGAAGATCTTTTTGAAAAGCCATGAAAATATTATTCTTTTTCTTATCTAATTCTCCTCCATGGCATTTAAACTTGTTAAATTCCATATTGTTACACATTTTAGTTATTTTTATGTGGATTGCAAGTATTAACATTTTTAAAAAAGGTGAGTTTTAATCTATATATTTGTACGTAATGTACAGCTGAAACTCCAGTTTTGCAATTTAGTTCATAACTGAAAGCTAATCAACCCTCACCATCATAAATATGATAAATAGACTTGTCCATCTTCCAATCTAGCCATAACTATTCATAACTTTGGCATAAATGTAAAAATATGTTCTTCCTGAATAGCAAACCGTTCAGACCTTATTCAAATGGCCTGGATGGTCCCCTAGCCATGGTCAGTTCAGTTGCCACCAGTAGCTATGGCTTGAACATGACAATGAGGAGTCACAGGTTTGAGTCCTATCAAAGTTTCTGCTTAATGTTTGGAGCAAGAAATTACTCTGCATTGGTTAATTTGAGTCAGATGTATTTGGGGTACCAGATTGGTAACCTTAATTTATGTAATTGGGGTACCGGAGTGGTAGCCATAATTTACATAATTTGGGTACCGGAGTGATAGCCGTAATTTACGTAATTAGGGTACCTGAGTGGTAGCCGTAATTTACGTAATTGGGGTACCTGAGTGGTAGCCGTAATTTTCGTAATAGGGGTACCAGAGTGGTAGCAATGATTTGATAGGTCTGCATGGAGATCATTATATAGATAGTTATATACTTAACTAGTAGCATGTTGATTTACGGTTTAGTCGGTATAACTGTTAAAATCGGTTAAGCTGAACGTTCGGTTAAAGTGCAGACATCATGATTCGTAAACTTTTGCCTGGATAAAATTATATTTTACTTTTACTTCTGTTTTTACAATATCCTTAGGTTTCATTACCTGCACACAAGGTCATATCTAACATGCTGTATACCAGATTAGCTGTATTATCACAGATAAAATCACATTAACACTATTATTGAGTTGTAAAAAAAAATATGTTTCACATAATAATGCATATTACCATGATTTTAGTTGCTTGATTTAAGAGATAACATTATGTTATTATAATGACAAATGTGCTTAAGAATTTCAATGGCTTTGAAATTTGAGAATGAAAAATTATCATGAAATTTGAGAAATGCACTTTGGTATATAGTATAGTAATAAAAAAAGTTGAATAGGAAAATAAGATAAATATGAAAAGCGGAGAGACATAAAATTATTTTCTTTTGTATTTTTCCATGTTAGAGAAGAAAAAGCATACCAATTGTTTTTTCCAAAAAGGAATGTAAGTTCAAACCACACATAAAACACAATAGAGACCTGTTATGGGGATCAGGTTAGACTAAAGATTGTGTGTTTGTCTAAATCACAAATTATCTTAGATTCTGAGATACTTTTTTTGGGGTCAGAAACTGGCTATATTTACCATACTAAGAATTACATTTGATATCTAATGCAACTTGAGAATACTTGTTTAGTTTTAACAAAAACTGGTGTCAACTGAAGAAAACTGGTTGAGTCTTTTTTACACACAATTGAAACTTTATCTCCCAAAAAATGATGATGTTTTTGTTTTTGGACATTACTATAATTGATCTGTATTTATCTCAAGGTCAAGGTCACTTGTTGAAAACTCGGTGAAATCTTCAATTTTAAAGATGAAAATAAAGTCACTGTCCCTGAAGTAGGCTATGTCTTAAAGTATTATTTTGAACTTTCTGGTATTTTAAATTTAAGATTTTTCAAGGTCATAAATAAAACACTTAAGCTTTGTTTGAAATAGAACTTTTAAGTCAAAAGTAGCATAATTTAAGGGTCATTGTTCCGAAAAAGGAGATGATATCCAAACATAGAGTTGACATTTGAGAACAAAATCGGACAATTAAAACATCTTAAGTGCTTAAGAGGTGAGTATCAATATTAAGGACGACAATAACATCATGGTCAGGTACCTTGTAAGAAGTTGTTAAGGAGAGTTAGAGTGATCCATATCTGAACTGTTTATTTGTGTATTGACTTAAACCAGTGGCTTGTTATTTTTTAAGAGACCCATTTTGATTTATTGTTTTTGAAAAATATGGCCAAACCCATTTTGAATTTTTGATTAATTGGTATTGAAAAATATGGCCACAGAGTCAAGCTGAATCTTTCGGTTCTTAAAGACAAAACAAAGTCTTTGCATTCTTCTGTAAGTGTCCTTTTGTTACTAGGAAACTTATAAGTACCAAAAGATTTTAGATATTTGAAGTTAGGTAGCTTCTCCTGCAGATTTTTGGTAGAACTGAATTTTTTTTTTGTATCCTTTTAACACTGATCATGCCAAATACATTGTATCTGAAATGAACTTGTCCATCTTTTAAGCTGGATGAAACCATTCATCATTTTTAGGGGAGAATTTCAAAATAATATTTATGTACTGAATATCAAACAGTGCAGACCATGATCAGAGGGTACAGAAGTGCTGGCTGATATTAGTCTGCACTGGTCACATTTTTAGCTCGACTATTCGATAAGAATAAGTAGAGCTATTGCAGTCACCCGAGCGTCGGCGTCCGCGTCGGCGTTACCACTTATGTTTTAAAGTTTTTGTAATAGTTCAAATATTTTCAAAGTCCACTGACATATGGCTTTGAAACTTTGCACACTTGTTCACCATCATGACCCCAACCTGTAAACAGGAGGAGGTAACTGTATCAAGCATTTTTTTTACTATCAAGCACTAAGAATAGTCGAGCGTTGCTGTCCTACCGACAGCTCTTGTTATTATTTGTAGCCACCAGTAAGCTCAAGGTTAAAGGAGGCAAGATATAAAATTATGATCTAGCGGAATGGCCGAGTGGTTAACGCATCGGAGTAGTACAGGTACATTGTGTAATCTAAAGATTGCTGACCGCATGGGTTCAAACCATGTCAGGTGCAGGCTGTTGTTTCCTTGAGCAAGAAACTTTACATTTATTGCTAAGTACTGGTTAGTTCCAGAAACGGATTCAATATTGTTTCAATAAGCTTATAGCTTCTAAAGCAATCAAACTAAAATAAATTTCACAGTGTAAACTAAAAACTAAGTTGATGATTTTAGGAATCTAAAGTCTGATCAGTTTCCATGGAGATTTTTAATAATTCATGCTATATTTACCTTCTGAGGACAATTAATAGTTTGATAATAATCATGTCATGTTATTAAAAAATTGATTTTTGTTGTTATATGCTAGCTGTCATTTTCTTTAAGGAATGATCCACTTAGCTCCTAAATCTTTGAATTTCTTACATAGATGAACTAGGGCACAATGGAAAGATACACTATAGATAATAAAGCATTAGGGTCAGATTTAAATTTTTATAGTATTTTCTTATTTAAAAGCGTTAAAACACTTTTCACTTTTTTTGTAATTTTTCACCTTCTGGAAAAAATACAGAGTGAGCAACTAATATGATAATTTTGCATAAAAGCTATTTATCAAGTGGTACATAAATCTTGGAAAAAAAAATATGTTTCTAATACTGTCATATTGTGGAGTCACTTTTAGGAGTTTAGCAATATTAAACCATGATAGAGAACCTTGTGAGGTATTTCATTTCTGGCATTGTTTTTTAGGTACCGTTAGGTTTTTATGATATTTAAATAAGCATCTTATTAACCATGATGATGATTTTGATCTTGGTGTATTGGAGTCTTATTTAGTAATTATTCAAAAAAGGAAAATAATTAATTATTCGAAGATCTCTTTATTGCTATTCAGATTGGATACATTTTATACCACAAGCAAAGTTTGCATGAAATAAGTTAAGAGTGTAGGCCATTAATTAGAACAAGGTTTAGATTTAGAACAAGGTAAAACACAACAATTCATGAAAACTCATAATGCATGAAAAATCTGATTTTCAGATTAAATTGACACATGCCTAAATCAAGGTAACTTTATAGAACATTATACAATACATAGATTAAAGGTGGTCAATCTAACTTTAAATACATAGATTAAAGGTGGTTAATTGAAATTTAAACACATTGTTATGATTTAAGTATAGGAATTAAATTGGTCAGGCGCGGCACAGCTGCAGGACCAATTTAATTTTGTAAATATGTACTTATAAATTTTAACCAGCTTAGTGTTTTTACAAACAGTTGATTTACTAGTTGCCGATTTAACAAAGTAAATGTGTCACGATTCATTTGAAATACTGCAATCCTATTGAACAAAAAATAATTTCAAACACTAAAAAAGGTTAATACTTGTACATAGTATCTTTAATAAGTTGACATTATAAAAGCAGCATGCTTACTGTTTGGTGTCTTTCATATCAAGTGTACCGGTACTAATAAAGTGTACCAAAATAAATAAAAGTAATTTAAATGTTGACCTGCTACTACTTCATGAGAACATGTCATGCCTGTGTGGCAGGTATTATTGTCAGGCCTTTGCCTTCTGTCTGGAGATAATTGAATGGTTTCTGCATTGCATTGTTCTTTTAAAATCCTTAACACTAATAATTCTACGGACTGACGGTGGTACTACTCAGGTTCAAGCATTTGTGCCAGAAATAATGCACTGAGGGGCACATGAGGTCTACCCCCACCAGTAAAGCTGTAAAGTCGTCATATGACCTATAGTGTCTTGGTGCGACATAAAACCCCCCAAAAAAATAAAAATAGATAATAATAATTGAATTTTGATAATAATTTAAAGCAGAATTACATCAGAATTGCAGCCACCATTTATCACTTGTGGTGACAAAATGGGTTTGAATAACTGGATATCTTAGCTGCAGCAGGTGAGGTGGTTTTAACCGCTGATGTTGCTTTAAGTTTGTATCACCTGAGGTTAGCTAAAATCGTCTTTCCTGTTTCCGCGTCATATTACTGTAATTGTGTTGGTGCATTGTAAAACAAAACAAGCAAAATATAGGGGCTTCTGTGGCATGTGGTTAACTTCAATCTACCTGCGCCTCACTGCTGTGAGTCCGAATCCCGACAGGGACTTTGGATTTGTTCTTTCATGAGAGGAAGCTATCCAGCTAGCTTGTGGAACATCGGTGGTTTCTACTCAGGTTCCTGTTTGTGCTTGTGTCTGACATAATGCACGGGGAGGCACCTGAGGTCTTCCTCTACCAGTAAAGCTGGAACATCACAATATGATCTGGTGCGACATAAAACCCAATCATACAAACAAACAAGCAAAATAATTAACAAACAAATTTAACACTGTTGCATTGCAGCAGGTTAAGGATAAATGGAGTATTATGTTAGATGACAAATTTACCTTTATCTTAAAATTTATCAGAGGGTATTTGTTTAAATTTCTTTTTGTTTTACATAAAAAATATAATGTAGAACAATAATACATTGGAGTCTCAGTGAAAAATAATATTTTTAGTATATGTATTGTTTATGCTGGGACATTCATTTACATGTGCATGTCTGCATGACAAGGCATGCAGGATTGAATGTGAAAAATAACTTAAACCAGTTTTTAAGATGAAATGTATTTAACCAAAGAGAAAAAGGAGTGAAATGGGAGTTCTAAAGGGACTTAAATGGGGGTTGGGGAGATGGGTTGGAATGGGAGTGAATTATGGGTGGGGTTGAATGGATGGGAGTGGGAGGGAAATACAGGTGGTAGGGAAACATGGGGTAGGTGGAGAAGATGTGAAATGCTGTGAACTGGGAGTGAAATGATTGCAGGATAGAAAAGGGTCCTGAAATGTGGGGATGGAAGTGGGAGTGAAATGTGGGGATGAAAGTTGGAGTGAAATAATATTTTTATTCCTGCCTAAGTTTCTCATGACATTTATCATTCCAGTATTTAAGTTTCATTCAGTTCTTTTATATGGCAATGTTTATTTGAATATTCTATTTCCTCTAATTGAAACTTCTCATTCTACTACCTGTTTCAAAGTATTGAAATATGAAAGAATGACACAGAAAATTGTGTAAAGTAATCATAGTGATGTCATAGATTAAACACAGACCTTCCAAAAAATACACACTTGTGATATGAATTATAATATTTCGTGCTGGTTTTATTTACATAGATATTGGAAAATGTGTACATTTACTTGGAATTTTTTTTTTTAATTTCAAAAGTTTTTCCATATCGGGAAGTAAAGCTAAACAATCAAACTATTCCCCACCAATAAGAAGACTATTTTTTCTTTTCTATTTTAAGCTATGATTAATTTGCAGTCATGCCAATGGAGGAGTGTATAAATTTATAGAACAATAAACTTAAGAAAAATGTACAAATGTAAACATAGGTTAAGAACTGTACAATATTTCTAACATTTGTGACATTTTTAAAAAAAAATTCTTTTTAGATTTGCAAGATATTAGAAAATTTACTTATTTTATTACGATAATGTAAAATTTAAAACAGTTATGGCAAAATGTAATTTTATTTAGGAAATAGATATCAATTCTGAGTGCATTGTTTTAGAATAATGCACGGTTTGAGTTCAAATGCGTAGTAATATAATCACGAAGGCCGATAGGCCTGAGTGATTAATTACAAAGCATTTGAACGAAAAACGTGCATTATTATACAATAATGCACGAAGAATTGATATCTATTTCCATTCTAACACGTCAAGAAAAAATATAATTATTATTATAAAGTTGGACTTTATGTTTGGTGGTTAAATTGTTTTGGCCTCAGAGTTTCCAATAGAAACGTTCTTTAAAGGCTGTTCCAGTGGGTTGAAAAAAACTGTCTTTAAATCTACCGTGTGTAGAAACATTTTGAGAATAACGAATTTTGAAAACGTTGATAAAACTTTGTTTAATTATTTTATTTCGATCTTTAATTTTTCAAGCGAAATACAAATTATTAAAAGTGAAATAAATGTGAAACTTAACTCGTTTTCGACATTAAAATAGCATACTTGACTTGATTGTTATGCACGTGCTGTTTGGCGCTACATTGTGCCGTCACGTAAACAACATTTTAAACGTCTGTACAGCGTTAACGACTGAATTAAAGATATTGGTGTTCGGATTAATTTTCTTAGTTAGACCATTTTTTTTCATTCTAGATAGTTTTCACAACAAAATTCAACAAAAAATTGTTTTTTATTTATCAGATTTTCAAACAAAATGGCGCCCTCAATGTGAAAATACACAGGGAGATAATAAGAACGGCGAGTGCATTGTTGTAGAATAATGCACGCTTCGGGCCTTCTTTGTTTATATAGAAAAATTTTCGAGGGTGTTAGAATTTGTCTTTTATTTACAATGTATATTCTCTCCATTTATACTCAGATGGACATACATGTAATATTACTTTAACCTGCTGCCACCAGTATGGAGCCAGGCCAGCCTGTACATCCTTCTGACCAGCTTCTTTGGCTGATAATTTTTTTAAATTCTTGATATCCGAAAAACTGAAAATTGCAATTTGTAAAATACTTTCATTGTTCACTTCACACAATACATGTATTTTACTTTCTAAATGTAGTTTCAAAATTTTCATGAAAATTGTCATGAATCTAGAGACATTCTGCTTTAATGTACTTAGAAAATCAATTTTTTTTTCTAATGAGAACAGTTTTTAAATTTTCATGAAAGTGTTCATCTGGAGCCATGCTGCTTTAAATTCTACATTTTACTGTCCATCACTTATCGTTTTACTTGAAAAAACATATTTTATTTGTTTCAAGTTTATTTGCACAATTTTCATAGAGTAGTTGTTTGGTTCCGACATCAAATGAAAAAAGAAAATAAGTAAAACAAATAATATATTTGAGTAACAAATAAATATCTCAAAATAAACCATGGAAATTTTTTAATTTTGCCTAAGTTTCATTTGTGTCTTGAATTTCTAATTCATTATGTTTTTTGTTTGTTTTTGGTTTTGTTTTTCTAGGTATATTTACGTGTGTCTAATTAGGTTTAAGAAAGTGAAATTGTTGAGGTAGTACCTTGTTATAAGAAAACTTCCTTATTCATGGGTTATATATCAACACAGAAATAATCACTAATTTTGTAACATGTAAAATGAAGAAGAAATTGGGTAGGTTTGGAGTTGCCTTATTTTGTTTTGGGAATGTTTGGGGATCCCTGAGTAGTAGGTTTTTTGGAACCCCGGGGGGTAGTTGGGGAATGATTCCCTGTAGTAGGTCTTCGAAAACCCTGTAGAATGTTTGATCCCTGTGTAGTAGGTTTGATCCCTGTAGAATGTTTGATCCCTGAGTAGTAGGTTTGAACCCAGTAGTAGGGATGATCACTGTGAAGTAGGTTTGAACCCTGTAGAATATTTGATCCCTGTGTAGTAGGTTTGAACCCAGTAGTAGGGATGATCCCTGTGTGGTAGGCTTGAACCCTGTGTAGTAGGTTTGAAGCCTGTGTAGTAGGTTTGAACAAACACTGAAACAAATAAGGAACATATATATTTGAATAGTTATATATTTTTACTACTAAAGATAGGCAGATGATGCAGAGAATGGATAGCACAGTAATATTTCATTTCATTTTTGAAGGCGAGGTCTGCTGGAAAAATCTTCAGGGATAGATGAGCCTGGAGTTTTAAAATGGGATCTTTCTCTTATTCTTCTGATGTGTTGGATTCTGGTGTATTTTTGTATATGGAAAGGACCAAAGTTGACCGGAAAGGTATGTTGTATTTACTTTGTTCTTCACAGGGTGTCTGTAGAGGACAGGACGTGTGTTGTCGCTGTCTCAAATCTTGAATGTTGATCATAATTTATTTTTAATTTTTTAGTTGGTTGTCTTTATACATGGACATAACAACTCTTTGTGGACAAGACTTTCAAGCAGATCAGACTGACCTTGGCCACTGGATCTTGTTTTTTTATGTACCATTCAGTTGCAACTCTTGCTCCAATGAGGCAAAGGAAAGGTGTGGACTTAAACATTTTGTATTTTCAAACCCATGGCAATATTTCTAATATTTGTATGCTAATATTCATATTGTATGGTACTTTTGACAGGGAAAATGGCAGTTGATATGAGCCATGCCATAACAAAACCAACATACTGGGTTTGCGACCAGCATGGATCCAAACCAGCCTGTGCATCCGCGCAATCTGATCAGGATCCATGCTGTTCGCTATCAGTTTCTCTACTTGTTATAGGGTTTGTAAGCGAACAGCATGGATCCTGATCAGACTGCGCGGATGCGCAGGCTGGTCTGGATCCATGCTGGTCGCAAACGCATTACGTTGGTTTTGTCATGACGCGGCTCATATAATTAATGTCAATATTTGTATTTCAAATATTTTCAGGTAATTGTAATTCTTACCATAATTGCATGTGTTTTTATTTAATGATCTATTTCATTATATAGTCATTATACATGTAAGTTTATTTTATAGCAATATGTCATTGCTGTGGCAATATTTATATCTTTTTCATTACACACCAGTTACATAGAAACCATCGGTGGAGTCAATTAATGACAACATATTTAACACCATTATCACCTATTGGTCACCTGCTTTCTATCTTTCTACTCCTATTGGGGAAAGATAAGTTTTATCTGATTGGGATTGTTATAAAGCATGATTAATAAAATTCCTGATCGATGAAAATATTTTACAAAAAATACAGAGTGACAACAGATTTCGCACATGGGAAACCGATATTCAACTGATCAAGTAATACTTACACCAATAAAAACAAAGATTAGAAATAAAACTTGGGATTTAGTTGGTTGAAAACTTGACTGAAGGCAGTTAAGCGTTTGCACAGAATTCCAGATATTTAAAAAAAAAATATTGTATGATAACTGAATAAAACAGTTGAGTATAAATTTAAAATGAAGTGGACAATTGGGGACCAAGGATGGGGTAACGGGGAAAGAATTTTTTTTTTATGGGCCCTTTTTTTTGCGTATATCCAACCCATGAAGGGTTTTTTTGGCAGTACAAAGGGAACATGTGGGAGAATGGCCCTCTGTAGAGAAATAACCTGTTTATAACAACCAAATCAAATCTCCCCAAACAGAGATATTACAGTTCTAGACACCAAAGCAATATAAAATATTTGCCTCCCAAACTGTGTTCATTTTCAGGGGTTAAACTGTATTTATTATCTAATTTGAAGGCAATATTTTATGGCAATATATCTATTTTATTACACTGTCTCATTTATATGGAAAAATATTTTTTATAGCGTTATACATCTTCATATGTATTTCATTACAAAATCTTATTTAATGGAAATATTTCTAACCGTTTTTCTTCAGGTTGTTTATTTTACAGCAACATTCCCTTATGTTGTGTTGTTAGTGTTGCTTGTTCGTGGACTTACGTTACCCGGAGCAATGAATGGCATCTTGTACTTTATAGTACCACGCTGGAAACTTTTACTTGATGCTAATGTTAGTCTATACCTTGGTTTGTATTTTTTATCTATTTCAACATCTCCCCGGATTTATGGTTAAGGTACTGGCTGACTGTAATTAATAGATGTAATCCGGAACGCCGCAAATGTGGGTTTTTCCATGGTAAACCCCCAGATACAAACAAACTTAACATTCTAACTTCACAGTGCACTAGCAATCACAAAGTCAACCTGGTGCGCTTATTTTTGAGGCTGTAACTATAAATGTTTGTATCCGCGGATTAGCTTGGAAAATCCCAAAATATTTTTATGCCCCCGCCATGTAATGGCCGGGGCATATAGTGTTTCCCTGTTCCGTCATTCCGTCCTTCCGTCATTCTGTCATTCTGTCATTCCGTCATCATCAGTTTCCGTTCATTATACCCCCAAAAACAAAGTTTGGGGGGGTATATAGGAGTCACTCGGTGGTCGGTCGGTCGGTCGGTCCAGCGGTCCGTTGCATTTTCCTTGTCCGGAGCATAACTTGAAGACTAATGGTTGGAATTCAATATAACTTCATACAATGGTCAAGCACATTGAGAGGAAGTGCAGTGCACAAGAACCATAACTCCATCTTGACTAATTACAGAGTTATTGCCCTTTGTTACTTTTCCTTGTCCGGAGCATAACTTGAAAACTACTAGTTGAAACTCGAAACAACTTCATACAATTGTCAAGCACAATAAGGGGAAGTGCAGTGCACAAGAACCATAACTCTATCTAAAGTAATTACAGAGTTATTGCCCTTTGTTATTTTTCCATTGCTTTCTTTTGTCCGGAATATAACTTGAAGACTAATGGTTGGAATTCAATATAACTTCATACAATGGTCAAGCACATTGAGAGGAAGTGCAGTGCACAAGAACCATAACTCCATTTTGACTAATTAAAGAGTTACTGCCCTTTGTTACTTTTCCTTGTCCGGAGCATAACTTGAAAACTACTGGTTGGAATTCAAAACAACTTCATACAATGGTCAAGCACAATAAGGGGAAGTGCCCTGCACAAGAACCATAACTCCATCTTGACTAATTACAGAGTTATTGCCCTTTGTTACTCTTCCATTGCTTTTTTTGTCCGGAGCATAACTTGGAGACTAATGGTTGGAATTCAATATAACTTCATACAGTGGTCAAGCACATTGAGAGAAAGTGCAGTGCACAAGAACCATAACCCCATCTTGACTAATTACAGAGTTATTGCCCTTTGTTACTTTTCCTTGTCCGGAGCATAACTTGAAAAGTACTGGTTGAAACTCGAAACAACTTCATACAATTGTCAAGCACAATAAGGGGAAGTGCAGTGCACAAGAACCATAACTCCATTTTGACTAATTACAGAGTTATTGCCCTTTGTTACTTTTCCTTGTCTGGAGCATAACTTGAAAACTACTGGTTGGAATTCAATACAACTTCATGCAGTTGTCAAGCACATTTAGAGGAAATGCAGTGCACAAGAATTATAACTCCATCTTGACAAATTACAGAGTTATTGCCCTTTGATACTTTTCCTTGTCCGGAGCATAACTTAAAACATACTGGTTGGAATTTAAAACAACTTCATACAATGGTCAAGCACAATAAGAGGAAGTGCAGTGCTAAAGAACCATAACTCCAGTTTGACTAATTACAGAGTTACTGCCCTTTGTTTTTTTTCCTTGTCCGGAGCATAACTTGATAACTACTGGTTGGAATTCAAAACAACTTCATACAATGGTCAAGCTCAAGAACTATAACTCTGTCCAAATTAATTATAGTGTTATTCCCCTTTTTACTTTTCCATTGCTTTTTTCTTGTCCAGAGCATAACTTGAAAACTACTAGTTGGAATTCAAAACTATTTCATGCAATGGTCAAGTATATTGAGAGGAAGTGCAGTGCACAGAAACCATAACATTTTTTGACTAATTTAAAAAATTTTGCCATTTGTTACTTTTTATTGTCCAGTGCATAACTTGAAAATTAATGGTTGGAATTCAATGAAACTTTATACAATGGTCAAGGGCAGTGAGATGAAGTGCAGTGCTCAAGAACAATAACTCTATTTGGACTTATTACAGTTATTGCCTTTGTTACTTTTTTTTTTGTCCAGTGCATATCTTGAAAACTAGTTGTTGAAATTCAATACAACTTCATAGAATGGTCAAGTGCAATGAGAGGAAGTGCAGTGCACAATAACCATAACTCAATCTTCAGTATTCAAGAGTTATTGCCCTTTGTTCCTTTTCCTTGTCTTTCTGGACTTATTACAGAGTAATCCAATAAAACTTCATCAATGGCCAACCACATTGAAAGGAAATGCAACATACAAGAACCACAACCATCTTAAATTGCCCACAACCATAACTCTTTTTCAATTCTTTACAAGGTATTCTGTTACTAGTAACATCCTCATTTCCAAGCAGTCTTGCGGGGGGGTATTAATCACATTTAGTGATAGTTCTAGTTATCTTAGTAACGGTTGCACACATTCAACTCAAACTTAACATATGAATATGTCATGAGAAAATACAGGTCAAGTTCGAATTTGGTGGTCATGGTTCGATGATTTTTGGCAGAGTTATGCCCCTTTTACTTTGAAAATAATATGAAATTTTCAGTTTCTGTTTATTATCTCCCCAACGGTACAACACATTCAACTCAAACTTGACATATGGATACGTCAACGGAATGTGCAGGTCAAGTTCAAATTTGGTCATGGTTCAATGATTTTTGGCAGAGTTATGCCCCTTTCACTTTGAAAATAATATGAAATTTTCAGTTTCTGTTTATTATCTCCCCAACGGTACAACACATTCAACTCAAATTTGACATAAGGATATGTTTTTGAAATGCCCAAGCCAAGTTCGAATTTGGTCATGGTTCAATGATTTTTGGCAGAGTTATGCCCCTTTCTCTTTGAAAATAATATGAAATTTACAGTTTCTGTTCATTATCTACCCAACAGTGTTACATACTCAACTCAAATTTGACATATGGATATGTCAAAGGAATGAGCAGGTCAAGTTGGAATTTGGTCATGGTTTGATGATTTTTTGGCAGAGTTATGTCCCTTTCACTTTGAAAATAATATAGATACATCTTAGGAATAAGCAGTTTAAGTTTGAATTTGGTCGTGGTTCAATGATTTTGGACAAACTTATCTTTCCTGAATGTTGGAAAAATTTTGAAACACATACTTTTGTGGAAATGTATGTTGCCATTATTTTGGCTACAAATATGCAATATGCTATTTTCAAAAGGTTAAGACTGAATAATTTTAGTGCCTTGAACATTGTATGAAAATGGTTTAAAAATTGAAAAGTTTTAAGGGCTTTGAACTTAAAATAAAAAAAATAATTTGTGCAAACAAATTTGGAACTAAATATTATAACATCTGAAATTTTGGCTGCATGCGGGGGCATCCGTGGCATGATGACACATTTCTAGTTATTCTTGATTAAGCCTATTTTCTCTTGTTGTTTATTTTGAGTCTTGATCTTATCACTATTAAAAACGGAAGTGATTAAACCTTTACCAACGTAACAGTATAGAGCTAGACCAGCCTGCACCTTTGTACATTCTGACCAGGCTCTGTATTGTTGGCTGATCAAATTTTCATCTTTATATCCCCAAAGTTAAATAATGGACAGTTCTAAAAATAGAAATTGGACAATATAATTTACATTAGATTCATGAATATAATGTTTATAAGGAATACTGCTGTCACACTTAAAATATCTGCATTTTACAAGGCACAAAGCATTTAAAACAGTTATGGCTCTTGAATATGTCAAATTTTTAAAATCGTAAAATTTTTACCATCTCAGTCGTAATTCAATTCACTAAGAATATTGATACAAGTGGAACAAACAGTTAACACAGGATAAGTTTTGAGGTTAATCTTATGTCAGATGATAACCGACGTTGCGAGTCTTCTTCAAGGTTATTAAATTCAGTTAATATACAAAAAGGCCTGATGCATGAACAAATAGGAATGTAATTTATGATATTTTTGTGATTAAATAAAATAGTAAAATGCAATTTATGATATTTTTGTGATTAAATAAAATAGTAAAACTTGCCAAGTGCACACATTTTATACTTGGGTTTGATTAAAATGAATGTCCTAAGGATAGTCAGTGTCAGCTGTTACTAAAAGTACTATCTGCAGCATCTCGATAAAATTGATATGTAAATCATTTGTAAATTTGCACAAGTGATATATGAAACAAGTAGTCAAATTCTGTAGAGCAATAATCTTTTTACAACAATCAAAGAAAGACTGTTACTCTGTAGGAATTGCACTTAATGTTTAAATTTATATTATATTCTCTTATGTTCCTGTATTCTGTTCTGTTCTTGTATTCTATTCTGTTCTGTTCCTGTATTCTATTCTACTCTGTTCCTTTATTATATTCTGTTCTGTTCCTGTATTCTGTTCTGTTCCTGTATTCTATTCTGTTGTGTTCCTGTATTCTATTCTGTTTCGGGTTTGGGTCAATGCAGCAGCTCAGACCTTTAATTCAATGGGCATAGCAATAATGTTTTTACAACAATCAAAGAAAGACTTCACAATAGACTGATAATCTCTAGATAAAAGATCACTCCGCAATATTCAAATTCTTTGTTTCCGAAAGACAGTTGCTCAGTAGGAATTGCACTTAATGTTGAAAATTATATTCTATTCTGTTCTGTTTCAGGTATGGGTCAATGCAGCAGCTCAAACCTTTAATTCCCTGGGCATAGCTTTTGGAGGAATCATAACAATGTCAAGTTATAACAAGCGGAAAAACAGAATACTTAAGTAAACTTTCTTATTGTTTTGTAACATTTTAAAAGCTGCATAGCCCCAGATGAGAAAACAAGTATTTAAGAATAATTATATTTTGAATGTTTTATGAATGTATAGGTATTTAATTTTCATGTGACTGAAAAAAAAATGATAAAATTTACTTTTTTAAGTTAAGTTTAAGTTTAAGTATTTCTATGACCGAGTGGTTAAGGTCGTTAGTGACTTCAAATTACTTCCTCTTCACCACTGTGGGTTCGAATCTCGCCAGGGACTTTGATTGTTTCATGTGAGATAGCTATCCAGTTACCTTATGGAACCTTGGTGGTCCATAACTATGAGTTACCTATTTAAAGAATTATGCCACTTTTCGTGCTGTCAAGCACTAAGAATAGTCTCGCACTGTCTTTTGAACAGTTGTTGTTATTTGTATATGTTTTTCTGGTTTGAGGATGGAAAAAATTGTATCTGAACTTTTCCTTCCAAATTTTTTTTATCCTGTCCTCAGAAATGATTTCCCACAGATAGTTGAAAAGAAATTGATATATTACCACACAACAATAATATTTCTTTTGTACAGTTAAAGCACTCCAATTAAGAGGGCAAAATGTTACTTGTACTGTAAAGGACTGATTCTCACTGTGTTTCAGGGATGTTTTGATTATCGGAGTGGTGGACGCTGTAACGTGTCTGCTGGCTGGATTTGCCATATTTTCCATTCTTGGGTTTCTTGCTCATGACCAGGATAAAGATGTAGAGGAAGTGATTAAAGAAGGTAAGTTCAGTTCTGTACTTTGTGTAGGCTATATACAGATCACTGTATATCATGTCTCCATTTTGTACTTCATGCCATATATGTCATTATGTCATACATCAGATAGTTTTGCCCTTGAACAGCATACCATTTTGCCAGTGTTGGTTAAACTTGGTAAGGATGATCTTGCATTAAGCATATTCATATTTGTCAAAATAACAATTTTAAAGGAACTCCAGTAAGGCCCAAAAGTCTAAAATCATAAAATTTGAATTTTTTTACATAGAACAAAAAAAACAACCGGGGACACTATAAACAGAAAGATATGCAATAGTTATGTAAGAAACATAAACCAGATAAATTGATAATCATATTTTTGTGCTATTTTAGCTTGATATGAGTGAAAAGCGTTTACATAAAAAACTATACAAGCATAGACAAATAACTTCTTTACAATAACAGGAAAAAATTCTTCCCAAAAACTTCCAAAAATTAATTATTTCCTCATAGAGCAACAACCTTAATCTTTGTTTCCTAAAGGGTGTTACTGTGCATAGGTTGTAATACATTGCTTTATAATAATTTAATTATTTCAGAACCATGATTTTATAATAATTTAATTACTTCAGGACCATGATTTTGTAAAAATTTAATTATTTCAGGACCAGGATTTTATAATAATTTAATTATTTCAGGACCAGGATTTTATAATAATTTAATCATTTCAGGACCAGGATTTTATAATAATTTAATTATTTCAGGACCATGATTTTATAATAATTTAATTATTTCAGGACCAGGATTTTATAATAATTTAATCATTTCAGGACCAGGATTGGTGTTTGTGATTTACCCGTCGGCTTTCTCCAGCATGCCTGTCTCGCAGCTTATATCTGCACTATTCTTCTTTATGCTGATTTGTCTTGGAATAGATAGCCAGGTAAAAAAACATCACTATAAAATCTGTAAAATTATGTGGGCTGTTGTTTCTGTGATTTATGTTTAGTGGACTTGGTCAAGATATGAATTAAATGGGCGTCTGTGGTTTTAGTCACTTGCCCTATTCCTATGTTGGGAGTTTTGGGGGATAAATCCCCCATGGGCTTTAAACTGTGTCATGTAAGAAGCTATGCAGATATCTCACTGAAAGCCATTAGTTCCACTTAATTGCCTAAGATTGCATGCATGGTGACTTGCTTCGACTTTTAAAGTGGAGGTATGACTTTAATCCACCCCAACTTTGGTTTTAAAAAAGAAACATTTTAGTGAAATTAGCAAGTATTTTCTCTTGTATAGTATTGTACTACAGTCTTTAAACTGCATGCCTCCAGATGTTTTATAGGCTAATATTTTATCACAATTAAGAAAGTGCTTCTGTATTTAAATACATGTATATTGCTATGGCTGTCAGAGCTGCATTACTGGTACTGGTACTGGTACTGCAGTACGTACTGCAGCGATTTTGCAAGTACTGGTACTGATACTGAATTACTCTTACAAAATTTTGCTACTACTGGTACTGGTACTGCATTACTGTCTTAAAAAGTGGTACTGCTACTGCATTACCCAGTACTTTTGGTTTTGATAAAAAATTAAAAATAACATCAATTTTTCTCATAAAATAAAGCTGTAAAATACATCAACTATATTTTATTTTTGTGAAAAAGTAAGTTATCAAATCTAAAGATAATTTGCTGCAATATTCCTTCAAATGTTAACATAGTATTCATCATAAAAAGCACCAAAGACTTTAAGTAAAAATTTAATTAAGATAAACAGACTCAATAACTCTTTACCCTAAAATATCCTTATTAAAATCTTTTATTACTTTGTATTTACTAGTAAAAGAGCAAAATAAACACTAATTAATTTCTTCTATTCTAAAAAATCCCATTTCAAGTGAAAAAAATGATATTGTTAGCACCATAAAAAGTTGTTATTTACTTTGGTTTAAATTGAACAGAGATGTGAAGATGTGAAAGGCAACAAAAGATTGTTGCATTTTAAATGAAAGATGTTTGCATTGTATTTATATAGTTGACTGGTTACTAAACAATTACATATGGCATGAATATATGTTGTAAATATTGTTTGTAAAAAGTATGTTAAAACTATAAAGTTGGAAATATGTTATGTTAACTTTAAAGCAGCACGCCTCCAGATTCATCCTAATTTTCATGAAAATTTTGAACATGTTTTTAAAGGTAAAATATTGTTAAATGAACAAAGAAAGTACTTGACACATTACAATCGGCACTTAAAAATCCACGTAAATTACCAAAAAAAGGTCAACACATGCATAAATATGGTGATAAATACTACAAAATACAGTCATTAATTGCACATAAGATATAATTTATCACTTGAATCTTTAATTTGTTTACTTTTCTCAAAGTTTTAGTAATTTATTTCCAAGTTTAATTTTCTTGAAATATTTTGGGTCATCTGGAGGCATGCAGCTTTTAAGTAAATAATGATTTTATTTCTTTGCTGAATAATATTTGCTATTATTTGTTTGACACTGTATTTATTCAAACTTTGATGAATATATAAAAGTAATGGTACTGATACTTAATTACTTCACCAAAAAAAGTACTGGTACTGCAGTACCGAGCTAAAATCTAGTACTGGTACTGGTAATGGTACTGCATAATTTGCCAAGTACTGGTACTGGTACTTAAGTACTACACCCTTAGTACTGATGCAGCTCTGATGGCTGTACAATAAAGTGATTGAAGCTATTATGCTGTGCTTACTTTCTACATACTGATAAGTTTCTTAATAAATTGTTAATGCTCTTTTAGTAACAAGTGACCAAATATGTATATAGTAAATCCTGACTCCTTGTCAAAATTCATATGTAAAAATTTCTGCATTTGTAAAGAAATAAAGGCTGAGCTTCATATGAACTTTAGTGCATATTAATCTTTAATATAATTATAAAATTTTTAGTTTCTTTAGTCATGTGAAGGCATGCAGATTTAATAGGTTTGTTGTTTAAATTTCATACCGTGACATTGTAAGTTTGTAATTCAGTTTTAATGTTTACCTTGTGATGTATTTATTACAAAGTGTATTTTGATGTACTACTTTATACTATGTCTACACGACAGAAGGTGACATAAAAGTATTGCTATAATCTATATTTAACATAAATAGGTGAACATGACTTGACAAAACAAAACAACAGTAAATACAAAATATATGTCTGAAATTTAAGTAGTTAAGTAAGTTAAAATTAATGTACGGTATTTTATGTATAATTATGTAGTTATTTAAGTCAGAGATAAATGTAGGAAAATTATAGTTGCTGTTTAAGTCAGAAATAAATGCCTGAAAATATAAGTCAGTAATAAATCTCTGAAAATAAATTAATGTTATTTAAGACAGAAAAATTTCTAAGAATTTAAGTTGCTGTTTAAGTCAAAGATAAATTTCTGAAAATTTAAGTTGCTGTTTAAGTCAGAGATAAATCTATGAAAATGTAAGTTGATGTTTAAATCACAGATAAATCTCTAAAAATTTAGGTTGCAGTTTTAAGTCAAAGATAAATTTCTAAAAATTTAGATTGCTGTTTAAGGCAGAGATAAATGTCTGAAAATAAGTTGTTGTTTAAGACAAAAAGATAAATGTCTGAAAGTTTAAGTCACTGTTGAAGTCAGAGATAAGTGTCTGAAATTTTAAGTTGCTGTTTAAGACAAAGATAAATGTCTGAAATTTTAAGTTGCTGTTTAAGTCAAAGGTAATGTCTGCTGAAATTTTAAGTTGCTGTTTAAGAAAGAGATAAATGTCTGATATTTATGCCCCCACAAAGTGGGAGCATATAGCGTTGCACTTGTCCGTCCGTACGTACGTCTGTCCGTATGTCCCGAAATCTTGTGAACGCAACTCCTCTTAAACCGGATGGCAGATTTTGCTTAAACTTTCAGGGATAAACAACCTTAATGTGTAGATGGTAGTAAAGAAAGGAATTTTTGCTGCGACCAAATTTAATAGAATTATGGCCCTTTGTTGATTTTTTATGCTCCCCGAAAAATTTCGGGGGAGCATATAGTCGGCGCCTTGTCCGTCTGTCCGTCTGTCTGTCCGTCCGTCCGTCCGTTTTCTTGTCCAGAGCATAACTTGAAAGCCCTTGGAGATAATTTGTTTAAACTTCATACAGTGGTAGAGGGCATTGAGGGGGAGTGCAGTGTCAAAGAACCATAACTCTATTTTGCCCGGTTTTTTAATTATCTCCCCTTATAGAAAAATCTTGTCCGGGGCATAACTCTAAAACTATAAGAGATATTAACATGAAACTTTGTAGGTGAATAGATCTCAATGGGTAGATGTGCAGTGCATAAGAACAATAACTCTTTTTGTCCTAATTTTGGAGTTATTGCCCTTTGTTAATTTCAACACTTTGAACTTTGTCCAGAACATAACTCTAAAACTATAAGAGATATCAAGATGAAACATTGTAGGTAGATAGATCTCATTGAGTAGAAGTGCAGTGCAAAAGAACCATAAATCTGTTACATTATTTAAGCCTCATTTTTGAATTATCTCCCCTTATAGATAAATCTTGTCCGGGGCATAACTCTAATACTATAAGAGATATCAACATGAAACTTTGTGGGTGAATAGATCTCAATGGGTAGATGTGCAGTGTCAAAGAACCATAACTCTATTTTGCCGGGTTTTTGAATTATCTCCCCTTATAGAAAAATCTTGTCAGGGGCATAACTCTAAAACTATGAGAGATATCAACATGAAACTTTGTAGGTGAATAGATCTCAATGGGTAGATGTGCAGTGCATAAGAACAATAACTCTTTTTGTCCTAATTTTGGAGTTATTGCCCTTAGTTAATTTTAACAGTGAACTTTGTCCGGAACATAACTCTAAAATTATAAGAGATATCTAGATGAAACATTGTAAGTAGATAGATCTCATTGAGTAGAAGTGCAGTGCAAAAAAAAAACATAACTCTGTTAAGCCTCATTTTTGAATTATCTCCCCTTTAAGAAAAATCTTGTACTGGACATAGCTGTAAAACTATAAGAGATATCAACATGAAACTTTGTAGGTAGATGTATCTCAATGGGTAGATGTGCAGTGCACGAGAATCATAACTCTGTTTTGCCTAATTCTGGAGTTATTGCCCTTTGTTTATTTTTACTTTTTGAAGTTGTCCGGAACATAACTCGGAAACCATAAGAGATATCAACAAGAAACTTGGTAAGTAGATAGATAACAGTGATTAGAAGTGCAGTGCAAAGAACAGTAACCTTGCCTTTCCTAATTTTGGAATTATTGCACTTTGAACTTTTTCCATGGACATAACTCTGAAACTACAAGAGGTGTACTTTCCTGTGTCCAAAACCTATTCGGGGAGCATCACCCGGCTCAAACCGGGCTCTTGTTCACTATATACTATGTAGAAATTTTGTGAACGCAACTCCTCTTAAACCGGATGGCATATTTTGCTTTAACTTCCAGGGATGAACAACCTTAATGTGTAGATGGCAGTAAAGGAAGGAATTTTTGCTGCGGCCAAATTTAACAGAATAATGGCCCTTTGTTGATTTTTTCACTATATACCATATAGAAATTTTGTGAACGCAACTCCTCTTAAACTGGTTGGCAGATTTTGCTTAAACTTCCAGGGATGAACAGCTTTAATGTGTAGATGGTAGTTAAGGAAGGAATTTTTGTTGCGACCAAATTTAACAGAATTATGGCCCTTTGTTAAGTTTTTCACTATTTACCATATAGAAATTTTGTGAACGCAACTCCTCTTAAACCGGATGGCAGATTTTGCTTAAACTTCCAGGGATGAACAGCTTTAATGTGTAGATGGTAGTTAAGTAAGAAATTTTTGTTGCGACCAAATTTAACAGAATTATGGCCCTTTGTTGATTTTTTCACTATATAGCATATAAATAATTGAACATATAAATTTTACATTTGTAATTTAATTTAACATGTACATAAGGTTACCTGTAGATCATTTAAGGTATATGTACAGAAATGAAACAGTGGAATGAAAAAGTTCCACATAAAAATCTTACATACAGATATGCATGCTCTTATTTACGAGCACATCTGCACAGTGGGGGCATCCGTGTCCTTTGGACACAATTCTAGTTTAAGTCACTGTTTAAGTCAAAGATAAATGTCTGAAATTTTAAGTTGCTGTTAAAGTAAAAGATAAATGTCTGAAATTTTAAGTTACTGTTGAAGGCAATGATAAAAGTCTGAAAATTTAAGTTGCTGTTTAAGTCAAAGGTAAATGTCTGAAATTTTAAGTTGCTGTTTAAGTCCGAGGTAATGTCTGCTGAAAATTTAAGTTGCTGTTTAAGGCAGAGATAAATGTCTGAAATTTTAAGTTGCTGTTTAAGTCAAAGATAAATATCTGAAATTTTAAGTTGCTGTTTAAGTAAAAGGTAAATGTCTGAAATTTTAAGTTGCTGTTTAAGTAAAAGATAAATCTCTGAAATTTTAAGTTGCTGTTTAAGTAAAAGATAAATCTCTGAAATTTTAAGTTGCTGTTTAAGTAAAAGGTAAATTTTTGAAATTTTAAGTTGCTGTTTAAGTAAAAGATAAATCTCTGAAATTTTAAGTTGCTGTTTAAGTAAAAGGTAAATGTCTTAAATTTTAAGTCGTTGTTTAAGGCAGAGATAAATGTCTGAAATTTTAAGTCACTGTTTAAGTCAAAGATAAACCTCTGAAATTTTACATCACAGAATGAAAATAATTTATTTGAGTTCCTGATTTAAAATTCTTTCTGAATGAAAAATTTATTTGTACTGGTTTATTTGCTTTATTGAATTCAAATATAAAATTGAAATGGTATATAATATGTACTGATTTAATCAAGGACAATTTTTCAGTTTTGTATGAAACCCAATCTTGCCAATCTAGGTTTTGTTCCTAAAATTGATTTTGAAACTTGAATTTTACAAAATGAAACATTACTAGTATTCCATAAACTTTAAGTTTAGGAAATTTGAATTTTAGGGAATAAAACTTTCTTCCTGAAATTTACATTTAAAGACAATAAAACATTGTTCCTGAAACTTGAATTTTAGGAATTTCAGAAACTTGATTTTTAGGAAGTAAAACATTGTTACTAAAACTTGAATTTTAGGAAATAAAACATTGTTTCTTAAGTTTCAACTTCAGTAAACACATGCTGTTAGTTGTTACGAGTGTGTGAACAGAAAGTTGGAAAATTTGTTTATTGAACTAGAAAAGTTTGTTTATTGAACTAGAAAAGTTTGTTTTTTTAACTGAATGATTGTAAAACCTTGCACAAACAGGCATAAACCTTAACAGACATATTTATTTAACTTAGTTTAAAGTTTATCTCTACTCAAAGCACAGTTATGTTTTATTTAGATAAAGAGGAATTATATCTGAACTCGATTTCCTCCTTAAATTGTCACCTCTGTTAAGGCTTAACCTATTTCTGTCTTTACTATTGCTACTTATTTAGGTTTGCCTAATAGTATAATATTACATTCATAAATAGAGGATATTTTAAGTTTTTTCTATAAATACAGTATTTATTTTCATCAAGTGGTATGAAAATAAATAGTTCATGAATGGCAAGTGCCACTATTGAAATATGATAATCACAAGATGAAAATAAACCCAGTGTTTATAAAAAACAAAACAAAACAAGCTTGAATTTTCTATTTATTATATACTTAATTTTCTTTTTTGACCTTACAATTCTTAAGACTTCTACTTTAATTTTGTGTATTATAGCTGAATTAAGAAGAAAGTTGTTTCACTGCAGTGAAAATTAATCTATTGTAGTGAAAATACAGAAAATGAAAATAAGCATTTTATTTCATCAATATATCATTTATAAGTATATAATAAAAACACATGTTAAGAAATAATTAAAAAATAAGTAACAGTTTAAAAGCAAGAAGCAGTGGCGTAGCTTCCTATAAGCCATGTATGCCTCTGCTTACACATTTTCCGGGGGAAAATAGTGAAATAGGTGAAATAGTCCAAGACCATTATAAATTTTTCTAAATTACTATTACAAATGCTACTAAACTACTAGTAACTGTTAATCTCTTGAATGTCTTAAATGAAGTTGTCAAGCTTCAATTTTCTGTACAGTCCATTAATTTTTTCAGGGATATTTTTTTAAAAAAGTTTAAGTCGGAGAGCCATCACATAGAGCCTTTTCAGACTGAAGAGATGAACTCTGGTCTGGTTCTTTGCTGGCCGGAAAGGTTTTTAGCTATGGGGTCCTGTAGGATAAGGGTAAAATAAAAACTTTTTTTACCTATTACAGTTTGCCTCTGTAGAAGTTATTGTCACAACAATACAAGATCATTTTGCTCCTCAAGTGAAGAAGTATCTACGTCGTAAAGAACTGCTAGTTCTAGTTGTGTGTGTTGTATCTTTTCTATGTGGTCTACCTAATGTTACTCAGGTTAGTTCTATTATCTTTTTAACCCTATAACATTTGGGGCCTCAGTGCTCAGGTGCTAAAGGTCACTGATTTCATATCTCTGTTCAACAGAGATTACGAAAACTGTGCAAAATTGCTCACGCCCCCTAGCACTGGTTTAAGTGGTTTTCAATCATTAAGTATTTGAATTGATGAGCCTGAAGGACTGAAACCTTATAACAACCCTGAGAGAGTCTTCATTAATAATCGTGTCCCAAAACTAAAAAATTAAGCTTAATTTCAAAGTATAAACTAATTATTTATGATTGATAATTGATAATTTCAGGGAGGAGTCTACTTTTTCCAGTTGATAGATTACTATGCAGCAGCTATGTCTTTGATGTATCTGGCTTTCTTTGAAGTTATAGCAATTACATGGTTTTATGGTGAGTAAAGAACATGTTTTTTAACCTGAAAATAGCAGAATGGACTCGCCTTGATTTGAGTTAGGAACAGTCCATTTGAACTTTAAGGGATTTCATTAACAAAATACAAAAATTGAGTTTTCAGCAGTACTGTGTAAAACCTGGTCAGACTGCATTGATATGCAAGTTGGTCTGGCTTTTTACTGGTGGCAATGGATAATTGTAATCCATTTTAGATTGATGATTATAAATACTCACTGGGTGGAATTCAAATTTTTGTTTGCCATTAAAAACATCATACTCACCACATCTAATTTAAATGCTGTATAGTTGCCACATTGAAGCGTCGATGGTTCATTACTCGGGTACTCTTCATGTCTGAAATGATGTACAGAGGGGCACCTGAGGCATTCCTCCACCAGAAAAGTTGGAAAATCCCCATATAACCTTTATATACAGTGATTGTGCGGCTTAATACACAACCAGAAAAAAAATTGCCACATACACTCAATGTTCTTATATTTTACTGTAAGTAACGGGAGAAGAAGAGGAGTTCAATAATTTTAAATGTGCTTAAGATGAAATACTGCTAATACTGCTAAATAAAAAGGCCCCTAAAGATACAAGTATTCCATGTTTCATGTTCTCTGTGGAACAGGTAAATCAAAATGGGTCGTCAACTCTAGATTTGTTTTCATCACATTTTGGGATATCTCTTATTTTTCATAAGTAAATTCAACTGAAACAGTGATGTTTAAATATTTTAGGTGCTAAGAAATTAGCAAAGAATATAGAACAGATGAACGGTGCTCCACCATCAGTATTTTTCATTGTTTGCTGGTACGGAATATCACCACTTCTTATACTGGTAAGTTTATTGAAACTGTTACAGTAGTTGATATAAAATTATAATTATCATTATACTGTATTATTAACAAGATAAAAAAAAAGGGCTGTAAGGTAATTAAATTGCGCCAAGCTGTTTCTCAATCCGCATAACTTGACCCCAATCTGTTTCTAAGATTTTAATGATTGCAGTGTTTGCCTTGTGGTACTGATTCCCACCCATTTGTGTAATGTCAATTCCAGGGCCAGTACATATTAGATGCTAGGTGATATTTTTTAGGACTATTTAGCCTTTGTAAGTACAATGTGACTGGATGGGGTATTTCCTCATTGTGTATACAGCCTGATGTTTCTAGTTCGTAATAATTTTTTTCACATGTGTACATGTATGTATCATTTCTCACAAATGAATGATTTAAGCAAAAATGTTTGAATCAAATGTGTATGTTAATATAGACGCACACTCTCTCAAAACAGTATTCTGTATTCTTGTAGGGTATATGGATATTCAGTCTGGTACAGTATAAACCTTTTAGTGTAGCTAATTACGAGTATCCAGGTTGGGCGATCGGTCTCGGTTGGTTTATTGCGGCCTTGTCAATCATCTGCATACCAGGAGCGATGGTCCACTCAGTCGTAACAGCTCAGGGAAAGACGCTCTGGCAGGTTTGTTTAGTTTGTTTTCCATCCAAATGCTAATATTGCATAAAATATTGGCCAATACTATAATACTTTAGAATATTTTTATGCCACCGCAGCATCTGTGATGCGGTGGCATATAGCGATTCACCTGTGTGTGTGTTTACATGTTTGTGTGTGTGTGTGTTATATAGATTATATAGTGAACTTAAAAAATCTTCTTGTGAAAAACCACTAGTCCAATTTAAACCAAACTTGGCAGGATTGATCCTTGGGTGAAGGGCTTCCAAAGTTGTTCAAAGAATTTCATTCCATGCAGAAATCTGGTTGCCATGGCAACTGAAAGGAATTATAAGAATAAATTTAAAAAATCTTCTTGTAAAGACCCAAAAGGCCTAGAGCTTAGATATTTTGCATAAGGCATTGTATGGTAGATCTCTTCCAAGATTGTTCAAATTATAGCCCTGGGGTCAAAATCGGCCCCGCCCCAGGGGTCATTGATTTTCACTATATGTACATATAGTAAAAACTAAAAATACCTTCTTGTAAAGACCCAAAAGGCCTAGAGCTTAGATATTTTGCATACGGCGTTGTCTGGTACTGACAGACCTCTTACCCAGATTGTTCAAATTATAGCCCTGGGGTCAAAATGGGCCCCGCCCTGGGGGTCATTGATTTTCACTGTATGTACATATAGTAAAAACTTAAAATACCTTCTTGTAAAGACCCAAAAGGCCTAGAGCTTAGATATTTTGCATAAGGCATTGTCTTGTAGACCCTTACCAAGATTGTTCAAATTACAGCCCTGGGGTCAAAATCGGCCCCGCCCCAGGGGTCATTGATTTTCACTATATGTTACTGTGTACATATAGTTAAAACTTAAAATACCTTCTTATAAGGACCCAAAAGGCCTTGAGCTTAGATATTTTGCATAAGGCATTGTCTGGTAGACCTCTACCCAGATTGTTCAAATTATAGCCCTGGGGTCAAAATCGACCCGGCCCCGGGGGTCATTGGTTATCCTCATATGTATATACTAAAAACTTACAGTAAAAACTTTTTAAAAAATCTTCTAGTAATTGACAAATGCTAGACGTAAGATATTTTGCATGAAACATTGTATAGTGAAGCTCTAGCAAGATTGTTCAAATTATAGCCCTGGGGTCAAAATTAGCCCCACTCCTAGGGGTCATTGATTTTCGCTATGAACGTAGAGTAAAAAATCTTCTTATCTGAAGGTACAAGGCTTAAAGCTTTGATATTTGGTATATAATATCATCTTTGGGTCCTCTACTAAAGTTGTTTTAATTATGCCCCTTGTGTTGAAATTGCCCTGCCCTAGAGGCGGTAGATTTCCTTATATGTATAAAGTAAAAACTTAAAAAAATCTTCTTCTCTGCATTGACAAAGGCTAGAGTTTAAATATATGGCATGAGACTTTGCGAAGTAAACCTCTACTAAGATTGTTCAAATTTTAGCCCTGGGGTCAAAATTGGTTCTGCCCCGGGGATCATTGATTTACATTATGTATATCTAGTAAAAAAATAAAAAATATTTTTGTCTGAAGGTACAAGGCATAGAGCTTTCATGTTTGCTATATAATATCATCTATAGGTCCTCTACAAAAGTTATTTAAATTTTTCCCCTGGTGTCAAAACTGGCCCTGCCCGGGGGCATGATTCTCATTATGTACACATAGTAAAAACAGAAAATAAAACAAATGTTTTCTGAATGGGAGAAAGCTTCAGCTTAGATATTTGACTTGAAATGTTGTTTGGTGGACCTGTATCAAGATTGTTTTGAATTAAACCCTTGGGTCAAAATTTTGCCTTGACCAAGGGGACAGTGACCTACTTTCTTGTCCTTCCTTTGATGTACAGCAATGAAATTTTGACCATGTGCACAGTTTTAGTTGTAAAATTGAACTTTGATATCAGGTGACCTAGATTTTGATAATGTGACCTACTTTCTTGTGCTTTGATGTACAGCTATGAAATTTGAACCATGTGCACAGATTAAGATGTAAAGTGGACTTTAATATCAGCTTACCTAGATTTTGACAAAGTGTCTTACTGTGTTGTCCTTTGTTGTAGTCATGAAATTTAGGCTGCGTGAAATATGACCTTCACCACCAAATTCACTAGACTCAAGTGCATTGATATATTCCTGCTCTGATCTTTTATTATTAACAATAGATTTAATCACTAATCTGATAATAGGAATTAGATAGGTCAGGGATCTATGCATTATGACAATCTTCAATTGTATAGAAACAAAAAAAAAAAAAAAAAAATATGTTCCTACACTACTATTTAGTGTTGTATTAATGCGGTGGCATAGCATTTTTCTCAAATGCAATCTTGTTTTGTATTAAAAAAAGTCACTCATTTTCCAAATTATTTTCCTTGTCTCGTAGTTTTTCCAAACATGCATTTGGAGAGCCTGATAACTTGAAAAGTCTCTTTTAAGGAAAGAATTGAAAATATTTCAAAGAATTGATACTTATTTAAATGATCTCAAATCATTTCTTGTAAACAAATGTGTGTGTTGCCCACATAACTCAAAATAGATTTAGAGAATATGTGGGACTAGCAGGTGGTCACTTATCTTTGATTAGTTAACTAGAATTGCCTGTTATTTGGATTAACTGCAGAGATATATCTAAATATGTGTTAAAATCATCATAAAAAGAAGACAAACATACGGTGTTATACCTAACATGTGTCTTTTTCAGAAATTCAAGAATTCATTGAAGCCACAAGCCATTGATATGGAGGAAAAGAATGAAGACATTGGTTTTAAAGATATAACATTTCCGGTCGATGATTGTTACCTTGAAAATGGAGGGGTCATCTTCAAAGGACAGAAACCTTCAGACAGCATGTACCCGGCCCTCAATGATGAAGTTCAGCCATTAAGCTATAAACATGTATGAACAAGACATAGAATTGCTGATCTTTGTATGAACATAGAAATGTTGACTTTTGTATGGACATAGAAGTGTTTGCCTTTGTATGATCACAGAAAGTTTTACTTTTGTATGAACATAGAATTGCTGATATTTGTATGAATGCTTTGTATGAACATAGAATTGTTAACCTTTGTGTGAACATAGAACTGTTGACTTTTGTAGGAACATAGAAGAGTTTTCCTTTGTGTGAACATAAAAATGTTGACCTTTGTATGGACATACATGTAGAAGTGTTGATCTTACCTATTGTTCCCAAGATTAATATTATGACCATGATATCGTGATGCCAAATGCTGGTATCTGATTGGTTGATTTTATTGCCAGGTTTAAAGTTGCACACTACTAGAAAACCATGTTTCAAAAGTAAAAAAAAAGATAAAGGAATAAACATTTAGGAATTTAACCCTTTACCTGCTGGAACAAAATGTTATTAGCTGTAGCCAACAGTACAGCACAATGCTTGGGCTGCATGCCCAGTCTGTGATCTTGCCAGGCTCTATACTGTAGGCTCACCAACTTCATATGAGCCGCATCACGACAAAACCAAAAATGGGTTTGCGACCAGCATGGTTCCAGACCAGCCTGCTCATCCGCACAGTCTGATCAGGATCCATGCTGTTCGCTATCAGTTTCTCTACTTGTTATAGGGTTTGTAAGCGAATAGCATGGAGCCTTGTCTGGATCCATGCTGGTCGCAAACCCATTATGTTGGTTTTGTCGTGACGCGGCTCATATATCTATCTTGATATCCCTAAAATTAAAAATGGACAATTCCAAAAAATCCAAGTCCATGTAAGAAATTCAACAGGTTAAGTGTTTAGAAATACATTTATTTGTATGTCCGAAAAAGGATGAAGCACTTTACTTGCTCCTTTAAAATATACTGTAATATAAACAACTTCTGTATCTGTCCTTTTATGAACAGGGTTTGTTTTTTTTTGGGGTGGGGGGGGAGACAAAATCATCTGTTGGTGTGCTATTTTAAAGATAACAGGTAAAGGGTCTCAAATGTCATATTAACTTATTCTTTTATTTCATTATTTAATGTTAGCCGAATATGTTTTCTTACTTTATATTTAGTTAATAATAGTTAAGATTACTTAGATTTAGCCTAGTTTATATCTAGTTAATATTAGTTACGATTACTTAGATTTAGCCACAATGAGAAAGGAATCGGTGCCAAAAACAATGTGTAAACAATACAAATACATGTTAAGATCTGTTTTTTTTATTTTTACATTTATGTGTAATTGTTATTAATTCCTGGAAGGGATAAAACTTAAGGATATGGGAGATTATTAAATCCGTCCTTTATATTATATTTCTAAAACTAAAAATAAAATGTTTATACATTTTCCATGTTATGTCACAAAAATCATGTGTATTTGCATAATGTGATCTATATTTGTGTCATTTTACATCTTACATATGGGACAGCATTTAGTATAGCTTAGTGGTCTTTATTATAGTTATTAAAATGCCTCTGGAGTAAGAAAATAGCCTCACCCTTGGGGTCATTATTGAAGCTTACATAAACTGATAAACCCAATAAGACCTTTCCGACATTTGCATTAAAGGCTTGTGTACTATTCTAACATTGTACTTCAGGTGAGCGATCAAGGCTATCATGGCCCTCTTGTTCAAATATACATGTATATCTTTTTTTACTCGAATTTATGTCTGTTGAACAAACAATAAGGTTTTTTTCCTTGAAAATATTGTTATTTCCTGTCATTGCTATTTTTTCTTTTACTGAATAGTGGTATATGATGCACATTTGTTATTTATTTTTCAATTATTCCATTGTGTTTAACAGTTTATTTTGTAGTATTTAATCCTGATGTTTACATTTTGGTCTTCAGTTGGCAAAATTTTTAATTTTTTCACTGCCAATGTTAACTCCCTTGGTTATTTTGTTAGAGTGACATTGATTGAACAGTTTTGTATACATGTACATGCAAACAAATCTGTAATCTTTTTTTGTTTTACAACTATACAGATGATAAAGGAACTTCAAGATCATTTTATTAAGAATTCTGTGCATAATTAAATTGGTTTTTGTTAAGCTTTTAAATCATGTTCTCTAGATAATTGTCAAGGACTAGCCTAATAATGTTTACATAGGATTTGAATATTATTACCCCATTTCCATACCCTTTATTATAGCCCCTTGTGAGTATGCAAATCATATCTGAAGGTTAGTATTGTTGGCTGTATTGGAACACTTGTTCTGTTGCCATGGTTTATTATAATCTGAATACTTAAAAGAGTTTTCATAATGGCCTTGCTATTGTGCCAACATTCTGTCATTTTAGCACAAGCCCTTTAGGCTGAAGGCTAATACAGTTGACTCTTGTTATCTTGAAGTCATCGGGACTCAAAAAAATATTTTTGATAAATTGTTGAGAGAAACGTATTTTGGGTAATGAACCAGTCAGAAACTAAATTTTAATAAAGATATGGGAATACTGTAAGTAAAATAAACTCAGTATGATGTGCTCTTTTTTTGAACAGATATGTTGTGGTGAAATTCTTATTGTATCCACTAATATGATAAGTAAGATGTAGACATCTATGCATTAGTGGAGAGATAAACAAAGGATAATAGTGTGAAAATAACTGTTGGGGCTGAAATTTTACTTCGAGATATTGAAAATATAGAAATATTGAGATAAACAAAGATACCCAATATAGATAACTTGCAAAATTTCATTGAGATAACAGAATATCGGGATTCATAATGTCGAGATAACGATAGTTGACTGTCTGTCTATCTGAAGACCAATGACAAGGTCATTACGAAAACTCTTTAATTATTGGCAACTTTATTATTGAACAATGAAAAATTAACAAACACTTAATTTTATATAATAGTAATTTTAAATAGTAAAATTATCTTTAGATTACAACTTTCAGAACACATATGAGCCACGTCACGACAAAACCAACATAGTGGGTTTGGGACCAGCATAAATCCAGACCAGCCTGCGCATCCGCGCAGTGTGAAAAGGATCCATACTGTTCGCTTGCAGACCCTTAACAAATAGAGAAACATATAGCAAACAGCATGGATCCTGATCATTCTGCGCGGATGCGCAGGCTGGTCTGGATCCATGCTGGTCGCAAACCAATTATGTTGGTTTTGTCGTGACGCAGCTCATATGTATTAAATTGCTGTAATTTAACAGTTAAACTTTGTCACATGTTTTATGCTCGTAATAGTTTTAAAAGTCAGGATATTTTATCATAGGTTAACCCATTTGGGATAAGTGCATTAAGTAATGTATGAACACATTTTGGTCTTTGAAAGTTCAAGAATGATTTGATTTTTCTGAGATAAATATCAAAAACATCTGTAATTGTTATATTTTTGTTATGTTTTGTGTGTACTTTTTACTTATTACTTCTATTTTTATAAACTTTGTTTTTACTTGCTGTTTTTACTGAACATGTGTCTTTGAATTTTGCAAAGGACAAAATGTTTAAATAATGCAAAGTTGAGTATTTATTTTCTGATTTTATTGAATACTCAATACTGCTAGTGTATTTGGCAGAGGCTTCTTGAAATTTTTTCTTAGATTCTTAATTTACAACCTGAAATGATGTTTATCTTCTAATACATGTATATGGAAAATTGAGGCGAGAAAAAAAAATACCCACTAAGATTAGTTGTGTAACATGTTGCCAATATAATTTTTGTATAACAATAATTAAGTCAGTTTAAAGTTATTAATAAACTTAACCCTTTGAAATTCCAGTTTATTATTTTAAATGGACGTTGTTCATCACCCATTCTGGTCAAGACCATCATTTTTAGGACATTTTTAAAAACATACACTGACTGAACACCTGACAGTGCAGACCATGATCAGATTGGACTGATATGCCAGCTGATCTTGGTCTGCACTGGTTGTATGGATAGAATCTGTTGCCACTAGCAGGCTACGGGTTGATATGATTACACATAAAGTTTTTCTCCCATTTCCAGTATTTACATGTAATATTAATAGTCGATTTCAGTTGATACATTACCTAGCTGTATCTTTTTCTCTTTATATACATTGTACACTTTGCTAGCCATTTTTTTTTATTGAGCCATTCCTGATTGGAAAATTTACAATTTGTACTGTGTACATTCACTGCCTTGAAACAAAGATTTCATATCACGTTTTGATTTTGATTTTTTATGAGTAAAAAAAAAAGATGAAAGAAATAAATTGTGTTGTTCTTTGTTATTTCACTTGAAAGTACAATACTAATTATACTCACACCACACATAGTGAGTCTAATTGTCCTGTCCCAATTGTTTTCTTTAATATCTTGAACCAAATCAGATATCAGTTTTGTTTAGTAGACTAAGTTTCATAACTCTTTATTGATATTTAACAGAGTAATGCCCCTTTTTAGCTCGACTATTCGATAAGAATAAGTAGAGCTATTGCAGTCACCCGAGCGTCGGCGTCGGCGTAACCACTTATGTTAAAGTTTTTGTAATAGTTCAAATATTTTCAAAGTCCATTGACATATGGCTTTGAAACTTTGCACACTTGTTCACCATCATGACCCCAACCTGTAGACAGGAGGAGGTAACTCTATCAAGCATTTTGACAGAATTATGCCCCTTTTTCGACTTAGAATTTACGTTAAAGTTTTTGTAATAGTTCAAATATTTTCAAAGTCCATTGACATATGGCTTTGAAACTTTGCACACTTGTTCACCATCATGACCCCAACCTGTAGACAAAAGGAGGTAACTCTATCAAGTATTTTGACAGAATTATGCCCCTTTTTGGACTTAGAATTTACGTTAAAGTTTTTGTAATAGTTCAAATATTTTCAAAGTCCATTGACATATGGCTTTGAAACTTTGCACACTTGTTCACCATCATGACCCCAACCTGTAGACAAGAGGAGGTAACTCTATCAAGCATTTTGACAGAATTATGCCCCTTTTTCGACTTAGAATTTACGTTAAAGTTTTTGTAATAGTTCAAATATTTTCAAAGTCCATTGACATATGGCTTTGAAACTATGCACACTTGTTCCCCATCATGACCCCAACCTGTAGACAGGAGGAGGTAACTCTATCAAGCATTTTGACAGAATTATGCCCCTTTTTTGACTTAGAATTTACGTTAAAGTTTTTGTAATAGTTCAAATATTTTCAAAGTCCATAGACATATGGCTTTGAAACTTTGCACACTTGTTCACCATCATGACCCCAACCTGTAGACAGGAGGAGGTAACTCTATTAAGCATTTTGACAGAATTATGCCCCTTTTTCGACTTAGAATTTACGTTAAAGTTTTTGTAATAGTTCAAATATTTTCAAAGTCCATTGACATATGGCTTTGAAACTTTGCACACTTGTTCACCATCATGACCCCAACCTGTAGACAAGAGGAGGTAACTCTATCAAGCATTTTGACAGAATTATGCCCCTTTTTCGACTTAGAATTTACGTTAAAGTTTTTGTAATAGTTCAAATATTTCAAAGTCCATAGACATATGGCTTTGAAACTTTGCACACTTGTTCAACATCATGACCCCAACCTGTAGACAGCAGGAGGTAACTCTATTAAGCATTTTGACAGAATTATGCCCCTTTTTCGACTTAGAATTTACGTTAAAGTTTTTGTAATAGTTCAAATATTTTCAAAGTCCATTGACATATGGCTTTGAAACTTTGCACACTTGTTCAACATCATGACCCCAACCTGTAAACAGGAGGAGGTAACTCTATCAAGCATTTTGACAGAATTATGCCCCTTTTTCGACTTAGAATTTACGTTAAAGTTTTTGTAATAGTTCAAATATTTTCAAAGTCCATTGACATATGGCTTTGAAACTTTGCACACTTGTTCACCATCATGACCCCAACCTGTAAACAGGAGGAGGTAACTGTATCAGGCATTTTTTTTACTATCAAGCACTAAGAATAGTCGAGCATGCTGTCCTACCGACAGTTCTTGTTAGAAATTTCATTTATTTGAATAATGTTGATGTTTGCTGTATATCAATAGTATATCATGCCCGAGCTTCAGTCAATCCAGTATAAATATTTCAATGACTAGATTTTTAGCTCACCTGTCATAAAGTGACAGGGTGAGCTTTTGTGATTGCTTTTCGTCCGTCCGTCGTCCGTAAACTTTTACTTTAAATGACATCTCCTCATAAACCACTAAGCCAATTTCATCCAAACTTCACAGGAATGTTCCTTTGGTGGTCACCTTTGAAAATTGTTCAACGAATTTAATTCCATGCAGAACTCTGGTTGCCATGGCAACCAAAAGAAAAAAACTTTAAATATCTTCTTCTAAAAAACCCGAAGAGCTAGAGCTTAAATATTTAGTATGAAACATCTTCTAGTGAGTGTCTACCAAGTTTGTTCAAATAAAAGCTCTGGGGTCAAAATTGGCCCCGCCCCAGGGGGTCATTGATTTTCCCTATATGCATATAGTAAAAACTTTAAAAATCTTCTTTTAAAGAACCCAAAGAGCTAGAGCTAAGATATTCAGCACGAAGCATCTTCTAGTTAGTGTCTACCAAGTTTGTTCAAATAGAAGCCCTGGGGTCAAAATTGGCCCCGCCCCAGGGGGTCATTGATTTTCCCAATATGCATATAGTAAAAACTTTAAAAATCTTCTTTTAAAGAACCCAAAGAGCTAGAGCTAAGATATTAAGCATGAAACATCTTCTAATGAGTGTCTACCAAGTTTTCTTTCAAATAAAAGCCCTGGGGTCAAAATTGGCTCTGCCCCAGGGGGTCATTGATTTTCCCTATATGCATAAAGTAAAATCATAATAAATTTTCTTTTAAAGAACCCAAAGAGCTAGAGCTAAAATATTTAGCATGAAACATCTTCTAATGGGTGTTAAATAAAAGCCTTGGGGCCAAAATTGACCCCGCCCCAGGGCACATTGATTTGTCTTAAATGTGTATAGCAAAAACTTAAAAATCTTCTTTTAAAGAACCCGAATAGCTAGAGTTTACATATTAAGCATGAAACATTTTCTAGTAAGTGTCTACAAAGATTAAATAAATAATTAAATAAAAGCCCTTGGGTCAAACCTGCCCCTGCCCCAGGTGTGTCATTGTTTTTAACTATATGTGTAAAGAAAAAACTTGACCAGCTAGACCTTAGATGTTTAGCATGAAACATCTTCTAATGGGTGTCTACCAAGTTTGTTCAAATAAAAGCCCTGGGGTTTAAACTGGCCCCGCTCCAGGGGCCTATATACAGGTGAGCGACTTCAGGGCCATCATGGCCCTGTTGTTCAATGAAGCAGCATTATGAGATATATGTTGATAAAATATTGTCTGTAACAATTAGATTCATTAATATCCAAGAGCATCTTCTGCAATTATTAGATTCGTTACTCTACAGTCACATGCGAGCCAGCTTGCTTGAACTAACCAGTCCTGATTTCAAATGAGAAAACGTGATTGTGACCCAAAGTCAGCTGTAAAAATGTAAGATCCCCAAGATTTGAAGTAACAAATGTATGGATTACATTAAGTGTTATAACTTTTAATGTCCAACTATTGTCATAATATATGTATATTGTGTTTAATTTCACACCTTATAAAATATAAGCAATGAACCTTGAGCGTTTGAACCATGCAATGTTTAAGTAAAAATCATTATTGAATCCAATCATTTCCAGAGTTAATATCATATGCATGCCATATCCCATAATAGCCTCATTTTAATTTTGGGGAATCCAAAATATATTAAAATCATATCGTACTCCACCTAGCCTTCAGAGTCCAAAAATTCATATCAAATCCTTCATGTACTTGAAGCAAAAGAGTTCCTTCAAAAGGTAATTATACATTTTTTGAGCACCAGTACTGTAAAATATAACTACATAATATACTATTCTTATTTAGTTTGACTAATTTCAAACTCCATGGTCTATAGTTATTGATCTTGTATACATGTATTTCTAATCATTACTTTAGCTCTCACAAATTATTTTTGATAGATCTCCCCATGATTCATTGCATGGTTGAGTTCATTTCTAGCTGCACTTAATTTAGGGCATAATATGACGATATATATTACATGTTTGTCCCAGTTTTAGATAAAATTTAATTGCAATTAAAACGCATCGCATCGGGGAATTATTTAGACTACTTATGCCTTCATACACCATTTGCACAACGAATGGAATTTTCTTAGACACCGTTTTGCATAAATAAGCCAATCAAAAAGGCTGAGACAAAAATTATCCAATGAAAAGAATTGTAATTTGAAGCTGTAGCCGTGGAGTTTATTTGTAAACAACATGGCTGCTGCTGATGTCAACTTCCAACAAACAGCGAGTTAATCTGATAAATTCCAGTTATATGATGTAATAAACTCTACCAGAAGCGACTTATTTTGATAAATAAATAAAAAAATTCTGTAAACTATGGGGTCAGGAAACAGTACAAGACCGAAAAGTGGTGATAGGTCGGATTTTAATGTGAAACCAGAAACTTTGATAAATGGTGGCTCCAGCATCTCGACGATTGATTCTTCTCATAGAAGAAAAATGACAGATGAAGAGAAAAACACTAACATCAGGGAGGCAGATTATGAAGATGGGAGTCTTGGGATTATGGTAAAAATATTTTCAATTTCATTCATATTTCACTGCAATGATTCGAAACGGCACAGCACTTTAGTGTGCCATGTTTACCAGACTGTTCAGTCTTGACAGGATGTCAAGCAGTCTACCTGTACTACTGGTCACCTCTTAAACATTTTTCCATGCAAATTTCATTAGTTTGATTTTTTAAAGCTAAATAAGAAGAGATTGCTTCTTCTCCAAACTAACAAACTACAGACTAGTTTGTTTATTTCTGATTGACACATATCTGAGGCCTGACAAGAAGTGTATCAAAATTACTTAAATTGTACCTACAGTAGGCCTACCATTTGTCCGGACACATAATTATGTACATGATGTTGATTTAATCATTTTAAAAGTTGTGATATTTTAATTATTTTAAACATGATATGCAATATTTTAGCATAAAATGCTGAAATTTTGGATATTCTATTGTTTACTCTGCAAATGATTATAGCTAGAATCATGGAGCTAAATATAGATGGAGAAGAATCTGTGACGTCACACAGTTAAATTCAGTATCGGCGGAATTGTGTTCACACAGGATTTTTCGAGATTTGAATTTTGATGCATTCTGGGAAAAGGTGGCGCAATAGCTCAGTTAGTTAAACCACTGGTTGTCACTCCTGAGGTCCCGGGTTTGATCCCGGGTAACACCCTTGGGACTTTTCAGAGACACTTTCAGTGTTTCCGTCCTAACTAGAGGTGTACTGGTAAAAAATCCATGAAATCCTCACATGTGTCATTGCTATTCACTGGGCATGTAAAAGAACCAAGGGGTATATTGAGTAAGAACTAAGAACTGGTTCCCGGATACCCTTGTATCTCATAGCCGTTTCTGAAGTGACTAGTCTATAGTTATGTCTACGTCCCCACGAGGGGTTTGACATTATTGGAAGATAGATAAAGAAGCCAAATTACTGTCATATTGAATTCTCTGAGGTACATCATCAAAAAAGACGAAGCATTTTCTACTTATATAAGAAGCAATTGTTATTTATTCTCAAACATACAATACACACCTTTCCACACTAATATTTCTCCGGTGGAAATCCATGTCGGCAATATAAACAATAATTAATGGATAATCGCCGAAGTTTAAGGAGGGCACGAAAAATTGGAGGGTAGCGGGAAAACTCGATTATCACAGAAGCGCACAAAGGATTGTGGGTCAGAATCTGACTATCATCTATTTTCAGAGCTTACTATCTGTTGTATGAATATTATATAAAAGGGATAACCTAGCATCTTTATGTCTGAGTTTTAGTCTACAGATATTTAGGGAGGGCAGCATGTCTGTGATGCTAAAGGTATGCAGGGTTTTCATTGTTATCTGAGGCAACAGATCAGCCTATGAAAACAACCAATTTGGCTATGGGTAAAGGGGGTATTTTAATCTACAGCCTGAAAATTTGCTCAGCATTTTAACTGATGATGTGAATCGTCAATCTGTTAATAATGAAAAACCTGGGTATGACCTTGATCTAGCTTGATTCAAAAGGATACTCTTCTTAGAACATTGTCAATTTGATCTTTTGTGTTTGGTGGTGGGAAACCAAACTTCGGAAAGTTATTCAAGCATCCATGGGCCTGACTAAATGTCTGGTAAGCTATAAACTTAATGGAATGTGAATAATTACACTGATGAAGGAATACCCATAAAAACTAAATATGGAAATATATATCTTAAGTTTTATCCCTTTTTAACAGAGTAAAGCTAGAATGGAGGAAATAGTTGAAAATTTAGGACCAGATGAACTGTTTTGTGATCCTGACTTTCCTGCAGACAGCCAAGCATTGTTCTACAGTGATGACAAACACTCAACTGGGAAAAGCATTGTTTGGAAAAGACCAAAGGTATTGTTGCCAAAATTAATAAAAGTTTGCTTAACTATCTTTTTATAGTGAAATAAAAAATCAATAAGAAGTCAATTTCTGAAGTAGTTAATTTTTTCTCTTATAAAGGAAGTTTGCAATATTATAAATTTGTTCTATGACCATATATTAACCATTATTTGCAATATATATGCAAACAACCATTTATATTATATGGCCATATAACCTGTCAAAAATCTTTATAACCAATGATATACATAAAAATTTGTTTGATGTTTAAATACTACTCTCATAAATTACCGTACTTTTATATGATGCACATTATATTTAGGATTTGATGGAAGAATGGCAAACTCCTCAATTAATGATAGATGGAATGACAAGAGATGATATAAAGCAGGGAATTCTGGGAGATTGTTGGTTCCTCTCATCCTGTGCAGCTGTATCACAGAGACCAAAATACATGAAAAAGGTACCATTAATGTACAGTCAAACCTCAAATATTCAACCTGACTGACAGTGACTGTCATTGTTACGTGCATTTTTTTTCTAGATTTGTAATATCAGTGAATTGTAACCATAGAGAAGAGATCAATTCTATCAATTAATGGATGACAAACCAGAGAAGGAACAACATGTCAACACCTAGGACAAACCTGGTCATACTGCATGGATGTGCAGGATGGCTTGACTCTTAAATGGTGGCAGAGCCTAATCACTTTTGGTTCCAGCAATCAAAGTGCTCAAAGAATACATGATAGGCAATATCTGTAACATAATTTATAACAGAAATGAAATTAATGTTTCATAGGCATAATTTTATTAGGCGTAAAGCTGTACTAAATGACTGCTTCTTCTGTTTGTTTGCTTGTTAGTAAAAATCACAACAATTTTCATTGAGAAGCCCAGCTAGGTATCTCACCTTTTATGTATGTAAGGGCCGTGAATCAAATGCCATACATCTTTCATACTCTATGTCGGACACGGTCACAAAATGGTAGAAAAATAGAATCTCACCTATTATTGGATTCATACCCATGACCTCTATGTTAGGTCAGTCAAGTGCTATACACATCTCATCCCCTAGGCCGGACAATTGTAGAAAAAATAAGAATCAATTTCTTTCAGATTATGCAGAGAGATCAACCTTTAGTTGGTGATGAATATAAAGGCATGGTAAATTTTAAATTTTGGCGGTTTGGTCAATGGTCAGATGTTTATATTGATGATAGATTACCAACAAAGGACGGTAAACTAATTTATGCCTCGTGTACAGATCCACAAGAATTCTGGGTATCTTTAATAGAAAAGGCTTATGCAAAGTAAGTTAGTGTTTTATTCTATTCTAAGTTAAGACATATGAAAAGAATCTGTTATTTAAAGCAGCTTATGCCTCCAGATTTCTTCATCTCTGTATGAAAGGTAAGAAAGTGATATTAATATTGTCAGGTGACAAAATAATAATTTAAGTTATAAAAGGCACACACAATCCCCATAAATTTAACAGAAATTGGCCAAAAAAATAAACCCTATTCTTCTAGTAACTGGTTAAGACATAGTGATGAAAAGTAATAAATTCAGTCATAATTTTGCATATACCATGTGAATTAAATCTTACCATGCTAAATTTCTTTAATGGACATGTCCATCATTCAACATAACATCATTTTAGGTAAGATTTTAAAATGTAAACTAACTGATGAGGGAACAGTGCAGACCCTAATCAGGTGGCATGAATATGTTGTCTGATCTTGGTTTGCACTAGTCATATTGGTAGGTTCAGCGGCCACCAGCAGGGAAATGATTTAACATGACATAGATAGTGATTATTGATTCATTGCTCAAACACCTGATATATTCATTTTTAGAAATTTTGTTTGAGGCATGTAGCTTTAAACCTAATCTTAATAATGATATTCTATTATTATGCATAAAAATTGCTTAAAGGCACATTACTAGAATGTCTGAGAAACAAATAAAATTCTTCTTCTTTAGAAAGAGCAAATATGAGTTTCATAATGTTTAAATCATTGTTTTAGAGCATGTAAGATGCTTATTACCCTGAAAGTGATATTATTTGTCTCAAAAGTAGCAAAATGTAAACAAAGTGGTATTTTGACTTTCATTTAAATTACTACATCACAATAATTGTATCAATCACAAAAAACAACAGAAGCAAAAGATGATTCAGGTAATTTGCCAGTATTCATAATGTTGTTTATTTTTAGATTACATGGTTCATATGAAGCTATAGACGGAGGACAAACTATGGACGCACTGGTTGACCTCACTGGGGGTCTTGCTGAGAGATATGAAATTGAAACAAAAGATCCTAATTTGTACCGACAAATTCTTAGAGCTAGCAAGTCGGAAGCATTTATCACTTGTTCAAGAAAGGTAACTCAGCTGCCAAAAATGCTCTGATTCTGCTAGAAAACAATATTATTTTATTAGTTTTACATACAAGAAGTTTTTCTCTTCACAAGGATCTGTATATTTGAGATTTTTCTGAGAGTTTGAAAATTTTTCTATTAAGAAACCCTTCTTTTCATATCTTTTTGATGGACTTTGCCCTGCTATTGCATATGTTTTTTCAGTGTAAAAGATTGTCAATATATAATAAGAAATGTAATTTGTACAGTTCAAAATATATTTTGACTATATATCAATTTTTATATGCCAGTGCTGCTCAATAAAACTATAGGTACATTGTAAATAATTAATTTCTATAACATACTGTGTATTTATACTGTAACTTATGAACTTTATTTCATTGTACAGGGAGACTGGAAGCTAAGTAATAAAGCTGACCCAAATGGCTTAGTTTCTGGACATGCTTACACCATCACCGGCATAGAAAAGGTACTCTATAATAACATTTATAAAAGTCCATGAGTTAAAAGTGTCTAAGGTAAACACTTCCTGATGTGAACTTTTTTATTAAACTGGAGAAAAATTATTAGAATGTGTCTCTCTTTAGATACCAAATAAAAAGGAAAAAAAATCAATTTTTTCTGAAGAAGACATTAAGTCAAAAGCTCAAGAAAAGCGTTTGTTTTCATTGAGCTCATTATATACCAAATGAGAGGCATTCTGTAAAGTCATTTGAGATTCTTTCTGAACTGTGGTGAAGTAAATATTCACAGATATATCTCATATTTTTAATTTGTTGTAATAAATGACTTATAATTGAGCGATGTTGGCTATCCTGTTTGGTTATTGAAATATGGTTCTCTTGCATGTAATATTTCATTCCTGTAGCACATTAGCTGGTTAACTCCCTATTATATTTTGATAAGAGTTAATACATAAGGGCACTCAGGTGAAGATTTGTTGTTTCTTTACTTATTTGGTTTACAGATTCAGCATAAAATGGGAGAGGATAAACTTGTAAGAATACGTAATCCTTGGGCTGATGGTACAGAGTGGAAGGGATCTTGGAGTGATAAGTAAGTGTATTTTATGGCCATCAAGTGGTCCAATATAACAAGGTTCTAAAATTTAGAAGCTTGTTAAACATAATAAATAAAGACAAACAAATGAGTAAGTTGAAATTGGGCTTTTATATATATAGTTAACACTTATACAGTACACCTTTAGATTTTGTAATGACTAGAAATAGTACAAAATGAAATACAGTCGACTCTCGTTATCTTGAAGTCTTCGGGACCGTCAAAAAAATATCGAGATAACGAAATGTCGAGATAAACGTGTGAGGGTTTGAATCTGTCAAAAACTAATTTTTACAGAAGACATGGGTATACCTTATAAGTCAAATAAGTACGATGTTTCATTATCTTGTGTCAATTCTTATAATAAAAAATAACAGTTCGTTACATAATTTAGCGGATGTTAACCAGCGGAAATACAGCATTTAGGTGCTATGTGATTGACACATAGTGAGGTTTACTCAGTTATATACCACTAAAACATAAACGTTGTTTTCTAACTTTATCTATTTAGTATTTTAACATTGCATAATAACACATATAAATTACATGAAAACATTTCATAGCAATCATTTTGTGAGAGAAATAGCACATTTATAAAGGCACACAATTTATGAATAGTTAGCACGTTTATTTAATTTACCGATTATTCGATAAAATTCACTCATTTTCGACATAAGTCAATCAACACGCTAATTAACAATTATTTCAAAACACCTTGACTTAATTTTTACAAACATATCATCATTAATTATTACGACACGCGCTTTAAGCGATAACCGTCCGCTTGGTGTTTTTCACACCTATTGCGGGAGGGGGTAGACGAATAATTATTTGTCGAGATAAACAAAGGATTATAGTGTGAAAATAACTGTTGGGGCTGAAATATCAAATCGAGATACTGAAAAAATCGAAATAAAAATATCGAGATAAAGAAATATTTTCAATATAGATAAAGAGCGGGAAAAACGGGACTTTCAGATTTTAATCGAGATAACGAAATATCGAGAAAAGCGATGTCGAGATAACGATAGTTGACTGTAAGTTAAAATGTTTTATGTACATTTTAAGGTACATGGAATAAATATCATATAATTATGCAGTTCAATATTGTTTTCAATTTGGAACAGCATTTGCAGAACTGGTTTGTTTGCTCTTACTTATTTTAACCATTCAGATAAGCATTTGTAAAAAGTGAATCTAGAATTTCTTTTAAATATTAAGTATTATTAAAAATCTGGCTTGAAAGATTAAGAAGTAGAAGTTTAAAAAATTTAGTTTTCACTTGACATATATTTTCTTATTATCAGTGACATTAATTGGACATGGGTAGATGAAGAAACTAAAGAACGTCTGGGACTGAAATCAAAAGATGATGGTGAATTCTGGATGTCATATAAAGATTTTTGTCGACATTTTTCTGAGGTAACGATATGTTTAATGGGGCCAGACTTTGACGGAGATGGGGTATCTGATCAAGCAGGTATGTTAATAATTTTGAGTAAAATAGAAGAAAAATCTAACCTTTGGTCTCTGTGACTTGACCCCAATTATAATAACGATTCAAAGTAAAAGATCCATTTAAGTTACTGACATATAAAATAATTGAGATAGCAATTAAAATTGAAGGCTCTCTAGAGAAAAAACATGATCATTTGAATTTTTAAGATATTTTATAACTATAAAAACATATCATATCTTATGCACGGGGATTATGGCTTCTGCGTCTGCTTTCATGTCAGTGTCATATCTTGGTTAAGATTTTTTTTACCACCACAATTTTAGTACAAGTATTTCTAAGATATTTAAGAATACACATGTATTTTTAGCTTTAAAATACTATGCTATTAATAACAGCATTTATGTTTATTCACAATTTTATGCAAGTTTTTTTTTTCTGAATAAAATAAATTTAAGAAATAAATGGGAGAAAGTGGTGTAATGATGTGTCACACAAGGATTGTGGGTGTGAGCCCTACTTAGGCCATGGCTATTTAACCTCATATGACACCAGTACTTGTTGATAGTAAGGAAGTAGACTCTAAGGTAATTCTAAGCTTTTTATATGATCCTAGCTAAATTAGCAGCTAGGGTATGTTGAAACCTTAACTTAACTTAGAAATTAATAATTTGAAATTTTCAGGTCATTTTGAGGTTATCAGAGGGGAGTGGATTTTAGGCTGTTCTGCTGGTGGATCCAGAAATGACCTACAAAAATTTGCAACAAATCCACAATATTTATTAACATTAACTGAACCAGGTATTTATAGCTTCTTATTCTATTTGATCGAAATTCCCTTACTGTTGAATATTATGAATATGAACCTTATATCAGTTTGATTTTGTAATTACAATTAAATAAATTGATGTCTCAAAATTCTTTTTAATTTTTATAGAAATGTTGAAGGGAATGTTTTGTCAAGTTAAAATTAAGAATTTTAACCTGTAACCTGATGGGGGGTTATTAAATCTAAATTTGTCGAGCTTTGTCAGTTTGAAGGTTAAGAGATTAATAAATAAAATACAAAAATTGATCTGCCAGCAGTATAGGGCATCTACTGGTCAGATTGTGTCCACCTGCTTACATCAATATGGAGAATATTGGCTTTAAAATCCAGGGGTCCCTCAGGTTCAATCTTTATGAGTTGCCTAATTCCTCCAAGGCATTAAGCCCAATGATCATTTGTCTCTCACTGCTGATTCACAAACCATTTGGGATTAGCATTAAGGTCACTTGCCGAGAAATAGATAATTTCTGGTTAGTTATCCGGGAAAGCCAGTTAGGTGGACTGACTGCCAAGATATTATCAAAATGTGTTAGAATTGGCATTTAAACCAAATGAACAAACAAATAAACACTCACTCACTCGCTCACTGAGTTGCTCATTCAGTCACTCACTCAACTGGCCAAAGTTGCACAAGTGTGCAGACTGGCATGGCTCTATACTGGAGGATAAGGGTAATCACTTCTGATTCCAGCAAGTGAAGGGCAACCATAAGGCACTTCAAATCCATATACATGTGTAAATAATAAATACATTGCATTTGTCAAAATAGAATAATAATTTTGATAACGACATTTTTTAATTTGCAAATATTGTTCATTAACAGATGATTTCAACGAGGAAACAGATGATCCGGACAGTGAGGGCAAGTGCAGTATTGTGATATCATTGATGCAGGAGCATCGGCAGTCTCGGAGAAATGTTAAAGTTAAACGATTACAAATTGGTTTTATGTTATATCAGGTATGTGTTATGAAATTAAACGTAATAAAATATTGGGGGCATATAGTTGACACTTAGTTTCATGTTTTGTTGCTGTTTACTGGCAACTTCATTTAATGACTGATATCTTCCATACCCAGTATTTGTAATTTAGATAGCTCGAATGGTTCTTAATCTTGTGGGGGTGTTACGTTAGGTCAACATCACCAGTGCTAAAAATAGATTTTTACACTTTAGCTCATGCAGCCTTTATTCATTGACCGATGTCTGTCATATTAAGTAGGTTCATGCCTTTTGTGATACTTTAGTGAAATAACAGGTCACTTAGGTTAAGTTTCTAGGTTACCTGAGTGTTAAAAAAATACCCTTTTACACTTTTGCAAATACAGCCTTTATTCATTGACTACTTTCTTGAAAAACATTGACAAAATTACATGTTTCTACTTAATTCCTCCCTTCTGTTGTACTTTCTGCACAGATGGACTATACAATGTTTTGCACCAGCATGCACAGTTGTGTAGCCTGACACTACATCATTGAAAGCTTTAATTTAGCGGAATGACCTTGACATGGTCCATATATTATGAAGCAAGCAAACTTCATTGTACAAAAGTGCAAGTAAGAGGTTGAAAGAAAATATATACAGTAAAAGCTTATTGTTTTTGGTTAGAAATTGTGTGAATATTCATGCCGTTCAGCATATTTTTAATGGACGGATTTGTCCCAGTCTAGAAATATTGACTTATAAGGGAAAAATATGTCAGCATCCAGAGAGTTTGATTAATAGAGCAATGGCACAATATTCTGTCATCAGGTTTGTCTGTCTAGCTGCACATTTTCTAACCTTTATCAACCGTTTGTTATTATACTTTGTTTAATTTTTATCCAATCAAATTGCAATAAACAATGTAATATTCCATTATACTTTACAGACTGAAGATACAGAACATTCTTTACCAGCAAGATATTTTAAGTATCATCCTGACTGTGGTAAATCTGGTGTATATATAAACTTTCGTGAAGTTAGTGGCCGTTTTGAACTGAATCCTGGACATTATGTGATTATTCCATCTTCGTTCAAACCAGATGACCAGTCTGCTTTTATGCTTCGTGTGTTTGGAGAGAAGAAGTTTGGATTGAAAGGGTAAATTTTTACATTCATGTATCATTTCTGAAAATAAAAAAAATGGGAAGAAAATTTCCTGATGACTAAATTTCTATGTTTTTTTAGAAAGTTTGAAAAATCAAAAATGTATTATAAGTAAGAACTTGATTTGATCTTTTTACCCCACGTTTACAAAGGGTCTGGTAATACTGAATGTTTGTTACATTGATATTCAATGGATAATCATTACATTCATATTAATCTGTATACATTGTACCAGGTAATAACTGCTGTAAATTTTATGAGGTAATAAATTCCTCTTCCTCAAACTAATGAATGGTTCTGTGTAGTGTAAATTTGTTACAGTATGTAGATTTTTGTATAGGTTAAAATGGCTGTGTATAAATGGTAGTTTACAATATAACCCTCACCTTGCAATATTGGTTATATAACCATTACTACCATTTATTCTGGGTCATATAACCTATGAAATTTTTCTTTATATCTAATAATGGACCGAGATTAAAATCTGGATCAAAATGAATTTCTGTACGTTTTATAATAGGTGCTAAATTAGGAACTTGAAATGTATCTAGCATTAATCATAAATGATTCCTTTCTGTATCATTTCTGTTCGGGAACTTGGGTTCTGCTTTCAAATAATTCTAAAACGAGTATGTGTCTTTACTTTTTATTATCTTGATAAGCAATTCTCTGAAATATTCATTTACATTTGAAATGTACAATAGATAATATACGTAAAAACATTCACATCAGTAAATAGTTATAGACCAACTTCACAGTAAATGTAATTTGAAGTTTTATACCTTTAAAGGTGCCCTTGATTAGTTATTTACCACAGCGATATCTTTTATCTTAATAAAAATGATCTTTAAAAACAATTGCATTTATTTCTTAAACTAAACATACCTATTTTGAATGGTCTCAATTCATCAAGTTTCAGATTTAAACTGACGAGATTCGCAAAAACTTAACAAAAACCTGATGACGTTGACGTAAACATCTGACGTCTCGTAAAGAAGCGAACATAGTGACGTCATTAAAAATGTTAACAAAATCTGAATTACTTAGAAATTAATACGTTTTTTAACAATTTCTTTATTTTAGACCCTTAAGACCTGCGCCAGAACCAGAATGAAAGCCGGAATAAGACATGAACTGGAAACTATAACCGGACCTTACCTCTATTATATCTCCAAGGTGTTCTGGAAAATTACAAGCTTCACACAGATAGAAATCTACACCTTTGATCAATCTATCCTTGTTAAATCTTTTCAGCTTGTGTATTGGTGCTTTATAAAGACAAATGCTACAATTACATATTTATTATATACTTGTAAGGAAACTTTCTAAAACATTAACTGGCGTACACCAGTTTAGTTCAAGCTCAAAGTGTAAAAGTATGAGACAGTGCTATTCTTTACGCTTGTTTTGTGCTAATTTTTAATCAACTTATTCATCTTCAGGCAAGTTTTTTCTTACTGCAGAGGATAGAATTTAATCCAGTTAAGTTGGTCACCCTGGTGTTAACTTACCAGTAATGATGATTATAGTCGTACCATGGTTAAGGACGTTTTCGGGAGTTTTCATATAGACATATAGGCAAAATTAAAACTGTTCAATAGAATTTCTTAAAAAATGGCATGTTGTTAGAATATGATAACAGAAACATTTTAAGCGAAAAAAATAACTCCCGAAAATGTCCTTAAAACACTTTTTATAATGTTTATAATGGTACCATAGTTGTGTTTAGGACATTTTTTTTGTCTTACTCTGAGTGCAGTAATGGGTTAATGCCTATTAAGTTATGTAAGGAGTTAACCAGTTACTGCACTAAGGTGACAAAATGTTATTATGTAACCTTAAAACTTCCTGATTGTGCACTTTTGTCCTACCTGATTATGCCAATTACTGTGAATTAACTTAATTTCGTGGGCATGAAATTTCGTGGCTTTGTCAACAACAACACTATCAGGTTCTTAAATTCGTGGACTGTTTATTTTTCCAAAAGAATGTGATGACAGCAGACAAAATAAAAAATTTTGGATTTTAAATTTGTTGACTGAACTATCCATGAATACCACAAAAATAAGTTTCCCGTGAACAATAATGATTTTGCGGTATTTTGAAATTTTCAATTTTATGCTCAATTTTGATGAGAAACTATAGGATGGCATATTTATGTACACACACATGAGAGCTTTTATTGCATTTATTATGAAATATTGCTTTTTTTATTAAATACTTTTTTTCAAATTTACAAAATAAAGTTTTAATTGTTAATTATATTGCTAAAAGCTATTGTAAAATTATATTTTTATAAACATACATGTGTATTTTGATTGAAAAAAAACAATTCTTTAATCTACTTTTGAGAATTTATAATTATAAAAAATAACTTTGTCTTTATCAGCAATACATAATTTTAAAGTTAACTTTTATGGTTTTTTTGTTGTTTGTTTTAATGGATCAAAGCTGCATGCGTCTAAGTGATTATTTTTTCTTTTAAAATTAAAAAAAAAATGTAGAAAAATACATGCTAAGTCTAGGAGAATGTAAAAATTAGACTATTATCGCTGTGAATCATTTACTTTTGTACACTTCACAATAAATGTTTACTATATCTGATTCTGATACTTTCTAAAATTCAAAAAAAAACAAAAAAAAACAACAATGTTTTAAAAAATAAATTTGGAGGCATGTAGCTTTAAAGAAAATGTTACAATGTATTTGATTTTATTAAACAAGGAACAAAAATATTTTTTTAACGGCCTTTTGTTGTTGTATTTTATGACAAGGGATTTTAATACACACAAAGAGCTGTTAATTATTTATATGAAATTTTATAATATTGCACATTTGTAATGTCATTTTCATTGGATAATTGTGATGTTTTTTTAACTATATACACTGCGGCTGTCTATATATAATTTTTTTTACCCAAAAAATAAAGAAATTTGCTATATTATAAACTTGTTATAAAGATTCTTGACAGGTTATATAACAGTATATAAATGTTTTTTTCTTCAATATAATGCACATCTAGTTGCTCAGGTTATATATGCAAACAAACATTTATAAAGGACCATATAACCTGTCCTTGAAAAATTTGCTCAATAGATGTTTTAAAATAAATCATTTTTATCAAGATCTGTTTGAAAGTAATTTTAATTGGGGGCATGTTAGAGCACCTGATTTGACCCAATTGTCTCCCTTGTGGTTTTGAGTATGAGTCTTCGGTGACAAAACTATATATTATCTATCTTACATGTCAGGTCAGTTATTTATGCCATTTAGGTGCCTGATCTTGCCTAAGTAAAAAATTCTCAAGAAACGCCTTGAAGCAGATTCAGTGGTTAATGTTTAGTTTCAGCTGCCCCTATTCCATCACAACTAATGATTATGTTTGATATAATATATATATATATATATTATCCTGACAGGCAAATTCTCATAAACTTGGAGGAGAAGTTAGTTAATTAATTTGAATATGATTTTTGCATTTTAACAACAACTATTCTTGTTGTTTTTTCTTTGCTGATAAAAAGCTATTTTTTGTAAATTTATTGTTTTTTGTGTTACTTATTTATTGTATGAGTAACCAGAATTGATCTAAAGAATTTATTGTAATACTGAAAAACCATCATAATTATTTATGACATTACAGATTTTCCCGACCAATTCACTTAGCATACATACAGTATAAAAATAATTTGAATTGAGTTTATATACATGTAGAAACATAATTATTATTTACTTTTAAAATGTTATATAATTCATGTTTTTTTTTAAGTATTATTTTTTAATCCTACATTTTGGTGTCATGGCAGAATTACTTTATTTATTGTATTTGAATATTGTGCAATAATATAAATGTATATATAAAAGTTAAGAAATACATGTATACCCAATGGCTAAATGGTTAATGTATAGGATATAAAATTAATATGCTGTAAATAATAAACCGTTTGAAGAAAAAGCCATACTATGATAATGTAAGAAAACATTATATCTTTCTCAAGTTTAATAATGCTGCTCATAGAAAAAGAATCTATAAATTTTGACAGTTCAACATCTTATTTTATTTTTTTTTCATTGATTACCTCTTTAATTGTATATTGCACATCAACATTCAATATTAGCACCATGTGCATTTTTTCCCCCAAAAGCCACCCCCCCCCCCCCCTCCCCAAACAACAACAGTATTTGCAAGTCATGTCAGACTTTTCAATTGAGAAAACTATCAAAATAGCATATGGAAGCTAGGTCAGTCAATCTAACTTATTTGCTTGGGCCTAGAATAACACATGGCATGTCCCTGAGGTACATTTTCACCTGTAAAGTGGAAAGTTGACAATTTTGACCCTACTGAAAAAACGTATAGAGGGACACTTTTCGTATACATTCTACGTATATTTATTACCATCACATGAAACAGATTATCATTATTATTATATTGTCATCATTATCATCATCAACAGCATCTTTATTATTATTATTATTATTATTATTATTACAATTGTCATTGTTTTCATCATCATCATCATTATTATTATTATAATTGTGGAAGCTTCCCAGTTATGATACAGAAGTTCAGTGGCTGACACACACAGTGCTCCTGCCTAAAATAATGCACAAATAGAGCAACCTGAGGTCCTCCTCTATCAATAAAGCTTAAAATTTGCCATTTCATGTAATGTTTACAGTAACCTTTTATTTTCACAACTATATTGAAATTATCTTCCTTTATTAAACAAGCAGACATATTTCTACATAATATGCCTCACCCTCCCCCAAATTCCCCCATATTCTACATATCAAAGTTAATTGTTTCTTTTTATGGAATGTTGGTGGTTCTACTCAGGTACCCATCATGCCTGAAAGAATGCACAGAGGGGCACCTAAGGTATTCCTCAACCATTAAAGCAGGAAAGTTGCCATATCACACAGTATAGTGTTGGTGCGGTGTAAAACCCAACCAAACAGAAATAATTATACAATGTATTTATAATTGTTTCTTAGTGCTCAGTTTAAACGAGAAAAAGTTTTTATTTACAAATATTTTGTTAGCACTTTCAAAGATGAATTTCTTCTTATCATATCCATGTATTATTTTTCATATCAAAATTATCTCAAAAGTTTACCTTTCCATTAATTTTTTTCCAGGTTATTTTTTTTGTAGGGCATTTTATTTCTAGGATTACTGATATTTCAACATCAACATCATCAACATCAACATTTTATTTTGAAATAAAGGCCTCCGGCCCAAAATACACAATATAATCAAAACAGAAATACATATTTAGCTGTGTCTACAATATACATTGTTATACATGACATGCTTTCCTATTGATATTAATTATCAACAATTTTCATAATTTCATGAACAAAAAAAGCAATATTCTTTATGTTTTCTTCATTTTTAGTTTTTATCAAATTACAAAAATTATGGAATGTATAATCATGACTGTACCATGGAGATATATAACGTTGTCTTTGTTGGGAAAATCTATTACAAATAAAAAATACATGAAATTCATCTTCGATGAACGAATTGTTATAATTTTGCAGACAGTGTTGGCAAATTCGCTCATTTCTTGGTATACCCAAATGTCGTCCAGTTTCTATATATAATTTATGACAAGAACATCTAAATCTAGATAATGATCTTTTTTCACATAAAATGGCATATCAATAGATAAATACTTTTCAGGATTTAACATAGATTAAAAAAAATTATAGGTGTCACATCAGGATTAATTCTGAATTTCTTCCATCCAATTTTGTGTTTTACAATCAATAATCCATTGTTTAAATTGACAAATAAATAGATTGATATCCCCAATTTCTTGACTTAGCCATACAAAACCAAACCCATAAGTATACAATAAGTTTTTTTTACTGAAGTAGCCCAATTTTTCTTTCCAACATTATCTTGTCTAGTTAACATCAAATAACAATTTCTAGGATATCTAAGTTCTGGAATACAAAGAAGTTTACACCAATATTTGATAACTTGGACATGATACATACATAAAGGCATCCTTCCACATTCTCCCAGTGCAACATTATCATTAACAGAATAATTTACACCTAGAAAATCTTTACAATATTGTGTTTGAACTTGTTCAAGAATTTCGGAGATTTCGCTTCCATAAATTGCGGCACCATAGGTAAGTTAAGGTTTTACCATAGAGTCAAATGATTTAAAATAATCAGAGTGTAAAAACTTTCCAAATTTTTTTTGATATGATTTAATAGCATAAATAGATTTCCTAGCTTGTGCAGCAAGTTTAGTTTTTGCTTTTGTCCAAGATAATTTAGGTGTAAATAAAAGACCCATATATTTGTACATTGGTGTGACATTTACTGAACTGCCGTTGTAAAACCATTTTTCATATGATCTGAGCGGTTATTTCTAGAATAACTTGTTGTTTTTCTATATTTTGTCCCTGGATAACTTGTTTTTTCTAAAATAACTTTATGGTCTTTCCCCTAAGACAGCATATTTTTCAAGGATAACTTATTATATTTTCTAGGATAATTTAAGTTATTTTCACGTTCTATTGTTTTCTGTATTTTCTTTTATAAAGAATGATTTATTTCTAATAATTCTTTTCTGTATCTTCTAGGATATTTCAGTTTTTCTGTGATAACTTTTCTAGAATAATTATACCCCCGCACAACGAAGTTGTAAGGGGGGTATACTGGAATCAGCTTGTCCGTCCGGACGTCTCCCCGTCCGTCCGTCGGTTTTTCCTTGTCCGCCCAATAACTTGAGATTCCTTTGGCCCACAGTCTTCATATTTGGCATGGAGGTTAGTCATGATTAGTAGATGACCCCTATTGATTTTGAGGTCACTGGGTCAAGGTCACATGGACCTTGACTTAAAAAACCTTGTCCGCCCAATAACTTGAAATTCCTTTGACCCACAGTTTTCATATTTGGCATGGAGATTAGTCATGATTAGTAGATGACCCCTATTGATTTTGGGGTCACTGGGTTAAAGGTCAAGGTCATAGGGGCCTTGACTTTAAAAAGCTTGTCAGCCCAATAACTTGAGATTGCTTTGGCCCACAGTCTTCATATTTGGCATGGAGGTTAGTCATGATTAGTAAATGATCCCTATTGATTTTGAGGTCACTGGGTCAAAGGTCACGGTCACAGGGGCCTTCACTTAAAAAGCCTTGTCCGCCCAATAACTTGAGATTCCTTTGACCCACAGTCTTCATATTTGGCATAGAGGTTAGTCATGATTAGTAGATGACTCCTATTGATTTTGAGGTCACTGGGTCGTGTCAAAGGTCAAGGTCACAGGGGCCTTGACTAAAAAAAAGCTTGTCCGCCCAATAACTTGAGATTCCTTTGACCCACAGTCTTCATATTTGGCATGGAGGTTAGTCATGATTAGTAGATGACCCCTATTGTTTTTGAGGTCACTGGGTCAAAGTTCAAGGTCACAGGGGCCTTGACTTAGAAAAAGCTTGTCTGCCCAATAACTTGAGATTCCTTTGCCCCACAGTCTTCATATTTGGCATTGAGGTTAGTCATGAGTAGTAAATGATCCCTATTGATTTTGAGGTCACTGGGTCAAAGGTCAAGGTCACAGGGGCCTTAAATAAAAAAACTTGATTTTAAAATTTTCACATTTGAAGCATGGAGAATGCATATCTTAGCAATGCACTGGCTTAGTAACCTCAGATTTGGCAGGGTGGTTGTCCTTGAGTTCTAAATAGCCACTGTCTGACAAAGTGGTATGCGGGGGTATTCACGCCATGAGAGTGGCAGTTCTAGTTTATTTCTAATCATTCTTTTCTGTATTTTCTAGGATATTTCACTTTTTCTGTGGTAACTTATTTCTAGGATAATTTATTTTGTATCTTTGTTTTCTGTATTTTCTAGGATAACTAACTTTTTCAGTGATAACTTTTTTCTAGATTATTTTATTTTGCATAATTTTTATGACAATCCTATTTACAATCAATGCTTGTTTCTATATGTGTCAATGTTCTGTTATATTGTGGTTTATTATCATAGAATTTTATACTTTTCTTAAGATGTTAGTCTTTATTTATTAAAACAAAATATTTATTGACATAATCTGTGGTTATTTTTTCAACAAAATAAATGAGCCGCATCACGCCAAAACCAACATAATGGGTTTTCGACCAGCATGGATCCAGACTAGCCTGCGCAGTCTGATCAGGATCCAGGCTGTTCGCTATCAGTTTCCTTCTTGTTATAGGGTCTGTAAGCGAATGGCAAGGATCCTGATCAGACTGCGCAGAAGCGCCGACTGGTCTGGATCCATGCTGGTCGCAAACCCATTATATTGGTTTTGTCATGACGCGGCTCATAATTAATGTTTGTATTCAAGTGCTCCTGCTACTGCTGAATATGACAGCATTTCTACTGCAATAATCTGTTCCTGCTGCTTTAAAAGTATTGCATTTTATTGCTGATGCTACACAAGCTGGCAGTTTATTGCTGATGCTACACAAGCTTGCAGTTTAATGCTGATGCTACACTAGCTTGCAGTTTAATGCTGATGCTACACAAGCTTGCAGTTTCTGCTGGTGCTACACTAGCTTGCAGTTTACTGCTGATGCTGCACAAGCTGGCAGTTTATTGCTGATGCTACACTAGCTTGCAGTTGAATGCTGATGCTACACAAGCTTGCATGCAGTTTCTGCTGGTGCTACAAAAGCTGGCATTTTAATGCTGTTGCTACACAAGCTTGCAGTTTAATGTTGATGCTACACAAGCTGGCAGTTTGCTGCTGATGCTACACAAACTTCCCGCTACACAAGCTGGCATTTAAATGATGTTGGTACACAAGCTGGCAGATAAATGCTGATGCTACAAAAGCTGGCAGTTTAATGCTAATGCTACAGAAGCTTGCAGTTTAATGCTGATGCTGCACAAGCATGTAGTTTTCTGCTTATGCAACACAACCTTGCAGTTTTTTGCTGATGCTACACAAGCTTGCAGTTTAATGCTGATCTTATACAAGCTGGCAGTTTAACGCTGATTGTTCACAAGCTGGTAGTTTAATGCTGATGCTACACAAGCTGGTAGTTTAATGCTGATGCTACACAAGCTGGTAGTTTAATGCTGATGCTACACAAGCTGGCAGTTTAATGCTGATGCTACACAAGCTGGCAGTTTAATGCTGATGCTACACAAGCTGGCAGTTTAATGCTGATGCTATACAAGCTTGCAGTTTATTGCTGATGCTACACAAGCTGGTAGTTTAATGCTGATGCTACACACGCATGCAGTTTTCTGCTGATGCTACACAAGCTTGCAGGTTACTGCTGATGCTGCACAAGCTTGCAGTTTAATGCTGATGCTATTCAAGCTGGTAGTTTAATGCTGATGCTACACAAGCTTTCAGTTTATTGCTGATGCTACACAAGCTTGCAGTTTAATTCTGATGCTACACAAGCATGCAGTTTTCTGCTGTTGCTACACAAGTTTGTAGGTTACTGCTGATGCTGCACAAGCTGGTTGTTTACTGCTGATGCTACACTAGCTTGCAGTTGAATGCTGATGCTACACAAGCTTGCATGCAGTTTCTGCTGGTGCTACAAAAGCTGGCATTTTAATGCTGTTGATACACAAGCTTGCAGTTTAATGTTGATGCTACACAAGCTGGCAGTTTGCTGCTGATGCTACACAAACTTCCTGCTACACAAGCTGGCATTTAAATGATGTTGGTACACAAGCTGGCAGATAAATGCTGATGCTACAAAAGCTGGCAGTTTAATGCTAATGCTACAGAAGCTTGCAGTTTAATGCTGATGCTGCACAAGCATGTAGTTTTCTGCTTATGCAACACAACCTTGCAGTTTTTTGCTGATGCTACACAAGCTTGCAGTTTAATGCTGATCTTATACAAGCTGGCAGTTTAACGCTGATTGTTCACAAGCTGGTAGTTTAATGCTGATGCTATACAAGCTTGCAGTTTATTGCTGATGCTACACAAGCTGGTAGTTTAATGCTGATGCTACACACGCTTGCAGTTTAATGCTGATGCTACACAAGATGGCATTTTAATGCTGATGCTACACAAGCTGGCATTTTAATGCTGATGCTATACAAGCTTGCAGTTTATTGCTGATGCTACACAAGCTGGTAGTTTAATGCTGATGCTACACACGCATGCAGTTTTCTGCTGATGCTACACAAGCTTGCAGGTTACAGCTGATGCTGCACAAGCTTGCAGTTTAATGCTGATGCTATTCAAGCTGGTAGTTTAATGCTGATGCTACACAAGCTTTCAGTTTATTGCTGATGCTACACAAGCTTGCAGTTTAATTCTGATGCTACACAAGCATGCAGTTTTCTGCTGGTGCTACACAAGTTTGCAGGTTACTGCTGATGCTGCACAAGCTGGTTGTTTACTGCTGATGCTACACAAGCTTGCAGGTTACTGCTGATGCTACACAAGCTGGTGGTTTACTGCTGATGCTACACAAGCTGGTGGTATACTACTGATGCTACACAAGCTGGCAGTTTACTGCTGATGCTACACAAAAAGGCATTTTAATGCTGATGATACACAAGCTGAAAGCTAATGCTGTTGCTAGTTAAGCTAACAGTTTACTGAAAATGCTGGCAGTTTACTACTTATCCTTGCAGTCAAATGGCAACCAAAAAAATGTGACAAATGCTACTTGCAATGAGACCTCTCCTTACCGCTAACAATGCTGTTACTCATACTGCACTTGTTACTTATTTTGCTGGCAATTAACATTCTGCCTCTCGTTCTGTAACTGAAAAATTAGTTGATATTCGTCATAATGAACCAAATTCTTTTATTCTCATTGAATAAACCACATGAGGAAACTATCAGCTAGTTTACTAAGTTCGGTAGTTCTGTAAAAGTTGTTTCCTGCTGTGATGATTAACATGATATTCTCCATCAGTCAACAGCAACAAGAGGAGTGGTGGCCTAAATGTTAAGGTGTCTGCTTCTTGACCCAGGGAACAAGGGTTCGAGACCAACTTGGGTCACGACTATTTTCTTCATATGACACCAGTTCTGTTTGGTTCCGGGAAGCGGACTCGAAAGTGATTTAACTTGTTTTGCAATCGAGCTTAAATAAATATGTTTAAAACTAATCTATCAACACGCAACCATACTGCAGTTAGGGTTGATTTAGTATTTTCAATACTTAATATTTGTTATGTGTTCTTCAAATGCAATATATACAAATTTCAAGATAATATTTATCTAAATTCAACATATATCCTTATGTTCAAGGACCTTGGATTGTAAGGAAGTATGTAATAACCGCATCTGAAGCTCATCGATAATTGACAAGTAGATCTATCCGTAGATATGATAATCAGTTATTGCTGAGCATTATACTATAGTGTATTAAACATTAAAGGGACCTGTTACTAGTGTATTTATCATTAAAGGGACTCTCCTTAGGTTTTATGACATGACGGGACAGGATATGAATGTTCCATAGGCCAATATTTGTGTGCAAAATTTTACCGTTTTCCAGAATAAATATTCTAATTGTGACTCAAAATTAAAGAACGCTTCTCACTCGAATAGCTCAAAAATAAGATTTTCAATTTATTTCTAAGTATACATGTATTTCTTAATAATCTGTTGTATAGACCTTTTTACTTTCTGTTTTAAGTGACCTTGCTGATGAAGAAATTCAAATTTCATGTTTTAATTTTTTTTATGCTTTCAAAGAAAAAAGGAATCAATTATTAAATTGTCAGATTTGAAAAGAAATACGTATTAAAAATTTAAGAAATGTGCCAATGTCCTAATCCACATAGCCCTTAACCACGTGGATTAGACGCTATGATCTGATATTATCCCCTACCGCTATCCCCCCTCCCCCACCCTCCAGTCCCTGCTACAACCCCAAAAATATAAATAAATTCATTAAAAGTCACAACAATAATATTACAGTGTGTTCCCTGGCTGTATTTTTTTTTATAAAAAATAAGCTTTATTACAAAGAAGTAATTAATGAACGAACTTGTGGATCCACACCAATTATTCTTTTTTGTGGTAGACATACAAGGAATTTGGGTTTTTTTCTTAAAGTCTTCAAGTCAAACAACACATATTTACCATTTGGTATGTATAGCCTTTGAAAAATCTGTATTGCACGTGTAAAAACATGTTTTAAGCGACCGTGCTCTGGGACGCAATACACCCATATATTTTATTATCTAAATTAAATTTTATTATTTCAACACCGGAACAATTACGACACTGGCGATTTTAATACCGTGTCATTTCAAGGAGATACACACATTTAAAATTTGAGTACACTCTGTACCTCGGACAATTGAAATATACTCAAAATCATTGATAACAATCATATTTTCGGATGTGACATCTTTTAACCAATTTTGTTCCAGGATATGAAATATAGCGTGAGTGATTACTGTTTAAGTTTCGTCCCTTATCACTTTGACACTGCTTTTAACTTCTCGACAAATCAATTGTCTGATTTATTGGTTTTGTCGATTAAGACGAAGCTTGCGGATATTCGAACATTTCACCTCCTTTATAAGGAAACTCGTTCATGAATACACTGCCACTTGGATAGGAGTATTACAATGGTAAGTACAGATTAGTCGTTAACCTCGTGCAATTTACTAATTTATTCTGATCAAACTGATTCAAATAGGTGAACCGAGTTAGTACATATATTACAGAATTTTGTTCAATTATTAGAAACTTTACGTTGTAGTACAATATTATTTCTAGTTTTACAGAATTTCGTTAAATTATTAGAAACTTTACGTTGAAAGAAAGCATAATCAATTTAAAATCAGTGAATTTCATCTGAAGAATATATAAAACTTTACAAAGCGTTACTAACGTTTAATGAAAAGTTGTAGATGAAAATTTACAACATGTTCTCTTATATATCCACGAAATAACATTTGTAGATTACATTTTTTGAAATTGTTATCTAGAACAGAATTTTTCATAGTTTGAGTGAATAGTGTGCCTATGTCAATAACTACGTATTTTGAAAATACAAAATAGAATCTCACTTATAATTATTAGTTTATGTAATGAAATTATCAATGAATTGTTTTATTAAGTT